GGGGGGGAATTTGGAGTGATGGAATTTGTCTTCCCATGTAACTGTTACACATGATGGAGCCCTGATTTTCTGGAGATGGCTGAGCACCTGCCTGCCAATGGGAAGTGGTAAATTAATTCCTGTTTTGCTTTACCTATTAAACTGTCTTTATTTCAACCCACAAGTTTACTCTCTTTTACTCTTTTTTGAGTCTCTCCCCCATCCTACTGGACAGGGAGTGAGCGAGTGGATGGGTGGTGCTTAGTTGCTGGCTAGGGTTAAACCACAGCAGTAAATATCTTTAGCTAGCTAGCTACTAAATGTTACGGGACATTTTGAGAAATCTGCCTGCTCATTTAATAGCTGGCACAGTTACTAAGGCAGAGCAACTAATTCTGAACTTGGGTTACTCCTGGAATTATTTCACCATATACACTTCTTTATCTTTTGTCATATTTCATGAAAAGAATTCACAGGACTTATACTCTCTACTGCAATACTCAGTCCTTGGGTATCTTGAAAATCGGTGGAATTCACAACTCCTAATTAAATGCAAAGTCTCTTACACAGTGCATAGAGAAGTTAAGATTTTCAAAATTCATTACGTTGTACAGAAAGCTCTGTGCTTACAATGATGCTACAATGCATGCATAAAAATAATAATAAAAAGTAAAATATCTTTATCTTTTTGCTACTTATCTACTTTTTATCTTTCTTGCTGTTTTTATTTTAATTTTTTATTATTATATCACTTGGTAATATGGTAAAGTGTAGCAAAGTAATTAAATATTATTAAGTACAATTACTGTTTAAAAATATTTACAGTACCTGCAATTCTTTTCATCCAAGATGCTTCATCTATTCCCAGATTGTTGTTAATGATTTTCAGAATGTTTCCAAGAATGATGCTCAGATGTTCAGATGTTATCATTGTACAGCAAAGCCCAGTACTTTGAGGAACACTCTCAGTCCCTCTTTCCCACCAGTAGGACAAGTAGTTGCATAGCATGGGTAAGATAACTTCAATTACATGAGGCATTTCAGTATACCTTGCTCCAGATTCTGCTAAATCATTAATTTCCTTTATTAGTCCATCCAACTGAGGGATCTCTGGACACATCTCTTCTACTGTATCAGGCATACCTAGAACTGCAATTAAAGGCAGAAGAGCAAAAGATTAATTAACAAAAGAGAACACGTACGTTCATCTATGTTTAAATCATAAATACAAATAACATTGTCACTCATGTTTTTCCCTGTCACTGACTTGGGCAGACATAACTATAGTAAGACTTTAGGGTATATAGGTCTCTCATCTCATAAATTATGTGTTTCTGATGATGTGCATATAGCACTGATGTAGACAATAGCTGCCATAAAGCTATGGCTTTACCATAAGGTGTCCTGTAATTATCAGCTCAGCTATGTAAAAGTAATTTTTGTAATGTAGGTAAGATCTTCAACTAAGCTTCAAATACCACAATATGCAGTTCAAGAAAAGAATTCAAACATCATGTTCAGAAAAATATCCAAATATCCTAAGAGAAAGGACCAATGTTAACACAGTCTCAACAAAGTACAAGGCTAACATGAGAAGTAAATCAAAGAGCAATAGTAGGAGTTCTCTGAAACATATATCTGTCTTTTATTCATTATTACAAATTCTTTCTACCACTATTATCTGGAGAGGAGCAAACACCTTTTTTTTTTTTTTTTCCCCCTTCAATGAGAAACACTACTTACTCGCTCTTTCTCTTGCACTTTTTGTGTTGAAGACAGACAATGGGTTGTAATGGTTGAGAGAAGGTTCAAGGAACGCTACTGGAATGGCTGCTGCGAGAGAGGCTAAGCACTCCCCAAGCGCGGGACGCTGCCTGTATGTGAGAGACACTAAGAGTTACCTAAGAGGAAATGTCTTTCATTAGGCTTTTAATGTCTAACATGCATTATAAAGTAGCATTAACATTTACTGCTGATTTAGCTTATCTTTTTAAATCATAAGGAACAACTATTCTGAAAAACTGTATTTCTCACACAAACAAAACTGTTGGAAATTAGAGTGGTATAGGAAACACAGTGTTTAAAAAAAACAAACTTCACCAAGTATTGTACATTAAATGCAAATTGCTCCACAGTGCCACTGTGTGACTACAAGCAGTAGAAAACATGTCTAGAATATGAACAAAGAATAGATTAGTAACTGCTTATTCTTATTATACCTTTGGTTTTCTTAAACAAAGAGCAAATGCATATAATCAATAGGAATTTGTTTTGGCAGTCATACCCTTTTTCTAGATTTCACTTCTTTGCTGTACCCATATACATATTTCTTTTTCTTCACACATCACACCATTATATAGTCAAATGATGAGAAAGACTATTGCTACTTATTGAAGACTGATTTCATGACTTTATGGCATTCTGCGTGGCTGTTCTGAAAGTGGCAATTTTGCATTACCCCGATCAAACTTCCCATGTTCCTATTTGTCTGTTCTGTGCTGGCACTAAAACTTAGATAGCATCTTGATAAACTGGATGAAATAACTGGTCCAGATAAAAATAAATCTCACTATAAAACCAAAACTAACCAAGCCAAAGAAACAGCAACAAAACATGCTCATCATCTGGCTGCATAAACACTATTTTCCAGGGGGAAAAAAAAAAAAAAAAAAAAAAAAAGAAGGGGTGGAAATGTATGCATGAAGGTGCAAGAGATCCTGAGACAGTCCTTTCTGGCATAAGACCAGACTCACACTGGCTTAAAACTAAAGCTAAGATACTCTTTTGAAGTTCTGAAGCACTGTTTGTATAAGATGCCTTACAGATTTTGTTACACTTGACATACAGATTGGATAAAGACAGCACACACCTTCCATCCTTTGAAGCTCCATGTTTTTTTTTGAATAGGCATGGACCTGTTGCAGTGGGTCCAGAGGAGAGCCACAAAAATGATCATAGGAATCTGTGAATAAGGGCTGAAAGAGTTGGGGTTGTTCACCCTGGAGTACAGAAAGCTCTGGGGAATCCGTATCACGGCCTTTCAGTATTTAAAGGGGGCTTATAAGAAAGATGGGGAGAGACTTTTTAGCAGGGCCTGTAGCAACAGGAGAAGGAGTAATGGTTTTAAACTAAAAGAGGGTAGATTTAGACTAGATATAAGGAAGAAGTTTTTTATGATGAGGGTGGTGAGACACTGGAACAGGTTGCCCAGAGAGGTGCTTCATCCCTGGAAACATTCAAGGTCAGGCTGGACAGGGCTTTGAGCAACCTGATCTAGTTGAAGATGTCCCTAGCTCATTACAGTTGGGATGGACTAGATGACCTTTAAAGGTCACTTTCAACCCATTCTATGATTGTTCAACTTCCAGGAATAGCAACAGTCTTTTTAAGATTCCTCCACATCAACACAGCCTTCCTCATTGTATGACCTGAAGTCTGAGATGTGACCCACCTACTTCCTCATCTTTAACTGCCTATGTCAATTTTTATTTCACAACCATGCTGGAATGTGTAGAGATATGCAACTATATACCCTCGAACTTCTTTTGTTGCAGGAGAAACAGAAGAAATTGGCAAAAGCAATGACCTCACAAAATTGAAAAACATAAAAAAGGATTTTTGTTCACTTGGGTGTTTCATGTAATTTGATTTACATAACATTATTTCAAGGTGCATGCTCATTCGTTCTCTGTCCAGGATTACTACTCTTTACTGTAGGTTTACTACCATCAAAGAAATGGAAAATGCAGAAATCAGTTACTGCAAAATTAAAAAGAAACTATGTGCTCTATCTATATATCTATGTCATTTTCCTTACATTCTGACTGTACATGTTGCAACAAAATATATGATACATTAATATCACAAATAGCAAGAACAGAACATTTCATTAAAAAACAAATTCTTGATAATGTTAGAATTCCTACTATATTTTAGAGCACAGCAATGTTCTTTTTCCAATTTAAATTGTAATGAAAGATGGAATATTATATATAGGAAAATTTATTATATCTTTGCCTTCTGTTTGATCAAGAAGGAAAAACTTGGTGTGTGTACATATATATGCACACAAATACATATTAAAAAGTACTTTGAAGAGACTATCATCACATGCATGACAATGTCATAATGCATACCCATCTTTCTGTATGAAGGATACAAGAAGCTGAAATAAGGGAAGGTGAACAACTATACAATAATGCTGAGAAAATTATTCTAAGTACACAGATATTTTCTCTCATGTAGAAGTCCTAAATATGACAAACCAAGGAAAAACCTATAATTTTGCAGGACACAAATTAGAAAAGATAAAAAAGAATTTCAGAGCAGATGGTCACTGAAATAAAAAGCAAATAATATCAAATAAATCACTCAGTGAACTGAGTGGTTCAATAGAATTAATGGAGTAAAACGTAAAGACAAATTAACACTTTAGACAAAATATGTTAGAATGACAACTAACTGGAAAATTTCACCCCAAAGGAAACATTCACTCCAAAAAGAATAAGAAAGTCCTGTCAGAGGCTGATGTGCAAAGTCTAGGAGGAAGTGGAAAACACTTCAAATGTAACCAAATCAATCTAGACTTTGAAAAATGAAATAAAGATAAAAGACCACCAACTGATGGTAGTTATGAAGAAGCATTTCCTATTACGCCATTGTTATAACAGACTTTCTTGCATCTTCGGCAGTCTTCATTTTGAGAAGCCTCAAATAGATCAAATCGAAGTCTTACACTGAACAATCTGGATATGTATGCATGGCTGAATACAGCAGGTAATTTTGTCATATTTAACTACATACATAAAAAATATACGCTATAATTTCTTAACTTCTGCAGAAGTTTGTATGTCTTATTACTGGTACAGATATTTCACCATTTGTGCTAAAAATCCTTTAGAAATGTGTTTCTATAAACTAACCATGAAAAGATCAAGACACCATAAAGGGACATACAACTTTTGGGTACTGGGTATGAAAAGGGAGCTTGCAACACCAAATTCAGGACCTAAATTCCTGATGCAGTGAATGAAAATAAATGGGTAGTGGGTAGGAATTCATAGTCAGAATTCATACTGCAATAATTGCACACTTGCCAGTAGAGCATTAGGGCTCAAAGTAGTCAGAAACTACTGCATTTTTGTATCCAGCCCTCAACGTTTACAAACCACAGAGACGTTTAAAGAAGAAAGGTCCACTGAGAAATTAGAAACATTTCCAACATCCTAAACAAGCTAAACACTCTCTGTACAAACTGGAAGTTTGTCACAACAAAGCAGCAGCAATCCAGCTTAGTATTAGTCCTGAATCCAGCAGCCAGAAGTCTTGTAGAATCAGCTACACTATTTCAGCCATGAACAGTGATATTGACCTATGAAAAGTGAGCTATGACTCATCCTGCAATAGAAGGTAAAACTTCTTAATGTCTTTGCCAAAATTCTCTAGGAGAAAAACTGCACTTTGATCCTAAATCTGAACATTGTTTAACTTGAATAACTTCACGTCAGCTTAATCATTCACTTATAAGTTTTCCTGAAATATTGAGCAGTGTGTTTGAAATCCTGCCTCCCACCTAGACACGGATTTCTGCCTACAGCTTTAAGAGCCTGAGTATATCTAGTGAAAACCAAACTAAATGAAATCTACAGTTGAAAACCTCTCACACAGCCTTAGAAGACTAATTAATTTCCTCAGATATATCTGATCTGATCACTCTTCCCTTCTGTTGTGAGTGTAGGAAAAGCAAAAGAGTGAAAAATCTGTAAAACACACATTTCCTTAACACATGGTGCCCAGAACAAACACAGGAGGGGACGGAGATCCAGTGATTTGTGTTGCTGTGGTGCCAAGAAGGAGCGTGAAGCAAGGTGGAGGCTGTACGGTCCCGTTCTTTTACTTATCTCAAGGACAGATTTGCAGTAGTCTGCCGACCTTGTCTCTCATACTCCCTCTTTTCCCACAAAAAAACAGCGCACCACCTACACCAAGGAATGTACTGCGTCGTTACTCAAGAGATAATGACTTGACCACCGTGCCACCTGCTCACACATACATACAAAGATAAATACTATCCTGAGTTTATATTTAACTTGGAGGGACAATAATCCAACACCAAATCGGAGGGACAGATGGATGGGTTTGTGCTCCTCACCCCCATCCCCAGAAGGGATGCCTTTTGGTAAGATTTGAGTCCTTAGCTAGGTCGAGTGACTACCGGGGAATTAAGTGTGTGTGATTGCAATTGTTTTTCTTTTGTGCATAGTGCTATATGGCCAACCTGCACTTTGTGCATTTATCACAGGCAATCTTAAAGAATCTGTAAATGTTGCATGAGAATAAACTGTACTATTCGTGAACCTGACTGCTTCTCTTGAATGTAACCAGACCTGTAGCATACAGGCTGTTCCTGCATCTGGTGTCAGGCCTATAGTTACAGCCCTAATTGGCATAACTACCAAGAGGTATGCCAGCTGCTCCCAGCCCCTCAAATTTCTGAGGACTGGCTAGAATGCAAGGGGATTCATCTCTTAACAAATTAATTAATCACCTTAAATGCAACACCTTTTAAGAAAACAACTGCAGTGGGAAAAGGAGATGCTGCTAACATCAACATTTAATGTAACTATCCACAGAATCACAGAATCGTCTAGGCTGGAAAAGACCTTGAAGATCATCCAGTCCAACTGTTGACCTAGCACTGACAGTTCCCAACTACACCATATCCCTCCGCGGTATGTCAGCCCGACTCATAAACACCTCCAGGGAAGGGGACTCCACCACTGCCCTGGGCAGCCCATTTCAGGGGCAGTCCATTCCTGGGCAGACCAGTGCGTACAGCTCTTGCCAATCAAGTGGAGGTCTGTTCAGTGAGTGCTTCTCAATTAAAAGACAATACAAACACAACTACCTTTTATTCCCTGTGAGAAGACCCTGACAGCTAGTTAGAGTAGGGGTAAGGCACTTCCTATTTTGCCTATCAGATCTGTGCCAAAGAGTATTTAAGATTTTCAAGTCCAGAAAGAATGAAAGAGCATAGCTTTGTAATTTAGTGATGGACATATAAATGACTGAATGTGGACATACTCAAGAATGAGCTATTACGCACATGTACATGCATGCAGAGCAGGAGGAAAGAGACAGTCTGTCCACCACACTGTTCTTGCATTTTGCATGAAAGAATTACTGAATAAACTGGAAGGGAGACCAGCATTGCTCATACTAGGCAAAGCCTCTCCTAATCAAACTACAGAGTTGTGTTTCCTCTGGTTTAGTCTCTCTCTCAGGCCCTGTGGATCTTAAACTTTTCATTATAAGAAAGATCATGAAAAGTGCCTAACCTAAAGCCTTCAGAAGCATAAGGAAGGGTTGATTATTTTGGCTCTTGTCTTGTTATAAACCGATAATTAGCGTTCTCTTTTCTGAAGTAGAAGATATAGATATGAGGCTCTTTTAATGGAAGAGGATTGAAAATCCAGGGCTTGGAATATATCATAGCAACTAGATACTTAAAGGAATTGTAGACCCCACTCCTTTTAAAATTAAAGTAACTGGTAAAGTGGTTTCCTTTGTAGAGTTAAAGGCTGTCAGAATGCTCTACATATACTCAGGATTTTATGATCGGTACAATGTTATTGAGAACAGATTACAGATTTAGGTTTGAGAGAGACACAGCCTACTTAGTAGTTAATCTATTTACCACAGCAACATGAAATAGCCAAACTTTGAGAACTTTAATGGCAACCCATGGAAAAATGTAACTTCCCCTATGGGAAAAATAAAATCCCTGCAGATACACTGACAAACGCAGGATGAGTTGTTTGCTTTTATTTACTTTTGGGTTGGTTATTTTTTTGACTGGAATTAAACTCTAAGATATAGGCAACTACATCCCAGCTAAAGTATATTTTAAACATGCTCATGCGGTTTCAGATTCACCTTTCATTCAAACTACTTTATTACCTAAACAACACACTCCTAAAGAAAATTTTACATGCTGAGTTTTTTACTCAATACCTTTCAACATAGATGTTCTTCCCAGTTCCAAGAGAATAGAGGCTACAAAGAATTCTGTAACATGAAACCTGTACATCACCCACTAGAGGAAAATGAGAAGGAGATTATCAGTATTTATTCAGCTAAAGACTACTTCCCAATTATTAAACATCTATTTTATGCAATCTGATAAAGAGTGTCTATAAAATGTTTAGCATACATATCACTGAATATTTTAGGCTGTCAATAATCCACATGTGTTATTTATCTTCAATTGCTCTGATACCTGGTCTGTTGTCTATATTCATTCTACAAACTAACAGATCGTCAGACATTCCAAGAGGCCAGCAGATAATTGCTAATAAGATAGTGCAGGTTAACACATTTGCAGAGTAAAATTTTAAGCTAAACCACATCAGTCTGTGTCTAACCTCTAGGAACATCATCTAAAGGCTCCCCACCTTTTTAAAGAAAGTCTTTTCACGGCTATCAATTTTTTAATTATCTTCTGCTTTGAAACTGTGATCACCCAAAGATATACAAAACTTTGGAACAGCATATGCTGAATCTCAAGGAGGGCCTTCAGTAATTATAAACAAAATGATGCTAAAAATAAGGAAAATTGAAATTAAAAGAACTAAAGTGTTTTTCAAATTTAAGAAAAAACCCACAAGGAATTAATAATGAGTTGTCTCCTTTAATCTAATGAAGTAAAAATACGTAGCAAAAATAAGCACATTTTAATTTTCTATACGAAATTAGTCTCATCCACATGGTAAGAGAGCACTTAAGGGGAAATTCTCTCTCAACGTTTGAAGAAATATTGTACATAATTAACTTGAAACTTACTGATTGTTATTTTTAAACATGCAATAGAAATTATGTACTATGTGGCTAATTTCAGATTTAATAGCAGACTTGTGTTACCGAAAACAGAATTTCATCCTTTGAATTTATGCAATCATTACTAAAAAGCATTTTTATTATTATAACACAGTAAACTTCAAAATTAAAATAAAATACTTACAAAGTAAATCAATTCCAAACTGATATTGTGAAATATGTTCAAAAATTGATGTCAAGATTGGTAACAATGCTACTGTAGTATAATTGATATTCTGTGAAACACCCTTGATTTGTGTTCGTGAATGGGTAAACTTTCCAAGTTTAAGATTTTCTGAAGTTTTTTCCAGATCTTCAGCTGCATTTTCAAAAAAGGCACGCAAACCAGCTTTAACAAGCTCAGATCCCGATTTCATAACAGTTCTGAAAAATAATAAGGTAAAAATATTAACTTTGCATTGATCTTTAGTAGTTGTATAGATATATGTACGTGTTAGTTACATTCTGTCGGGGTTTGAAGATATGCACATGTATCAGTGAACTTTACATTATGAACTAAAAAGGAATGTACATATACATGTACCATACATCTACATAGCAGTATAATCAACAATTAGCTTGGAGTATTTAATACAAAATAATAAAAACAAAGAACTTGCTTCCTCAGTCTTGTCTTTCCAGTTTTCATGATCTCTTTTCAAATAAGATAATGCCTTCTCAGCAAACATCACAGGTGGCGAGACAGCTCCTCTGTACAATATGCTCAAGAAAAATAACTCAATCCCTATATTTTTATAAGTTCCACTAAGTTTGCCAGTCGGGATACATGCTTATTTATCTTCAAAGCACCATACATCTAGAAAATGCAACTACAATATCAGCATCACAGTCCCATTCCTTATTTTTTTTCACTGCCCTCAATCCTTTAATGAATCTTTCCTGTTATTCACAATGAGCTCATTATCAGGCTGCTGTATAACATAACCAGGCCAGAAAACAGCCCAAATTAGAAAATTATGCTGGCCTGTGCTTTAATCTACATAAGCATTTAAAAGGTAAACAGTAAAAGTTAGCAAACATAACTATGCCCATATATTAATACATTCTGCATACTTCTAATGCCAAATTTTCCAATATGCACTAGACTGTCTAGATATCTACAGGTATTAATACTGCAGTTCCAAGGTTTATGTCATTTATATCTCCCAGTAAAGTCTTGAAATGCCCTTGGAACGGGTGACAAAAGTTTTCAATGTTTTAATGACAGGCATGGAACAGAAAAATGTAGATTAAATCCTTTAGGTGAAATCTGTTAATATGGAGGTCAATATCTGAATTATTGACACTGTTAACATCATTAATTACAAATAAAGAATAAAAAATACATAAACAATGCAACTGTCCTTGAAAAAGCTCTGCAAGACCTATGTAGTTTGTATATGGTACAAATGTTGCAAACTTACCGTGTGTCAAGAGACTGAGCTAAGATATGCAGGCAGTTCACCATTGTAGCAGAATCACTACCTGGTTAGAAAGAGATACTGTGAGAGCACAGTAGCAGAGAAAATGTAGGATAATCTGATAATCCAAAATCTCATATTGGAGATGCACTGGTTAAACAAGATATGACATAAGTCTCCCACCTTAGGTCACTGGAGAGAGAGTTAGGTCTGGTTCTAGAACTAACTTTCAATTTCTTAAATCCATTTCCGTACAAGAACTGAAAAGAATAACTAGTGTCTACTTACAGCTCATTTTCATCACTTGACTCTGCAATACTCTGAATTTCTATCTTGTAGTACCTACATTTATTTTAGAATTTTCTTACCAATACCTTTGAAAAAGGTACGTTATTTTTCCCTACATCCCCCAGGCCTATTGAGAAATTAATCTATTGGATTCAACAGTTGGATGACAGAAATCAAGCAATTAGTGTAAGATGACTTTTGAAAAGCTAAAAGTAACTGCAAAGACCTAAGATTTCTTTTTTTTAAGGGAATGTGAAAATCCTAGAAGCTGCTATTTCTTCCCGCTCCAACACGCTACATATTCTATTAAACTGCTAGCTTCAGAGCCATGTTCTGAAGCCATGTTCCACTTACTAAGTGTACTGGAAGTTTATGCATCATTTTACAACTTGTGAAAAGCTTCAGGTAAAGTAGAAGCAATGGTAATACATTCTTTATATTTTTAACTTTATCAAGATCTTTCTTAACAACTTACCAAAAAGTGAGATCCTATGTCTAACAAGAGCAGCAAGTTTGCAGAACAGGCTAAAGTAGAAAAGAACAGAAAGAGCAAGACAGGACAAAGATTAAGGATTTATTTAGAATATGAGGTAAAGAGCAGTAAGAATATGAAAGAGAAAACACAACATAGTTCCTGGAAAGGGTATTTTCAATCATACATTATAACAGTCAGTCAAATAACTGCATTAAACAGAATAAATTTTTGAAGCTTCTGAATTCTCTCATTTTCTAAGCTTCACTATTTCAGAGATGACTTGAAATGTGAAACTTTCTTTCGATTACTATGGTTTCCAACAATTGCATATAATATGGTTGAATCATTCTTTGTGGCTATTATTTCTGCAGAAGAATTTTTTTTTTTTTAAGAAAAACTGAGTAACATTTTAGTGCTTTACTTGGCATTCTGCAGGAAACGAACATTACAAATCTTCACATTCAAAACAATTTGCGAAGATATCCTCTGTAAATAAATAAATAAATAAATCTGTGTTTGGCCACTGCTGCCAAGTCCTGAAATATATACAGACTAGAAGAGCTTCTCACAAGTATGTCAGAAACTTCCATATCTAACCTATCTGTTAGAAAAATAGGATAATTAAGAGAAATGAGAAATCACAACTCTCTAAAGATTAAAGGGGCTACTTTAACTTCTAAAAACAAAGACAGCTAGGTGGACTTGGTTTGCATCTATGCTATACTTTACAAATGGAATTAGGACATAATAAAATGAAGCAAATATACCCTTAGGAATTGATATGGTCTCTTACTAACAACTGATTGTCATTTTTATCCTCACAATAGTAAGAAAATACTATACTTCCTATAAGATGATAATAAGTGATAGTCACTTTTCCCAGTGAAGAATGGAGAAAGAATGACAAGATATTTCTGAATTTATAACAACAGATATGCAGGCAAGACATCTAGCTTCGTTTATGTGCCCTTGTAAAGGTGTTATGTACAACCCTAATAAGCATCTTTCTAGCTTTATTAAGCTGACCTGAGTGACTTTAGGGGCGTAATAGGAGTATTCAGAGAGAAAGCATGAAATTGAAATGAAATTAAATTAAACTTCCATCCTCCTGAACCTCCTGAACCTGAGCTGACTCCTCCAGCTCTTGTACATATATCTGAAAGCTCAGTAAAGCAGAATCTTAAGGACTTAACTTGTTGCCCTCTTAAAGGCAACTGTTGTATAAGGATGATCATCCGCCTAGAAGATGGAAACAAAAAGGCAATAATAATGTAGACAAATGCAAAAATATGTTGGAAGATAAACTGAAGAATGGAATCTAGAAAGTTCAGTGCTAGGCCTGATCTTATATAACAATGGGTAACTGTTACTTTCAAATTTTATATCTGCTCTTGGAAAAAGTAGTCAACTCTGGTCAACATAGTGAAGGACAGCAAAAGAATGTGAGAAACTGACAGTTAAAGTCAGAAAGCATGAGAGTAAATTACAGTGTGAAAGATTACAATACAAAATTTCCTGAAGAAAATAACTGCCAGCACACATTTAAGGGGAGAAAAAAAATTGCAACAGAAATATTAGATGACAGTCATAGTTAAAAACAAATTAGATATTAATTTTTCAATGGTAATTGCAGAAAAATGAAATTATTATTTATATAAAGGCAACACATTATAAATTAAAAGGCAACTGTCTCTTTTTAATTGAGTTTTCTAGAACAACTTTGAGTCAAATGGCTGATTCCAACCAAATCTGAAACAGCAGATGTCTAAAAATTATCAAATTCTAGCAATTTTTCTGTAGGGGGAAGAAGTAATTTTGTAGAGAAGGAAGAATCCATAATTACCACCAAAAACAGTGCATCATGGTATTTTCACATTTTTTGATATCTGAAAAATTAAATGTGAGACCATTTAATTATCCAACAGTGGGATAAGCTTCAACCAGAAACTTCCATCAACAATGAAACACAAACCCAGTAGAAACTTAAGTTTTATTGTTCCATTGCTTGCCAAATCATTTAATAATGTTTTTGATGTTATCATCCACAATTATATATTGTAATAGATATAATTTATATATACTTATTTTTTTAATTATATATTAGAGAATACTAAAATTCTATTCGTTCACTGCCATTCTGAATCAGAATAAAGCATTCACTTTCCATCTGAAGAAAGTGAGTTTTTGAACTATCTTTTATTCTAAGAAGAAACCTTTAATTATCTATATTGTACCCTCCTGTGTATATCTTAATTTTCTACTTACCTTGCTACCATTTCCTTTTCCTTATTTGATGCATATCCACTGCTACTGAGTGTTTTTGTTGGAGAAGACAGGAAGTAGAGGCAGTGATTTGTAAAGTACTGATCAACTAATGGTAAAAGAACCTAAGAAATACAGATACAAAATGTATTTTTCACAGAGCACAATGGTAAATGTAGCAACAATGCTCTGATTGGTCAAAGTTCATTCAAAGAATTTTTGAAGTTCTGCAACAGTTGTATTTTCTCATTTCAGACACAAAGTCATATAAATTAAAATCTTAAATCTTACAATTTTACTTAAAAGTTACGTAAATAACAAACAGTTACACAGCTCTATATATTTTGGATCTAATATTGCAGGCTTACTCTTCTCACATTCAACAGTGATAAATATCACTGAACTAAGAGGACTCTTCCTCTCCGTTATTTATGTAACTGTCCAGTACAGATATGAAAGGAGAGGTTTTGGGTTTTTTTCTTAAGATTCTAAATTAAAACCTAAATGTTCTTTACTTCAAGTCTGATTATTGAAAAAAGTTTTCTTACTAGGTACACAAATGTGTATGTCATTACTCTGCACAGGAATACTTCTTCCTGTTAACCAAATGATACTATGCGCTTCAGTGATATACTGAGGCAAAATGTTTCAGAAATAATTTATATGTTCAGCAAGAGGATTTAATTTCATGTAATAAATAAGCTGCCTTTTAATTTCTATGTTCCTTCTCATGTAGAAGCAGATATATATTGAAATATTTTGAAATCTTTGAATCCAGGAAGTATATTGAAATATCTTGGAAGATATTTTGAAATATTTGTTCACAACATTTAAGTGATTACTTACCATGAAGAAAACGGGAAAGATATATTTCTATTACCTGAAAAGCAGTCTAACATTACAAATTTCCATGTTCTGTGTAATGGAATGTATATGTACATAACTTGAAATACTAAATCACTCACTTTGGCAAAGAATTTTATTTCTTGGTCGTGTGGAGATTTTTCAGTTTTTCCACTGGTTACAATGGCTTCTGCAAGGATACAATCAAGGCACACGAATAAGAAGTTGTCTAATAATAAATAACACAATAGCTCTTTGATATAGCCTTGCAAACTTAGTTTCGCTGAAATACAAATAAAACAGCAGAAACAGTTTAGCTAGTTACAGATGTCCAAGAATTCAATCTGCAAATTTAAAAGACAGAATTTAAGTTTCGTAAATGCAATAAAATAGTGGTCACTACAAATTTAAACATACGTTCAAGTATTTAAATATCAACAGTTTTAATTATTTTCAAAACAAAATCTGAAGCTTACCTAAATGCGCAATAAACTCTTGAGCAGAATCAACATATTTTAAAATTTTCTTCAGGAATTTAAAGGCAAACCTCTTTTCCATGGATGAAGCATCCAACTCCATGTCATTCAGACCCCTGTTTTAGAACATTAAGATAAATAGCACTGATGACAGTAGTACAAATGCTGACAGTACTATCAAGTATTCCATTCCTTATTTCCTATTAATTATGGTAAATTTTTATAAGGAGGACAAAATGGCCTTCCATAGCAACTCTTAGTTATCAACTTCATAGTAACAATTGTTAAAAATCAGTTCATGTTTTGCTAAGAGGTATAATAACTTTGGACTGAAGTATTCAAAATATATGTAATTTAGGTTAAGAACTTCAGAGAGCTATCTTATTGCACAAATGAAGCCATCGTATATATGAGTAATGCCACAATGTATTGGCCACTCAAGTTCTACTGCTGGCAAAATAAACTGCCAAATGTTTAGGAAGTCAGCATTTACAACTTTACAAAATCAGTCTGATACTACACTTCATTATTCACTATTAAACTTCATTTTTGTCCTTGAATTTTATGGAAGACTGAAGTCAAAATGACTTAAGCTACTAAATGAAAACCTAAATGCAAGTAACAAACTACTATACTATTCAAAGTATTTGAAAAATGTCAACAGTATGCAATTATTTTTTAAAGATGCATGTATTATTTATTCTTTGAGATAAATCCATGACCTAAATCATGACTGGTGGATGCAAGATATTAAAGAAGAATAAAAATATGTGTGGTTGGCTGTGCCTAGACTGAAAATATTAGATTTTATTTTAGCTACAGAAGAAACCTACCTCACTAAAAGTCTAAAATTCTTTAGGATCACAGAAAAATTTATGTTGTAAGAAACCTGTGAAAATCATCTGATCCAAGTCCCATTTCAAAGCAAAACTAAATCCAAAGTTAGATCATGTTGCTCAGAACCTTGTCCAGTAATATACTTACTGAGTATCTTCAAGGATCAAAATCTCATGACTCTGGAGAGCTACTAAAATATTTTTCCACAGGGAGGGTGCTAAAACAAGGGTGAAATATTTTCATATACCTAAATGGAATTTCCCTTCCAACAACTTGTTACTTTTGATGAGACAGTGTTTGATCTCATCTTCTCTATGACCTTGCATTAAGTGTTTCAATACAGTGGTAAAATTCCATTGTAGCCTTCTGGTTTAATAATGAAAAAAAATCTAGCCTCTCTCCTCAGAGCCTCTCCTGGCATGACATGCATGCCAATCCCCGAAGCATCTTGGTGGCCCTCCACTTGATTCACTCTTTTGTTAATGTCTTCCTTAATGAAGCAAAACTGGAAAACATACTCCTGATACAGTCTCATAATCACAAAATGTAAGGGAAAAAAAAAAAAAAAAAGAAATCAAACCCCTCAACCTGCAGACCCCAGTTACTAATGCAGCCTAGTAGGCAGTCAGTCTTCATCATCACAGGACAAACTCCTGATTCACATTCAACTTGCAGAATTCAAAGTGCTTTTTCTGCACAGATGCTGTCAGGCTCAGTTACTCTATTCCAGGGGTTACTCCATCCCAGGCAAAGGATGCTGCATTTGCTCAACTTCACACTAATTCTGTCCACCCATTTCTCCAGCCCATGAAAGTTCCTCTGAAAGGCAACCAAGCTCACTAATTTATTGGCAAGGGTTCATTCCACATAATTACTAAGGATGCATTCTCTCTCATCATCCAGGATGTGAACAGGGATTTTTTTTCTTTTTCTTTTTGAAGTCACAGAGCTCTACAGAATTTTAATTTATTATGTTTTCAAACATATTTGTTTTTACAAGTTTACAAGTTTATACATTAATTCTTCATTTCCTTGAGGTTTTCTTGTACACTTGTTTAGTTTGTAAACTCTTCATAGTACCTGTATTCCAACATTAAGAGGACGAAACTATACTTGAGAGTTGATAGATAGTGGCCTACACCCAGGACATCTAACTGGCTTGAGAAGTATGGAAGTAACTGAGTAACATTAAGGGAAACCTCTGATTACCCATAATGGTTACTTCATTTGTTTCTGTAGACTCTTCAAACAGTAGTAGATAGGAAGACTCTCCCTTTATCAATTAGAGAAAATGACCTGACTAGAGAAGATGCAGAGGCTACAGAGGGGTTAAACAGTGTGTCAGAAGTAGGGAAGAAGTGAGGAACTGGTAGTTTGTTGCACTGAGGCAAAAGCAAGAAAGAAACAAGAAAGCAGGAAAGTTGCTGGACTCACTGTTGTGGTATGGAGGAAATGATCATTTGTCCTGACATTCCTTAGGACTGGTGTAGGAGTAAATTAGGGACAATAAATGGAAGTTAAAAAACAGCTAAGAGGTGAATCCAAGAAGAAAGAAATTCTGTGGCAGAAAGCTGATGCAGCAGAAAATTTAACAATAAAAACATTTAATACTAAAATGTATGTTCTTGACCATGTCAGAACACAGGTAAGAGAAGAGGAATGATTATAGTTTGGGGGAACAGAACCAGGGAACCAAGGAACACATTCCGATCCCATTTGACACCTAAACATAAACAGACTAACCTCCCATCTTACAGTTTCATTTGGAAAAAAAAAATAATTTGAAGAGTCCTAGTTTATACTTTTATGACCTCCTATTAACTGATATATCACGTGTCATCAAATTATTTGGTATGTATTAACAGCTAAGTATGGTTGACAGGCATCTCCTGATGCCTTATTGCCACAGAGGGTAACTAAGTATCTGCATTTTCAGTAAGATCATTGTAAATATACTCTTTCTGTGTTTATAGTAAGTCATGGTTGCTAAAAGATTACATGTACTTTCCTAAATATTGAAAGACATTGGTAGTTCTCTTAAACAAGAGAGGTGATATCAAGACAAGTTGTAGAGGTTTAAAGATGCTTGACAAAATACCATGTTATTTCTAACATACACTTGAGTAAGGCCCGAGATATTTATCTGTATGTCATAAACACTGAAAAGTGCTGCAAAAGTGTTCTTGACAAAGAAAGAAAAGTAAAAATCAAAACAGAGACAGATGGTATATGTAAAGTACACACACTGTGCCGCCTATGCGTTCCCAATTATAAAGAATTTCCATGTTTTAATGATTAGTTCAAAGTTTTTAAGAATGACATTCTGGAAATGTGATCATTGCAACCAGTACTTCAAAAAATTTTATATATACTTAAAATATGCACATATTAATCTCAAGAAAACCCTGAGAAGAGGATAATCTTGCTTCACTCTGATATAGACACTGCAAACTCTGCCCACACCCCATAAAGCGTTTGAACAGGCTTATTCAAGTTGACTTGTCTCAGTAATTAACACTGAAAACACTGTCTAACCTGAACAGATGCTTCTTCAAAGAGATATTAAAACTAATATTTGAACAATTCCATTGGTGTTTCGAAGAACCATTCATTTGCAGGAACTAAACCTGCTTTTCTTACTCAATGGCTCTAAAGCAATTATGGAGGATATAAAAATGTTTAGTGGTGTGCCTACATTTTAGTTTCAGGCTGAGTACCTGCACACCTGGCAAGAGGGAATTTCTCTCTGTAGTAGTGCAGAAATGTATATTTAGAGCTGTTTTCTAGTATCTTAAGAAATGTTATTTGTTGTTGAAGTCAACAAAGTTACCTTTTGCAGATCCTAATAATCAATTTGTATAAATTTCTGAGTGTATACTTTCTCTAGAGACACAGACTTTAAAAGCAGAAATACATGAAAACAAGATCTGGTTATGCATGTATAGAAAAAGCTGTTCATGAATACAGTTTAGTTTACAAAAATGTTTAATGCCAGCAAAATTGCGGTTTTCTCTGTGTTCAGGTATTTCACATACAATAAATGATGATAGTATGGTAACTCCCAAATCCATCTTATAAAGGCAAAAATACAGTATAATACGTTATTTTAATTTCATTGACAGTGTAAATTCCAACAAGCCAGCTTACTTCCAGAAACATCAATATGAATACAACTCATGAAAACTGCACTTCTGCTTGAGCAGAAGGATTAAATGCCCACAAAATAGCCACTTTGACTTACTACTTCACAGAAACCAACATTTTTATTCACAGAAACCAACATTTTTCTTATAAACTGGATTAAAAAGCACTTTTACATAGATGTGTTTCAGTATCAGACCTCAGATTTATTTTCCCAAGATCCTTGCTGACACTGCTGGCTGCTGATTTAAAAGTCTTAAATCATCTGCTTTTTTAATTACACTACATTAGCATTTTGTATTTACTATGATCATACACATTAAAAATGTTACCTGTCTACACTGTTTAATAACGGTCTTTCTGAACATAAAAACAAGGACTCTGATTTACAGAAGATATGCTAAATGGTAATGATGTTAATAAATAAAAGACTGCAGTGAGATAAGGACGATCATCATGATTTGTGCAATGAATGTAACTATCTTCAAAAAATGTGCAACTTACCGAGATATGATTATACCATTGACTTGAAGGAATTTAAAGAGCTCTTGTGCCTTTTCACGGTCCCGTGATTTCTCCTTAGCTGTCAAGGTGTCATAAGGTACCAATAAAGGATGACTACCTCCACCTTTAGTAAGTTGAAAGAATTGTAAGTTTTTCTATGTAAGATTTATTTTGCTAGTACAAAAAGGAACTATTCAATTCTGATTGTCTTACACTGTCTTCTTTCAGACTGTTTCTTCCCTTTCATTTTCATTGTCTTTTTTTGTGTGGTTTACAGGATTCTGGCTTACCTTTGCTTTCCAACTCCATTTTCTTCTTTTTGGCCCATATATTATGGTAGTTTTCTGCCATTACCTCAACCATTCCCTACATTGCCATCAGAAAAAAACAAGAGGCAAAATTAAATGGCGACAATTAAAAATTCTAGAATTCTACCTAATTCTACATTCCTAAATATACACTCTTGTGGTAAAGAAACATCACAGTTAAGTGTCATTTTTACATGCAGCTGTTCTTTGAATTTGGCACAGGCACAGGATAGACATCACATGCTGTTTACCCCAGCTTCATGATAACTTTTTCTAGGAACTCAGAAAGCACCAATGGGGATAAACAGTAGAAATCTCTTCTTTAAATATGTAAATAGTAGGGCGTGCACCATTGTACAACAACATATCACAACCAGAGTCACAAATACACTCATAAAACCTGACAAAATTCAACTCATTAATAATAAAACCCCAACTATATTAATTCTTTTCAACATATGCAAAACATAAATACAAACCTGAAGCTCTCTAGAAAGCACCACATTAGAGAGATCAAGTGGTGCCGGGCTATATCCATTTCCCTGCAGGAAAAAGAGAGAATTATTTTCAGATAAAACAATCAAATATTCAACTACAACATCTCTGTTGTGATCTGATTAGAGTAAGACGATTCATGTTTTTGAATTTTCTTGCAGAAACTGTGTTCACCTTTTGTTCTGCAGTGTGCTGAAGACACACAGGATGATTAACAGAATACATCTACTGATGTGGAAATAAAAAGGTTGCTGCAGATACTTAGATCTTTCTATTTGCAACAGATGTCAAGCTGCTAAGAACTACGCTTTTAAGCTTAAGAGAGAAGACCAGTCACGAGGCATACAAGATGCACCTTCAAAACATGACAGAACAGTGTGGCAACTGCTTGAATGAACCCTACACTAAAGACAAGACATCACAACAAGAAGTTAGAAGAGGTTATTGTCTCATGGCATTTACAGACGAAGAAAAAGAAGCGTCATGTATTTATCCAGTCTTTAAATGTTTCAAGTGTGAAAGCTGGGGGGATGAACCCAACACAGGCTTAAGGCACCTGATGCTGACGCTCACAGGATCAGTGCTGGTACAAGTGTACATAAAGAATCAGCTCGTGACACATTTTTTGCACACTCCTTGCAGAACTGCTTACGGTGGTAGGATTCTGCCCTGTGCATTGCTCATTATATCATACTATATTTAACCACAAATGCATGTTTAATTCACCTGAAGGGGTGCAACAAAATTTTCCCAACACATGTCATAATTTTAAACAGCTTTTCTGTCTCTAAGACACAGACATTATGAGCAGCAGTCTCAACATACTATTACAAAAAAAAAAAAAGAAATTAAAAAAATAGTCTATATCACACATCAGAATGCTAGGTACTAAAATATATAATTACCTGAAAATTTTGCCTGTAGATTTTAAAAAAGTATTAAACACACAATCGTATTTGTCAGTCTTATTTATAATCTTGACAAATTCCCATTTCAGGCTCTTCTGTTTGACCAAAAAAATATTACTAGATTCACTTATCATAAAATAAAAGGCTTTAAATACTCAGCCATGTATTCTTTGAATGACTATATGAAAACTCTTTTCAGGTCTTCTGAGAAAATTAATAATATGATCTCTGACAGACGACACCTTAAAAGATGTCTTTTTACAACCCCCTTTTTAGTGTTACTGGGCGGTTTTTATTACAGTGACATGAGTTCCAATATCAGAACTCTTAACATTAAAAGTTTCTTCTCATTAAAAAGAATATAAAATTAACATAATTTTGCATAATTTCTTAGTAAATTAACAAACAAGCCTCTTGCTTTCTAAATATAAGCAATTCCACCTTACCTGGCTAGATTGAGATATGCTGCGGAGCTTTTCATTTTCACGCTGATGTATTATTGCTTCTCCTCCTTCCTTGGTCCTTTCTAGGCTCCATCCCATGGCCAACATGGTTTTTAGTGATTCTCTGGCAGGCCAACGATAAATTTCCTTTTCCTTTGAAGAAAATAATGTAAAATGTCTCTGTATTTAGCAAGTAGCAAAAACTCAGTGAAAATATTCTGTCCTTCTTTATAAACTGTTACTTGCCACAAAAATAAACAAAATTTGTATATTATATCTGAAGACATGATAGCGTTCTTTCTACATGAAAAAGAAGCTTTAAAATACTTACAATTTTGTTTTGTTTTATACTTAGTGGCCTTTATTGATGGGATATGTGTACAAACAGTGCTCAAGTGAGCTCTGGAGCAGTAATGTAGTTTGTATCTTGAAACTTATTCATTGTTTCCTCCAGCCCGAATAATAAAAATTGATGGCACTACAAGTGCTATGAAAATAGTTAGGCTAGTATATACATTTGAATTCATCAGCACACGGGACCTTTTTTTAGTCTTCCTATATTTATATCCATTCACAGATATAGTGCATTACTGATCTATACACCTCTTCATATAAATACAGCCATCAATAAAAAATCAGGTAACAGCCTATATTCCAATACTCCTTTGAAAAGTAAAGGTTTTATACAAAATTCTGAAAAGTTGTGGCAAAGAAAATTCTGAATATGTCATATTAAGATTTCTCAAATCAACCTAATAAAAGTATTTCAGTTCTTACCATAAATAAGAATTTTTATGACAGTTACTTAACATGACATTTTTAATGGAAAGATCTGATTTTTAGGCTCAAAAGTTCTAATCTGAAACAATTCAGAAAATTCTCTTTGAACTGCTTTAATAACAACTCAACCAACAATTCATCAGCTCTTCTTCAAAGATTCCAAAGCAATTTACAAACCTTTGGAAATTAAACCTTTTGAATCCCTCTTGATTTTTGTCATCTCCATTTTCTGAACAGGAAAATTGTGGTAAAGAGGAACAAATGTAATTGACTTGAGTCACCCAGTGAATCATTGCAAAAATATGTAACAGAATTCAAATTCAGTTCACTGTTCTGACAACTAGAAAACATTCATGCCAAGTCAAGAAATTAAAGTTTAAAAAAGTGCATTCAAAAAAGTTTATATGTTTTTCCCCATTTTCAACTGAATCATCTCCCACGCTTTCTTTAAATTTTTCTACCATGCTTCTTGAAGACAAAATTGCCTTCAGATATGTTAAATTACACTTTCATCTAAAACCCATGAGCTGCTGCCAGTCATTCCTCATCCACGAAGGCCTGAAAACCCTGTGCTATTGATACTTTTAATAGAAATTGGTCCAGGCCTATGGAGACTGCCTAAGGGAAGCAATTATATAAGACTCGGTGTAAGATTAACTAAACAACCACTTAAGCGTATAGATGTTGCTATTCTTAACTGTAAGAATTCCAGTTTGTGTCCCTATTATAGCATATATTTGAAGTAGATTTTCAGAAGTACACAAAAGAATCTACTTTGTATTAATGCAGCTGAAATTTCCTCTATTACCTTTTCAGTTAAGGTTTTGAAAGGTCTTATTAATGGGTGAGTCTTCATATTTTCATCAAGTGAAACACCATATTTCCATCCACTATTAGTCTGAAAAAAATAAATATAGTAAAATAACACGACAACAACATAGATGAGTAACGGCAAACTGGTCAGTTTAATCTGTCATACTGAACTGCTAATCTACTCCAGTAGCTGCTCAGTGCCACAGAAATTTCTGTCAAAAAGAGCAGGCATCCATTTGTGAATACATCAGAAGAAAACGTGGCCCAGACAGATTAGATGCCATCTATGAGTAGTAGGTCTCATGCAACCTCATGCAAAGTTCTGAGCCCAATATACAATGGCCCCTTTCAGACTCATGCATCAAGATGGTATTGGCTAAGGACATTAAGCTTCCCAGATACTCCCTGACATCACAGAGCTGCTGCAGTAAAATTGAGTCTCAATAAAATTGACTCCCAGTCAAAAAAACATCATCACTGGGCAAAATGAAGCTAAGATCTATATATTATTACTTTCAAAACAAAACAAAAACTAAACCAAACCAAGTGCCCCTTTTTCATTCCCCCCAACTCTTTGTCCTAATAAGTTCTGGTCACTTTTCCAAAGTGACCAATTTCAATGCATTTTCTTGAGCAAAAGGTTTCTTCCACATATCCCTAAAGAAATATATTATTTACTAGTCTTTTTCTGACAGTTGCCACTCTTAAAATAATTCCTACCTTATCGAAGGCCCATTTATCATGGGAATGTTCAGCATACTTGCTGACAATATACTCCAACTTTTCAGGAAGTACAAGGCTGTAAACAAAGGGGAGCATGGTCATTCAATCCTAAGTGACTTCAGTCCGATTTATGAAAAAAAAGTCAGTATAATATTGCACTAATAGAAATGCTTCACCTCCAGATGAAGGTGAGACTTCTGGCTTTGCAATTCCATTTTCTTTAGAAGAAACAACACAAAACAAAGTAGACCTATAATCACATTTACAGGGAATCTTCAAACACGTAACAGTTGCACTTATTAGCAACTGAAGTGACAGGAAAAAAACCCTGTTTCACCATAGCCTACAGGTATTTTTACTGGTGATTCTTAATAGAGCATAATATTAGTATGAATGTTTCGCATTGCGTAATGACGGAGGGGCAAGACTTTAATAGCAAGAATCAACTGGTGATCCTCAGTTCTTGAATGTATAAGTATTAGAAATCTGTATTTTAAAAGCACAAGACTACTAGGCAGACCAAGTCCCTATTAAATCATCACATATTATTACCTGCTTATTTTGCCGTATCAGGTTGCTACAGATCAATTCTCAAAACTAAGTGAAGATTTTATAAAAATCAGACAATAGGCCAATTGAATCACTTACCTGATTTTGATCTGGTACCACTTGTCATAAGCACACTCTAAATAATGACAGTATCAAATGTATTACAGGTGTACATATTCCATACATTTGAACTATCAGGCAATATGGTAATAATAAGTATAGAATTTTCTATGTAGACATAGATATAATGTAGACATATTTAACACATATACAGTTCTAAGTAGAATACATCTTTTATCTAGTAAACAGGATATGTTGCAGTGCAGTATTTGGCAGGAGGAAGCAAAAAACTCTACACTACTTCTGAAAGCTACTAATGTCATTAAAAAGTCAGTTACCAGCCAACTCTCTGTATGAAGGAGAAAAAGATGTTAATAAGGAAGAGTATAAAAATATTTAAGGAAAACAAATCACTATGATTTATGAGACTCACTTTGCTGTGTTGACAGGTTTGGGATCAAAATTTCCTTCCGGATCCACTGAAGTCTGTTTTTCCAAAGTCGACCTAATTCGTGTATCTAAATAATCAGGGGGCAAGGCACCAGCTATAGCACTTAGACAAGGCAAAGCCATTCGAAAGAGTTCTGGATCATACTTCTGCAGGAGAGATAGGAACTGGTTGGAAAATCCAATAGAAAAACATGCAAAATGTTAGTGAAAACCAAGCAGCCATATGTACAAATATTAGACAATGCAAACAAACAGTAAAGCACATTTAAAAATTAAGCATAGAGCAAAATTATTGCTACATGACGTTCTTATTGCTACACAACATTCTTAGTACGCTTAGGGAAAAAAAAAAAAAAAAAAATCACATCTCTATCTTTCAGATTCCCCATCTATGAAATGACTACGATGATATAGCTTTAAAAGTCTTTAAGACCTATTCATGAACGTTACAGTGCAAGAGTTTGATGCTATTATAATTATTCAATAGAGTTTTACTCAAATAGCACAGGCATCTTTTTGATGTTATGACACAGGCACCAATCAGGCATTTATAGGAAAAAAATATTTCTCTCACTTCATTATCAGAAATCAAAAAACTATATGCTTCTATAAATCTGAGTGACCACTCTGTGTTAAAATTCTGAAGAACAGTTTTAAGGTCCGTTGAAAATACTTGCTGATAAAATTATGTGTTTATATCACAGCAAGCAGAATGCCTAAAGTTTTGAGGCTTTAACTTCCTCTAGTTTTGTTGCAACATTCTTCAGTGTGTATGGCACAAAAGATCATAGAGTAAATTGCTTCCTCTAAACAGCTGGAAGCCATGAAAATATCAAACCTGTAAATATCTCAGTACAAAACAGAACAATGGGGAATACTGTAGCTCAGCAGATTTACACAATTCTCCTTTCATAGGACTAACAACCATTTACAGAAAAATGAAAGTGTTATTACAGAGGTCTACCAATATTGGCAGAAACATCATCTTCATTTATCTGTACAAAGTTAGGATGCACTAATGAAAAATTTCATCGTGTCAGGCCCTCCTCACACTCTGCAGAGAGCAGTAAGAGAGAGGTACACGTTACTAAAATCAAATACAAATAAGGTTTAAAAGCCATTTTAAAATAATGCCAGAGACCATGTTCATTTCTATACTATAAATCAGAATGTCTAGAGAAGCAGTCATCTAAATCTGATCATTAGAACTGGAACATAAATTCAGTGAGATGCAACGAAAATATGTGTGATTGTCCCATAATGAGAATCTGATTTTTGAGCCCAATCAAATACAAAAAGTATTTACTTGGTAATGCATTTCTCCTATCAGAAATGTTACTTTTTCTTACACTGAGAAAAAATAAGTAAGTGAAAATATCCCAAGATCACACTTTGGAACAGGAAAATGGAAAAATATTTATTTCTGAGAATGTTGTATCATATTGCTTAAGTTGGGCAATAACCAGAAAATTAACAAAATACAACTGTATGTTTGACTACATACAAGGTAAATTTACTGTGCATACACCAAATATTTGACAAGAATATGCATTTCTTAAAACTAATTTTATGTCAGTAATAAGTATTTTTAAAAGTTTAATGGTGCTAAGGTAGGAGAGGAAACAACACTGACTTGTTAGTGCAGCAAGCAATCTCCCCCATTACTAGTGTAAGGCTATATGGGCACATCAAGATTAAGATTTAACATTTCATTAGTTTGCAGAGAATCTTTCAAGATTCAGCATTCAATTTTTCATTAGGACGTTACTTCATTAAAAGCATTCGTTGCCATATTTCTCATATTAGGTGAAAGAATTGTTAAAATAAGAACTTGGCACAGAAAGTTATCATTGTAATGCTTTTACGGTCATCCTCTGTACTGTAATGTGAATTACAGTCATTACCTTATGAGACAAGGAATCAAATATGCCCCAGAAAAGTTTTTCAGTTAAATGTAATTCTTCTTCTGCTGCAATTCCATAGCTTCCCATTCCTGAAGGCAGACAATAATATTTCCAGCACTGCTCATAGTGATTTGTCAGAAGCTAGATTTTCAAGAAAATAAAAATGCACATAACAACATACTGGTTAGAAAAGTCTGAGTTGCCAGTATCTTTTTAAACAGTTATATGGGTATTATTATTTATTTCTGTTTCTTAATTTCTGAAGGCTCATTAAAAAAGGTCGGGTTTTTTTCTTTTTCTTTCTCTTTTTGGATGAGCAGCAGAGCCCATGCTGTGAAAGTATAAAGCCTGTATTAACCCCAACTGCTGTTGTGGGAATCTCAGTGATGACAGTGTGTATCAAAATTGCAAAATTTCAGGACTGTCACCATTTGAGTACAGATTACTTCTGTCATTTGTAGTTTATAGCCTCAGTACTATTCAAAACATTGCAAAAGACACCTGCAGTACACCCTTTTAGCCGTGCCTGCTTATCTCTGGAAAAACCTATGGAAAGGACTATTATACAACCCGTATCATACTAGTTAAAGAGCTACTGTATATGATTATTGGTGTGCTTTCCATATATTTTGAAATTTCTACTGATTTCTTCTTTAGAACTAAAAATTCTTATCCCATGGGAAATTGTAAAATTCTTTTAACATCAGACTAGAATCTTGCTATTTTAATTTTTCCTGAAATTTTGTTTAGGAAGGGAAAATAATAATAAAAAAACCAAATCAAACACTCCCTCTTAGCCACACTTTTGCTCCAAAATTACTGGTGCTCCAGAAAATGGCTGTGAACCTGGCAGCTCTGCTTTAGAGCTTGACAGAATTTCAATTCTGCCATAAAAAGACCTGCAGACCTAAGATCAGGCCCTTTTATCCCAACAGGAACAGAAAGCAAACCTGACAGAAAAATTCTAAATAAAAGCTATTTATCATCTCACAATTGTAATTCTCTAATTATAGAACAAGATGATGGATAAGACTTCAGTTAAAGATTGCTCAAAAGTAAAAGGGGAATTCTGTTCCCTGTATCCTGTTCTCTGTAGACTTCACTCAGAATTTATTCCTGACTATGCATGCTACCAAGGGTTGTTATAGCAGAAGAAATACCAAGATAATGCTAACATTTAATTTACTCCTTTCAAATACTCTTCTGTTGAAACACTGAAAGAGTCAACAGTTCACTGAACAAAATCGCATAATCAACTTATTATATACTGTTTGCATGAGGCAGGATTTCACAAAATATTTAATCATATTCAGTGCAAAAAACTTTCTAAAACTGTAACATTTTCAATTCAGAAGTCATTTGGCATTGCTTCACCCTGCCCCATTTTGTTTTTAAAAACATGATAATGACAAATTATTATGGAGTAAGTTTTATGCTGAATGCACGCACAGAAAATAAAGCATTTACCTTGAGAGGCATTTTACAATATTCATTGAGTAGGGGCACATCAAAAACTAGCCTTCTCAACAGCTGTTGTAGCATAGAGGGACGTAAGTGGCTGTAATTTAAAAAAAAAAAAAAAAAATAGAACTTCTTAATAAAATTCATACAGTCTGGTGAATATGAAGTAAAAATTGAAAACAATGTGCATACTGCAAGTCAAATCACTCATTAAAAGTATTTTGAGAAACCAGTAGTAGATGCTTAAGGAATCTCTCTATGCTTCATCTACATATAGAAGGATATAACACAGAAAAACATGCTGCTTCTGGACTCTCTTCAGTGATTAGACAACATGTATGATTGTGCCATATGACAGCAGAGGGAAGGGTACTGGATTTTTTCAGAATACATAGAGGGTACAATCTAAGCAAAAGAAACAGAATATTATCCTGACAAAATGGTTACTGATGTGACACTAAAAAAACCCCAAACACTCCTAACTGAAACTAATCTGGGAAATACATTATGATTATTCTTATAAGAAATAAATCTCAAGTGGAAGACGGAATAAATTATCCAGCATTTCTTTGCTAGCTATTGAATTTCAGTGATCTACAAACTCAAAATCAATGTAAAAATGTGCCTTTCAGATATCCCCCTCAGTCGTCACTTTTTCAGGCTGAAGATTCCTGGTCTACTAAATTATTCCAAAGGAGTGAAATGATTTCTTATGTTGATTCTTCTTGTTAAGCTTTTCTGAATCTTTTCCATTTCTACTATATCTTCTTTTTGGCAGGGCTCCAGTGCTATGCACAAACTGAAAATTCACACTGCATTACTAATTTCACAGTCCACTGCACAAATAGCACTACAGTTTATGACAAAGATCAAGAAATATGATTCAGTTGGCAAATCTACATCTCAATTCCTGATACAACTTCAGTGCTCAGTTCAGTTTTAGGATTTGGAGAGTGAGGGGAGGTTTTCTTCTTTTTTTTTTTTTTTTTTTTTTTTTTTTTCATTCTTCAAACCACAATCAGAAATACAAGCAAATTTATTCCTTAAATCTTCAACACATACTCACTATCAGACTTGCCAGAACATTTTTGGTAGTTACTGGGATTTTGTTTTTACAAATAATCAGAACTTATCCTGTATCACCGTAAAGATCATATCAACATGACAGCTTGTATAATGCAGTATCCATAACAGAAAAATCAAATCTATTTTCTCTTTAAAAAAATCTCATACACTCTGGTCATTTATTTCATGCAAGAATAAAATAATGGTAGTTCTACATTATGCAGAAAAAAAAATATTAAAATACATACACTGCACAAAAGAAATTAATTTGTACACAGGTATCATACATACTGGCAAATAGCAAGTAGGCATTCTTCAATAGTGTCTCTTTGTGCTTTTGTAAGGGAACGTCCCTTGGATAACCTATATATTGTGTGAAGCATGGAGTCAACCAGAGAGGCATGATGCTCTGTTCCAGAAAAGAGGGGAGCACATCTTTTGAGTAATGGAAACACAGCTGAGCAAATATATCTATTTAGTGCAAGAGCTGCCTCTGTGGTACTTAGAGAAACCTGTATGAAGCAGTAAATGAATGTTAGTATCATATAGAATAAAGGTTACTCAATATAAAGTCTATAAAACATAATAATGAAATACTCCTCAAGTCCCCTTAGTGGCTGGGTGCTAACATGATATTCCCAGTATACACATGAGGGCAAAAGCTATTTTTTTTTTAACTTGAGAAAATCCAAGACATCCCCTATCTCTTGCCTTACTGCACTCTGAACCAACAGGAGCAAAAAAAGAATATGCAGCTTCTTTCTTTAAACAGGTCAGCAAAACACAAAGCATTAAGTATCATGTCACTTGATTTCTTCATATGTACACATATATGAATTTTCAATGTACTTCTTGAAAGCACACATGAAATAAAAGTAACCATTAAGCCTATTACAGTATATCCAATATACATACTGCATAATTAATGTATTAAAAGTTTTTGAACTACATTACAGTGTTGCTTGATAAGGTAGTACTGAATGCCTATGATCAGACTTAAACACTATAAATTATTAGTAACTGAATGATTACTGTTTGTGCTTACAGTGAGCCTACACTACCTTTTTTTTTTAAAAAAAAAAAAAGCTGGTTTGACTTGAAATTCTGTCCCTTACAGAGCCACTATATTCAGCCACTGCACCTAAACTCAATAGTGAAATACTTACTGTATCCAAAGAGGCAGAGGCTCTTAAATCTGGTAAAAATCCAACTTCCAGTAGGTGAAGGAGGAAGCTTTGGTCCTTAATACCATAGACACGGTCCAAGAAGAGTACCATGGGTGCTTTATGATCAGGACAGAAGTTTGCAGACATGTCTGGCTCGTTTACTGTGCCATCTACCCAAATACATAATGCAATTTTTAATAGTAGATAACTGATAAAACAAGAAGCACCAAGAAAATGAAAGACACTGTAATTACATTTAATGTGTAAAACCACATGTTCAATGAAAATTATATTCTTGTTCAGTTTTCTCATAAGCTGAAAAAGAATACTAAGCTTTTATTATTTCAAAAACTCTATATTTTGCAATTTATTAATCTTTTACTCTTAAATGAAAGTTTAAGAATGAATGGCATTCTCCTTGTTTCATTACTACTATGGACAATGCTTATATAGTAAAATTAAAGATAAATAATACTGCAAATATTAAAAGTATATAGTAACTGTGAAGTCAAAGAAGGTTAAGAATTTTAATTTTTGTCTCATTTAAATTAGACTAGGAAGAATATGGAATTCAAGGGAAAGACAACAATAACACAGAAGTTAACTGTGTATCAGATAAACCATCTCTGACTGTAAAGGGGAATAGACAATTCTTGTGAAACAGAAAGGACAACAGAAGAAGGAGGAGGAAGACCAAGTTATTTTGTCATAGAAGAAAATGACAGACTGGTAGTTTATAGCCCATGGAACATGGAGACATTAATAGCAAAAATGGAGATCATATGCCATAAAAACCTCATCCTCTCTTGAGTTTATGCTTTATAGAAAATTTCAGATTGTATGGTTATCTTGGAAGTTATTATTTTGTGAAAAACAAATGTGGATAACCACATTGACTGCTTCTAGGAAAGAATCAACAGTTGCACAACAAGGAAGAACACTCATCATCAGAGTGCATCACCTCTGAACTCTGATTTTGAATTATTTTTGAGTTCCAGAGTGAAGAGGGTGAAAACTCGAGTCTTCACTGACTTCCCTTTAACAGGTAGTGTTAAGAAGTCTGTTAGTTCCACTGACAAAACCTCAATTTCAACCTCAATGACAGGTAGGCATCCAGGTACAGATAGGGAGCTGTGCAGTTTGATGCAGAGAGAGCAGCAGGTCCTTGCCATGCCCTGGGTTCTGGTTCTCTATGTGTACACACAGTACACAATGTTTGGGTCTTCAGAGAGTAATCTCACTCCCCAGAGGTGAGAATGTATGAATCGGAGTAGTAAGAGAAACAGGTCCTACAGCAACACAGCTGCATAGCCTCAATTCTACAGTGACAACTCTTGAGGTAGAGGAGGACATAAGTCTTGGGGAAGGAGTGTATCTACCTGGGAAGGAAGGATCTTAAGAGAAGAACCACTTCTCCACACTATGTCAGTATGTTCCAGTGCACATAAGATTCTCCTGTGGTAGACAGGGCCTCCAAGGATATGAAGAAGCAGGCAGTGGAAGTGGGAGATTTGCTGTATTAGGCACTAAGCTGGGTGGCTTCATAATGTGTAAGAGGATTCCATGATAAATTGTCTATAGCTTATGGGAAGACCTCGTGGGAGGCAGGCAGAGATCTTGAGTCTCAAAGAATGCGTGAGATAGTGGTGTAGAGGAGAGGGATTTAGTTAAGATGTATTATAAATGGGAAAATTCTTTTGGGACAAGATGGGCAAGTACAGAAATAGCCTGCACCTTAATAAAAAAGAAATCAAGCTTCTAGGATTAAATGTTAGAGGTCAGAGTGGACCTAGAAATTGGAGAAAAGGTGTAGAGGAGCACCTTCTTCAGATCAGGACAATCCCAAAGTGAATATGTCTGGTTTTCACTTCCTCTGAAAAGGCCAGGGAAGAAATAAACAGCAGAATTCTAAGAAACAGGAAAGATGATTACAATGCAATGTGCACATGTAACATTTTAAGCAAGCAATGACAATGAGGACTCTATACTGAGTCATCAGTGACCTGGAGAAGGAGACAAACAAAGGAGCCTGCAAGTCGGTATAAAACACTAAATTCTTTGATGGGGTTAAATCATTAACAAAACTGAGTGAGCAAAGTAGAGGTAGCTGCACTTCAATGAAGAAAACTCTTAAGTTAAGGCATCTGCAGAAAAATAAGACATGCCTACTTGATGTTGAGCTTGGAACTGACATTACAAAGAGATGTTGAGGTCATCACTGAAATTCTGTGAAACCATTAGCAGAAGTGTAGCAGCAGACCAAGTCAGTCAAGATAATGGGCAAAATCAGAAAGGGGTATTCAGAATATGAGAGGGGGGATCATTTTTGTGCAATATAAAATAGAAAATTAATACATAAACCAAACTATTGTGTGCCCATGTTATCAGCACAACTTTCACACCTATTGTACATCTCACAGCTGTTTTTCATATCTTAGGACTGCAGAATAGAGATAGTGAAGGTACACAGAAGGGCAACTAAACTAATTCAGGGAATGGAGCAGTTACACTGAGAGACTATTGAGATTCTTCAGTTTGGCAAAATGAGGACTGAGAAAGCATATAGCTGAGATTCTGTGAGATTTAGAAAATTATGAATGTAGCTGACAAGGTGAACGAAGAACTGCTATACACCAAATCCCCAAATACTACTCTTCAAGGGTGTTAATTAAAATTAGTAGAGTATAAGTGTTTTGTTGTTTTTAGTTTTGTTTTAAATAAAGGGATATGCTTAAAATGCTTCTTTATCTAGCAAATAGTGGAGTTCTGGAACTTATTGCCACAGGATTTTGTGAGTACTGACATTATTCCAAAGGGATTAGATACATTCTTGGACACCAGGTCCAGATATGGTCCAGAAATGGATATTAATGTACAGGACCCTCTAATCTTTCTGAACAAATGACTGGATGAAGTACAAAAGGACTGAGTCCAAGGTTACACATTCTACCTAAAAAGATAGCATTTCCACAACCACTGCTGGAGACAAAGTAATGGGATGGACAGCCCGTTAGTGGGAACCTATGAAGTAATTCTTATGCTCTTACATTCTCTGCCCCACAGGAGTCAGTATCTGTTCTACTGGAGCAGCTCCAATTGATACGTATCCAATTAAAATCTGAAGAACAGTTCTCTGCTTGTACTCAACTCTAACAAAACTACCCTATTTTACATGTGAAGGCTTATGTGCTGGAAGATTTTTACAAATAGATGAACTGGTTGAATAAAAGCACTGAAATTACCTTTGTTAACTGTTGACAGCTTTAGTGGTATGCTTATAATCCCAACCAAATCTTCAGTTGGCACTAGAGATCGAAGGATTGATCTGATTCGAATAGCTTCCCCTTTTCCGCTTTGAATAAGCTGTTAGAAAATTTTATCAATTAAGAAATTTAGTACTGAGGAACATAAGGAAAATTTCCTCAAAATACTGATATTAATATGACTTTTTTCAAACACTGGAAAAAAAATGCTCAGAAATTCAATTTCTCCTAGCACTCTAATGTAGTTGTTGATTTTCAGATGATCTTACTTATGAATAATAGTTTTGATATCTTATCAATAATTTCACAATATTATGTATTCCCCGTGACAGAAAACAACATCACGTGGATAAGATTCCTATCCCAACCAGATAAAGTGATTAAACTGAATATATCTGAAAGACTCATGTTATTTACAGAATCTATAGTGCCAGGTTTTGAGTTTGCCTCTATACTATGAGCAAATGCAAACATGTATGATGTATCTATGCATTTTTTTTATTATCTCTATGCAGTAAAAATTTCAAAATACATTAACAATGAGGTGACCAATTCCTTTATAGCAGAAATTAGGTACTCACAACTTGTGTCTCTGAAAATCTCTATCAGTAATTTTCCTAACATGAAACTACTATCTCAGGTAACAGACAGCTACAGACAACTTTACAGCTAATAAACTTAATGGCTTTGGTAATAGTAAGAAGGCTACAAACTAAATTTCTTGCTTGTTTTACTGAGATATTGCATTTTCAGCTGGATTTATGCTATTAAAAAAAATCTTAAGATTCTGACAAGTCAATTTAACTAAAACTAAGTATAACAAGTGGCTGTTACAGGCAGTACAGTCAAAACAGTTATTTTACATATTTTTCCATGTATTTATATGGCATAGATACCATATTTCATCAGTGCACACAAAAGCAGCTCTGCATCACAGACGTTATGAAAGTGATTTTTATGGCTTTCTAGAGAACTGTAAAGGTTGAGTTTCAAAATTTAATTGGAAGTATAAATGTGCAACACTAATAGTTCATCTTTGCTTTGATTCCATAGTCATATAAAAATTCTCAAAATTTTAGATAAATAAAAAAACATAAAGAATCAAAAGACCATGCTGCTTTACAAACAGCTTGCAGGGAACACATCTGTCTAGATACAGCGAGAAATGCAATAAATTTCACCTTCTGAAGAGAAGCAGCTTTTGAATAAAGAACAGTTTAGTTAGACATGTACAGTTTTGTTACAAATCTCCTACATTTTCTGAACAAGTGACAAAATGAACTTACATGCATTTCTGGTGCACAGCGTCCAAGTAAATCTATAAGAGCTGAGTAAAATGACATGATTGCATTGCCCATGTGTACAATCTCCTCTTCTTCCTCCTCCTCTTCACTAAAAGGTAAACAAAGCCAGTGATCATTTTTAAGTTTATAGCACCCCTCTGGATCTAGATCCATGATCCAGAGACTATTAATCAGATATACTAATTTCCTCTGGGTCTGGATTACAAGGTTTTTATCTCTAGAGTAAACATACAATTGAACAGTGATAACTGACTTCCTCCTCTTTCACTTTACCTTTGCTTTATTCCACAACAGCCTTCTCCTTCAGGCTTCTTTTCTATAGCTCTTACTCCACTGTTACCTAGCTCATGCTTTATGAATTCCATATCACAAATGCTTTTAGATGCAAATCTCTAATGCTCTATGTTTGTATAATGCCTTACACAACAGGGCCTATTACCAAAATATTGCAAGCATGATTAAACCAACTCAGCTATTAAATCATCATTTGCCAAAGGAGCATTCACATTTACTTACCCTTCTCTTTTATAGGCCTGGGAAGGAAGGTCACGAGTAGGATTCTCTGAGATCCTGATAGCTTCTTGCATAGCTGCCAGCAAACCATTTCCTCCTTCTCCCCTAAGGTCTGGTCCGAAGCACTCTGGCCGTCGAATAAGGAGCTTGACAACAACACTTGCATTTTCTTCAACACTTTCACCTGAGGACCAAAACCAACTATACATACTTTCTCCTGAAAGGTATCCTTAAGTCAGAAGACAACCATATTTCCCCCTAACTTCTACAAAATATAAAGCAAATCCTCATCCCTATTTTTGGGAAAAAAAAAAAAAAAAACAAAAACCACAACAAAAAACAACCCCAATCAACTAAAAACCCAAACCGTATCAACTTGGCAGCTCAGATGTGCTTTATCAAAAACATACCAAGGTTTAAAAGTGACAGTGCAGACTTGTCTTGCAAAAGTTTCACTACACTCAATCTAGAAAGGTTCACTTCAGAAGGTTAATTTGCTTTTTCTGGCAAAGACTACTCTCTCTGGTATACAGGTTAATAGTCCCAAGAAGCCTGCTATTGGGGAGGGCGAGAAGGAAGTTTTGGCTCTAGCCAACTGCCCCAACCTCTTGCTCTCTCCCCTCTCCTGCAGAACAGGGAGAAAATAGAAGGAAGTTGTGATGACTCATGGATCAAGATAATGACTGTCTAGTAGAAAAAGCAAAAGCTATGCATGCAAGCAAAGCAAAAAGACAAATTCAATCACTGTTTCCCAGGCAGATGTTTAGCCAGTTCCTAGAAAGCAGGTCCTCGGCACACATAAACGGTTGGGAAGACAAGCACCATAACCACAAACATCCCCGTCTTCCTCCTTTCCCTGAGTTTTTACTGCTGAGCACAATATCATGGTATGGAGTATCCCTCTGGTCAGTCTGGATCAGCTGTCCCAGCTGTGTCGCCTCCCAACCTCTTGACCACACTGAATCTACTCAGTGGGGCCAGGGGAAGAGGGGAAGGGGGCAGAAATGAAAAATATACCACCATATGGGTTGATATGAAGAAAACTAACTCCATCCCAGACAGACCTAGTACAGAGCGTGAGTTACTTGATTTTTAATGAGCCAACTGAAGCAAGGAATGTTGCTTAACATTATGTCCTTAGAACTTCATCAGTGGAAAACTCATCTCAGAGTCTTATCTTCTCCACTAAAAGAATAACAAACTGTATTTTAGGTTAAATATACCTACAGTAAAATCTCCTTGATTCTTTCAACTGCATTTTAAAATATTCGTTAAATCTTCTGCTTGCTATTTAAAGCCTGAAATGGAATAGTTCACTTTTTCTATATACAAAAATCACATTAAAATCAGTTGTGAAGGTCATGGCTTGCCTGAAACAACCCCACTTATAACAGCTTTGTGTGGAAAAATGTATGTATATTTGAAAAGGGTGAAGAGCGGGTTTAACTATTGTATAAATCCAGCACAGGCAGAGAGGTGGTGATCTAGAAGCTTGCGAAATAAAAGAAGGAACCTTCATATACATGTACTCTGTATGCAGCTAGCTGCTTTGTGGACTGCAGTTAGTGGCACATGGAAGAATGATAGGAATAATCAGGTCAAATTCTCAGCTGATGGTTAAATGCAACTGTTTCAAAATGCACAGTCGCTACCTTATAAGAATACTGATAACCTGTATGAAGTTATGAAATTAATGGGACATGTAGGAAGAAAACAAATTACAGGAAACAGTAATATAAAATGTAACAGAAAAATACAGTTCACAGCCACTGAACTAGTTATGTCAGTAGCTTGGATCATCAGCACCTATATTTTACATGGAAGCTACAATACTAACCCAGTACACAATAGCAAGTTTATATTAAACTGAATGTTGAAGCTTTAACAGCCACTAAAAAAGTAGGATTAGAAACTGTGGTTTAGCCAAGAGCAGCAGTGGTGCTACCAGAAATACAGAGTCAACGGAAGGCAATGGTAGGTGAGGTAACTGGGACTGACTGGCTCTAGAAGGAGCAGCTAAACACTTTAAACATGTCAGTCTTGTATTTTTCCCACTTAAAACACTGGTATGAACACAGGATGAGAGGAAATGGCCTCAAGTTACACCAGGAAAGGTTTAGATTGAATATTAGGAAAAATTTCTTCACTGAAAGGGTTGTCAAGCATTGGAAGAGGCTGCCCAGGGAAGTGGTGGAGTCACCACCCCTGGAGGTATTTAAAAGACGTGTAGATGTGGCACTTAGGGACCCGGTTTAGTGGTGGACTTGGCAGTGTTAGGTTTATGGTTGGACTTCATAATCTTAAGGGTCTTTTCCAACCTAAATGATTCTATGATTCTACACCCTAATTACTGACATTCCACGCTCAGTAGGGGTTTTTTATTCTTTCTTTCTTTCTTTCTTTCTTTCTTTCTTTCTTTCTCCTTTTCATTCACCTTATTTTCATACTGCAGGGAAAAAGCAAGATTTTAAATCTTAAAGTCAACAATTTTAGTTTCATTTGGTTAAAATCTTCTAAGTGAAGATTTTTAAAATAATGAATTAAGTAAAATCTAGTCTCAAAAAAATTCACCTCTCTACAGATATACAAACTACCATCAAAACACACAGACCACCCAACCCCAACTACAGTTCCTAGCTGCTCCCAAATCTTTGTATGTTTGAAACATCTTCTGAGGACACAAATACAAAACCCCCTTAAAAATTGTGAGGGGCTGTTTGAATCCATATTGCATAATCAAAGCGCAAATCAAAACAAAATTATGAAAGGTAATTAATTTTTAATTTAATAAAAGCACTACCAATATTATATCTCTATCTATCTAAAACTGTCATAACAAGAAGATTCAAAACCCTGACCATAACTGTTTGTCAGAAAAAAAGCAGCTGAAACACTTGAATCTAAATCTTAATTCTAACAGTTCATCCAGCAAAGTTTACTCTTCATAATAAATAAACTATCACAAGACAAAAGTTATCTTAAAGTAATTATACACAGTACTGTTAACATTTATTTATAAAATAAACAAGGAAAACCACACACTTTATTATCTCAAAGACTATTTGTTCTACACTTCTTATATCATAGCAGTTTGTCAAGTTAGTTTAGCAGCCTGCTCAAGCTTATCAACTAATGAACATACTTCAGACATGTTTACTACACTGGACAGTAAATGTGCTTATTGTTTCTATTCCAGTTATTCTTTGCTAATTTCAGACCAATAGTAAGGGAATAGAACAGCCAAAATCTAAAAATTAGACTGTTTAAAATGATTCTCTTTCAGCGGTCTCTAGCTGTCCTTACAGCAGTTTCCATACTGGCAGACCAGATAGGTGGTGAAAAGCCAAGTCTTTTGATCTCATCTATTCTCTAATTTAAATTACTAGTTTGGCGGAAAAAAAATCCACATGAACTGGAGGATGCTTTTTGTTTAGTGGCATTCAGATAATCTAAATATGATTTTAGCATATTTGTTTCATAAATTTCAAAAGGAAACTGGCCACAGAAGCAAGTATAAGACAGTTGTCAAAGGAGAAGACTTTTTTCTTTTTTTATGACATCAGATTTAAGGTACACAGTCAGGGTGCTTTACAGACACTGATCCCTCAGAACTATGTACACATGTGATCTATTGGAAATTTGCTTTTTGTAATGCAAAATGGCCTAATTACAAAACTCTAAATCTCCCAGTGGTATAGTGGCTAAAAAAGGTCTAACCATCAGTGCTGACTGGTTATGCATATAACCAGTATATATGGTATACACAAATACCACAGTTTACTTACTGAAAGAATTCCTAATATTATTTGCCACTCTATTAAATTATGCAAGTTGCAAAAAGAGTAAGGAAAAAAAAAATGCAGCTGATTATGAAGGTTCAAAAAACTAGAATAAGCAGAATATACCAATATTCTTGTATTTGTAATGAGAACAGTATGCATTAACCTCTCTTCATCCATTAATGCATTTTTATGGTTAGAAAAGAAATTTTAAGCAAACCTTTTAATGGAACTTGGATGCCAAGAAATACACTTACTGTTAACAAAAACTGCAAATCTTAAGAATGACAGGTAACGTTCACCCTCTATTGGATTCCATCCAATGTCTGGATAGCCTTTAGCCAGCAGTACTGGACAACTCTGCAGACCACAACCTGCCAAGTAGGTAACAACCTACAATACAGAAGCAATCATTTACTCATGTGTTTAGGAATAAATTTCTAAAAATAAGTATGAAACAAAATGAACATTGTTTTGTTTTGGTTTTTAATAACAAGGATTTTATATACAAGGTATTTCACGTGAGAAACTACCAACATAGCTCATTACTGCATCAGTCTCAGTTTCTAGTTCCTGCTTTTGATGATGAAGAAAAAAGTCAAGCACTCTTTACTTCTGAAGTTACCTAATTATATGATGATATAAGAATACAACAATAAGAATAGATGTGGAATGTGAAAGGTAGAATAAAATATTGTGGAATTCAGATTTTTTTTTTACAGTACATAAACAACAGTTAAAATACTGTTTAACAACTTTAAAAATCACATCAATAACCATATATGGCTAATTTGCTACAGTAGCAAAATAAATATTGCATCAACATTTTATTTACCGTAATTCCAATTTTAGTACATATGCAAATAATTAAATTTTTCAGAATACTGATAAATATCAGTGAACAGTTTTAAGAGTCTGAAACCAGAAAGATTACAATTTTTGGCAATATGTAAATTCCTAATACCAGTTATTGTCAAGAGGAATATCTCTAACTAAGGGAAATCTTTGAGAAATTATGACAAATTTCATTAATTATAGTAAACTAATTTTTCTGAAACATGTACAGGATGATTTCTCAATCATTTAAAAGGAAATTTGCAGACAACTGCACAAACATGATTTTTGTTTTTAATTAAAATACACAAAGGACAACACAACACATGATGATAATACTTAAATATATTTTGAAATAAGTAATGAACATCAAGAAGCCTTCATGAAACTGTAAAAAGAGATGCAATCATCATTTTTTACAATGGAAGGCAGCCAAAAATGGGTGGAAAAAGGGAGATAGGTTTTTCTGTTTGGAAGAGAGACATCTGTTATTCTGCTTAAGCACTCTTATAGCAATTCCACCATCCATGAGATCATATTTAGTCATTATCTAATGCCCTAGGAGAGAAACTAGTAATGAATTCAGGAAGAAGAATTATACCTCTGCTGATACAGTTGCCTCCAAAAGGCTGCAACAGAGGAAAAATGGGCTGATGTGAAAAAATTGTTTATTACAGCATACAGTAAGCAAATTACTCAGTGCACTTGGTAGAAAAACTATGCAATCCCTAACAGAGCTCAATAGCTTTCTAGCATCCATTCAGAAGATATGAGTGAATACATACTTGTAGGAGACTAGAGCTGCATCTTATACAGAATGTGAGAAAACTGGTAGAATAAATCTCCATCTCTTTTCAGATTTTATAATGCTACCACCAAACCCCATAATTTTAATCTATTTGGTTTACTATAGTATGTCATCAGGGCGTGGGCTACTTTTCTTGTGCAATCCTCTACCCTCCACACATTCACACATGTGCAGTAAAAAGAGGTCAAATCTGCAGTGGCAAAAGTTAAAAAGTAAAGTTGTCTCCGTGTAATTTATTGGCTTTGAACACAGGCTTTATAGTACAAACTTCAGTCACACAGAAATGCTGTATCATTCTGTGAGTAGGGTACGTATGCCATGTTCATGAAACTGATATTGTTTTTTCTTGTATATAGATTTATTTTCTGAATACCATCCACATGCTGCACTGTATAAAATTATTGACTCTCCAAAGTTAATATATTACAGGCAATACATTACCATTCTTACAGCTAAAAATGGTGAATTTTGGAAGCCCAGATTGAGACATATACAGCCTGATTTTTCAGCATAAAATACTGTGTGCACTGCAGCTGATATCTGTTACTGTGTGAACATTCAATACTTGTATGGTGCCAAGTATTCCAGTGTAAGCAATCAGTAAATGAGGAACATGCAGTTAATGATCAACAGTGAGATTCAGTTTAAGTGATTTGTCCTACAGTAATTTTCATGAAAATGTGAGGCAGTCACTGGTGGTGTTCCAGTCACTCGTGGTGTATCCTAAGGGTTGAGAGAGCAAATGAGTACCACACAGCTGCTCAATCCCCCCTTTCCCTCCCAGCACTGGGACGGAAAAAAGCAAAAGGCCCAGGAAACTGAGATAAGGGGGGTGGGGGGATGGGGATGATGAAGTCATCCTTTAAGGTACAGGCAAAACCCAGAATCATTAGGGGAAGAAAAAAAAGAACATAAAATTTAATACAGACAATAACAACAACAACAACAACATGTAACAGTCAGAGTAGGCCTGTGAGAAGGATTATCACATCTTGAAAAGACCTTCTCCCACCCCTCCCTTCTTCCTGGGCTCAGCTTTGCTCCCAGTATCTCCACCTCCATGCACCTGCCACTTCTTCCCCTTCAGGGAGGGGGAAGCTTCTTACATTCCTCCCCTGTCCCAGCACAGTCCCCCTCTCACAGGAGACAGTCCTCCACAAACCAGCTCCAACATGAGTCACTCCCATGGGCATGTGGGTCCCACCCACAAGTTGCAGTCCTCCCAGCACTGAACTACAACTGCGGGGGCTTCTTAGGGCACAGTCACCTGGGACTTCTTGACATGGGACCCCCACAGGCTGCAAACTGGTATCTGCTCCACGACAGACCCCAATGGGTGGTGGTGGGCAGCCCTGCAATCTCACCATGGGATACAGGGGAGTGTCTTCTCTGGTGCACCTCCTCCCCTCCTCCTCCTTCCTTCCACTGACCCCAGTCTCTGCACAGACATTCTCCTCACAACTCCCCCAACTCCTCTCAGGTTCCCCTTCTTAAATATGTTATTGCAGAGGCACAGCTAATTGGCCTGGCCTTGGCACAAAGGCAGGTCCAACTTGGAGCTGGGGGAGCTTTGAGCCTGTAGCCTCTTCCCCTGCTATCAAAAAACCCCCCACCACACACTCAAATCAGGACAATACTGGGGCCAATACTGTTTAATATCTTTAGTAATGACAGGACAGTGTACTCTCAGCAATTTTGCAGGTGATACAAATTTGATAGTTGTTCTCAATGCTACCTTTATCTAATTAGTATATTCCCATGCTCTCTCACATCATTCCCATTCATATTCCTGTCTTTGTCGTCTTCTAGCTATCCCTACCATACATCCATTTATTTCCTTTTCTCAGCTTTTCCCCTCCCACAGCATATGCTGATCACAAACACCCCCACAATTGGTTCTACTATCTTCACAGGATTCTCCCATACTGCACAGAGGCTTTCCCTGTGCTAAGCCATCATTTAGGTGCTTAACTGTTCTTCATTTATATTAAACTCTGCCTTCTGTTTTCTGTTCCCCAATGCTATACTAGTACATATCACTTCCTTTCCCTGCTTTCCTCCTCTTCTGACTGCGCACTCATCTTCCATCTCTTAATCTGTTTTCCTTCCTGGATATACAAAGGACTTTCATACTATTTTTTGTATCCTTTTACCCACCATTTGTAGTTCATCCTGCCTCTCCTCACATTTTCCTTTATTCCTAACTGTTGCCAATGACCTGACTCCTGGATTTAGTTTCCTATTGCAATTACCCTTAAAATCCTGTTCCAACTTCCCTTCTTCAAATACCTGCCCTTCCATTCTCTTAGCTCTTGCCTCCATTCCCATCAATCTCTATGATTTATTTAAGCCAGAAAACCTGCTTTCTTTCTCCACATTCTCCTCTTAATTTTCAAATTAGCTTCTCCCCAAACAACGTTTCCTTCCTCCTGTGTCTCGCCTTTTTCTTCTTTTCATCATTTCTACCTGATTACAATAGTGAAAGAATGCAGAACATAGAAATAAATCTCTTTTGCTGTGATTCCCACTAAGTGTAATGCAAAATCAAGGAAAATACTGCTCAGTGAATCTCACCTTGAGACAGCACATACCTAGAGCAAGTATTTCTGAGGAGATCATATTGAAAAATTACTATGATCAAACTTACCCTCCTAGCACAAGTAAGCTATTTAATAAATAGGTCAGAGTGATCACTTACCTTATCGAGATCTGGTTCCTCCAATGCTAGTGCAAGCTCATTGTTGTCCATTACAGAAGCTGCTGCAACATCTAGTGGCGTCGAACCTCTCATTGAAGGAAACGCTGCACAAGAAAGGTAAGATAGAACAATTCGATTTGCAGTAATCACAGTCATGCAGCAGAGGGCAGCAATCACATTGGAATCTAGAACGTACTATATTAATAACATGTATTCCTGCTCTTCAATCAAGAACATGGTTAACTGTTTTGAATAATGTCAAAATAAATGCTGAAGTTGTTTTCTGACTTGACATCCATATCTATAAACATACTCAACAACACTGATTTTAAATGTAGATGAAGAAATCAGTATTAACATAGCAAATCGTAGGACTATTATACTATTTCTTTAGTAGAGCAACATGTTAACTATATAATTCTGCACAATCCCATTAACTGAGATTTTAAAATATTCCTATATTAAACTAAAAGTGACATTTTCAAGCTTCAGTTACCTGTTTTCTTTCTTTTAGTCTTATCCAGTTTTCTGTATTTAGTATGGGAAATGCAGACATCAAAATGGTCACCATGGACAGCTAAAGCGCTGTGAAACCACACACTATCTTGCCTTGCTATACCTTATTAATACAGCCCATCTATCTAGCCAAGATAATTCTCCTTGTGTTACAAAATCTAACTCACACACATTAAAAAAACACACATTCAGTGTTGCGAAGTAAAAATATGAAATTCACAGCAGTGGTCTAAATTGTAGAGGGAAGGGAAATGAAACCAGATGAAACAGGCAAGCACCATAAAGGATTAATTTAGATTTCTACTCACAACTATATTGATTGGAAAAGATGTTAAACTGTATGGATTTAATCCTAAATATTTCAAGGTATTTGAAAACACAGATTTAGACTATTCTGTTTCTAATACAGTTCACAGACACATAAGGATGAAAGGAAAATGGGGGGGAAAAAAAAAAAAGAATTAGAGGTGAAATCACAAAGTGGTTTAAGCTTCAGAAAGGCTTCATCACATGCTTCAATTTGCTATACAAATTAGATACTAGTCTTGTGATATCACAGTTCCTCCTGGTCTTGCTTTCAGCTCTTACAGCTACATGACATACCCAGTCCAACGCTGCTGTTTTCCAGTAAGTAACTAAGATGCTCAAACATGGCCTTTTGGTTTTGACGACTAATTCGACAGAAGTAGCACAGGAATCGACAACAGCTTGCCACCATCTTAGGAAAAATGATCTGCTGAAGAAGAAAGTTGACAAAGCAGTGAAATATGTTAATTACCAATCTGTTCCAATTCTTCTTCCTGCACTCCTAACAAGGAAAGTATAGTGAAGTTACCAAGGTGATAAGCAGCTGACAGTTTTGCTTCTAACTTAAGAAAGGACCCTCACTTCCTTTTAATTTTTGCACTCATTAGGCCATTAGGTTTAAAATAATTAAAAAATAATTTTGCAGAGGACTATAGGGGATGTATAAGGGGAAAAAAACCAAAGAAATTACTCTCATCAAAGCAATTTGCAGATTAGCAAATGCAGTTCTACAAAAACTGTATTTTAGCAGCATTACAATAACAAGCTCATTCCCAAATATTAGGTCATAGCAGAACAAAGAATATACAAGAACCTTAGTTTATCCTCTAATATTACAATAAGAATATATAGTCTTCATATAAAACATTTTTACAAGACTCCTATATTGTTCAATGTATAGGCCTGATAAAATTAAACTCCATTAACTATCCAATGCTTGTAAAACCAAAAGCAAACAAAAAGCCACCACCACTTTACCTGCTGCACATTATATTCAAGGATTTCTCCTCTGAAAATAAAATAATTTCATCTGTAGAAAGTTTCAATTAGTCATAACATCTGAGATTAACAAGTTATGCCATTCTCACATTTTACTGAGAGAACAAGACCAAAAATCATGGGAGAGATTTTTGATGCTTGTTTGAAGGTTTTTCCATTTGATTAAATACATTTTCCATTACATAGCACTTTTTAAAAAGTGTCAAGTTCCACTGCAGATCTATGTCCTCAGGATACTTCATAAAATAAATGAGAAAACTCATTACCATCATGGAGAATTTTGAGGTTTTTTGATAATCTGACTAGCACCCTTTAGACATAAGCAGGAATATAGCCGATATATTTTTTATTTATATATATTTTTTTTTCCCTATAATATCCAAGGTGATATCTGAGCATTATAACCACAATATCATGGATTTTTTTCTTCCTATAACATCCTGCCTCCTTCACTTCATGCCTTTCAACTATAAATAATATTGATTATACTTAATTATAAAAAAGTCTAATAAATGTTGCCTTCTTTACAAAACAACTCTAATTCATGCTGAGAAGTGCAACCTTTTCACTTAATGAAACAACAATCTTGCAGAAAAAAGTGATTATGTAATTAAAAGCTATAAGATATGCATTATCTTTTCAAGACACCAAGTGCACTTCCTAAGTTCCAGAGACTTGATTAACTGTAGTTTTACTTTGGCACAGTTTCATTGCTGATCCATGCGGCCCATTTGTCTATTTCAGTAGTGAAGGAGCTATTGCATACAAGTGGCATTAGATATGATTTTTATTCTTAGATGTAGGGTAATGAAAAACATTCATTCATTAATGAAACATTCAACAAAGCTTCCAACCCCCAAATTTACATGGATTTTAATTGAATGTATGACATAACTTTGTCTAGAAAATTACAGTAACACCAATACTGTTAAAAAATGTCGTTTTAGAAATTTCTCATTATTGACAGGAATACATATGAACATGGAATTCTAAAACTTTCAATCAGTAAAAAATAATTTTGAAGTAAAATGATTAAATTCCGACAGCCAAAAAGGGTGTTTCTCAGGATTCTCTGAAAATGAGCAACCAACACCAGAAACCAACATGACATGAAGATTCCAATATATAAGATTTAAAGACACAGTCTCCAAAATAACTATTTTAGGCATTAAGATACACGTTAAAACCTAACTGATGGAAATGCTCAAAACTTGCCCAAGTATTTTCTGGGACATATCTTTCACCAATGAAGAAGCTTTAAAGGATTTTGCTAGCCAGTACTAGCAAAATACTTCTAAGGTACCTTCACCAACACCATATTCCATAGATCTCTTCATATGTTTCTGACTCATTAATTAATAGAACAGCTGGAAAGAAGCCTGACATAAATTTTCTTCAGTTTGAATGGACAAGTTGTTATCTTCTCACCATTCCTTCAGGAAAGTGTGAGCTATAAAACTCTCACTACATGTCTCAATACAGCCTCATGATAAAATCACTTAATCTAAGAAACTGGAGATCTACTTTAAAGCATATGCTGCCATAACCTATGAAAAAAAAACCCAGTCCCTAAACAGAGAATACATTGCATGGTTGTTCATTCCATCTCCTGAAGCTATAACACTGAACAGAAAGAAATGTCCATGAAGCTGGAAAGAGAAAATAAAAGGGAACATACTAACAATCTCGCCATGAGGAACTTGCTTGAGAGCAGAAAAAAAACCTGTGTTCTAGTGCCTGTAGATAAGCATCTCACTGGTCAAACACACAGTTAATTCCAAACGAGTATATAAAACCATAGCTGACCAGGGCATGCTCACTGCTTCTGGCCCTACTCCGTTTTGCTCAGAAGACCTTATCTGGCAGAGTGAAAGATCCACAGCACGCACAAACATGTACCTTTTCCAGATTACAGTCTAGTGGTTCTACCTAGGGTCAACAACTTTTCAAGTGAGATTTCTCTGTCAGATTAGAAATTAAGCATGCCAGCAGAAGATCAGCAGAGAGCACATGTCAGTCATTTTAAAAGCAGTACCTTCTCTCCCTGCAAGGTTGCAGTTCCTGTAAAAGGAAACTTCAGGCTTGGAACTCAGAAGCAACACTTCTCTGCCTGTACAGTTGCCTGCCCAATGGTTTGTTCTGCAAAATCTCCCCATTGCAATATCTAAAATCCATGCTAATGGTGTGCAAAACTCTTTGTTAATAAGCCTTGCTGTGTTATTTCATAACATGACTGTAGCCCTGTGACTCCGTAAGAGAACTGTGGGTTCTGCACCATGAGTATCTGGAAGTTTCTACACTCAAGGAGAAAATGCAGCACTGGAATAGATCAAATTCCAAATACACTCTATTTATTGTCCACACTTCTTCATAAGATTTCCAGTCCTATACCAGTTCCAGTTCAGTAGGTGAGATTTTGGACGACTTCTGAGGTACCCAACTCTCCACATGTATTTCATAAAGACAGGGACTTAAAATACGACATTTTGATTGGCCACACACATTAAATGCTGCAACACCAGGTTATTTTCTAGGTCTGTATTCCCTTTGAAGGGTATCATGGTAATTTCTGTAAAGCATTTTTGTAGATCTGTGTTACCAAAATGTTCTACAAAAACATTTTAAACAGAATTAGAAGGCACTGTGTGGTAGTTGTATGGTGTTTGGTTTCGGTGGGTTTTTTGGTCACCTTTGACCAATAGACCATTGTAAACATTGTAGCAAAACCAGAGGGTTGTGGCACCTATAAAATAGCTAAGTATTAACCATCTTATAATTAATTGTAGTTTGCCTTGAGCTCTAATGTGAGCATATTCAAACAGAATAACTAAAATCCAGTATGTGAATACTTTGTAACACTGTTATGGTGTAGCCAGACACGATGTATTTTACAGAAGTATATAAGCTATGTGACCATAGAGACAATGAAAGAGGTGTGCAGCTGCGCACCGAAGGCACTCAAGTAATGAAAAGTTGCCAGAGACAAGATAAGCACAAGGTAGTAAACTGGGCTGAAAATCATTCCAAATACATAAGAAGAATGAGTGCCCAGGCAAAAGAAAACAAGATTAGAGGAGACCCCTCTTTTTGGGAGGGAGGCAATCAGACATAAGCAAAGAGAGAAGTCTGCTTCACATCTGATTTCTTCAGTAGCCTAAACATCCAGTTAGGCTTCTCAAAATTTATAGCACTCTGCCTTTAAACTAACACATATATATTCGAGCATAATGCTAAGAAATGGGAAAATACAACATTACAGGAAAATTATTTATTTAATGTAAAATAAAAACAAACCCTGTTAAAGTCCTATTAAAAGACAAATTAAACACCTATACCCTCCCACTTTTTAAAAATCAAGTCCTCAAATGCTTGGCTTCTCCCTCTGGCACTATAAAAACACTAAACAATACTTTAATTTGGACAAGGAAAATGTCTCTTACATGAAGGAGATGTATTTTTCTTTGGATACTTCTTAAATGTCATAGTATACTTTTGAAAAGGTTCAAAATGCAAAACACATAATAAAATTACGGTGAAATTACCTGAGATTTATCTCCTCCAAGTACATTCACCATCACATCCATAACAGTCTCATGCATGCCCAAGACTCTCATTAAGTTAGGATGCTGATAAAACACTTTGTTGTTCATTATATCCCTAAAATGGAAGAAAAAGCAACAATGTGTTTTTAATAAGTACCACTTAAATTTAAATCAATGATGCACTATTAGGGATTTCAGAAATATTCATTCACTGTAGTAACATAATTTTAAATTCCTAGATTTCAGTATAACACAAAACCACCTCACAACTAAATGTTTCACATTGCTGTCATTCCTTTAATTTTCATTAATTCTATATAATAAGAACCTAAACTTTTAAATTATTTCAAAATGGCATTTCTTAATCTTTAAATTGTTCTTACCATCTGTTCTGTTTAAAGAAAAAAACATTCTGTGATGATCTAAGTGGAGAAGAATATATGTGTTTTTTTAAAGTAGAGAATGGGGATCAAGAAACTGAAATCTAACCTTGCCTCTGCAGTAATACCCCTTAATTAATTTGCTCAGTTCACGAAGTAGAAGACAATAAACAGACTTAATATTCAAGGTTATCTGTTAAGTGTGTTTTATCAATATTTCCAAAATTAAGACCATCTGTCAGAAGATGTAAAATGGCATACAGTCCCCTTAAGTAGGAATATTTTAACATTTTCACTCTGCCCACCATCCTCTCAACATGTTCTAGAATTTGCTGTAATGGTTTCATAATCCAGAACACAATTTATGTGTTTCAATAGAGAATCCAGGGATTTCTAACGTTTTAGGTCAACCTGTTAAAAACAAATGGTAAATAACAGACATCATACCAGCTTTAAAGAAATACAGAAAACTGGGAATGGAAGATGATTCATAATACAGCACCTCTGGGAAGGGGGTTACACACATGCCGAGATTAGACAAAATTTACCCTTTATTCCTCCTAGAATTCTCAGCAACTTTAGAAACTCAGCATCAGCAATAAATAAGGCAATACTGTCAAATACTAACTAATGAGTTGCTACCATGACCTGCTCAATTCAACTGAAGAGAGTAGTCTGCAATTTTTACAGACTATACAGTTTTTACAGTGAAGTGGTAAGAATAATGAAAGTTCCTTATAAGTGTTGTAAAGGAGAGAAATTGTTCAATATTCTTGATGAAGGACAAATAAATACAGTTCTCAGGTAATCATACTATCTTTTTCTCTCTTTTTAAATACACCATCTTAATTTAAATAATTAATTGTGAATTTTTTCCCCTTCCAACATTAAATGGCCTAATCTGGCAATTATTCACATAAAACAAGGAACACATATGAAGGCATGCACCATAATACCACTGCTTAATAGAGGTAATTTTATACCAAAACCACTGAAAAAAATATTCTCACACCAGCAGGTGTTACATAAAGGCAATTTCTTATCAAGGATAAAATAAGAAGTCTTCCATGTTCAAATACTTTAAGCTGCCACTGATGATGACATGATAAATACAAACCAGTTTGAAATATTTCAGTTCACAAAACCACTCTGTTGGTTCGACCTATCTGCTTGCATAAACTTCCCAATTAAAAGACATCAGCAAGGTTTTTCACTCATGTATGAATTACAATGTGAGTTTTCAGTTTGGGAAAGATGTAGTATTGACACCAATAAAGATTTAAATTATCTGTTTTCTCCAGAGCTGCTAAAACATGTATTTTGATGAAGGTTTAAGCATTAGGCTTAACTACAGTGAGAGGAGCCCATTTTCTTTAGATGAGAAATTACCTTAGTTCACAGAAACTTTGACACATTTGATACTGTTAGAGAGATCAGTTGGAGCCATCTTGGAAATATCTATGGAAATGAAAAATTCTGGTACATATCTGCATTTTAGTACAGCAGTAATTTTCATTCAGGATCTAAAATAAAAATATTTACTAATACAACAAAAAGTTTAACACAAAGTTAAAAGTAAAAATACATTAATTCCATACCCTAATCCGTTAATCATTAGCAATTCCTCCTCTTTTCCCATCCTGACACTGAGAAGTGAACGGATCTGGCCCAGTGCTGCAAGCAGATTAATGGTATCCTTCACAGAGGCAGCACTAATAGTGTATGCTTTCCTCAGCGCTTGCAGTAGCTCACCAATGCTGTCATATTGCCTACGAAGGAGGGTGTACATAATCCGCACTAATTCTGGATCTTGAATCTGATCTTCCTGGGACCAGCGCACCATAGTCTGGGATATGAGTTCTTTCAGTGTAGCTAAAAAAATAAGATACATAAAATTTTACTATTAAAATAACAAAAAATGTCAAAAACATGTATTATAGTAAAATATTAGATAACAGTAGACAAGCAGACTGAATAGGAATTTTCAACTGGAAAAATAATTTTTAGAACTTTCAAGATAAGTGTGATGCACTTGAGAGGCTAAAACCAAGAAACTTGTACTAAGTCAATACCAGCATTGTTGGTAATGGAAACTTCTTAGCTGATTGTGACTTTAAGAATCATCCTTATATGTTAGATCAAGTAAATAATTTAAACTTTTGATTTATTCTTCATTTCTACATCAAGATTTATAAAATTTATAAAAAAAATACAGCACAAACACTTTTTCATTAGGAATGACTGAAATTTAATTTCATAATGCCAAAGAAACATGGTATTTTTGATACTCATCAGACTAGGTTTGGAATACAGAAATTAGTAATTAAGTTTTCAGTAAACAGTTTATTGGCTGACAAGTATGAGTTCAATTACAACATAAATATCCATGAATGTGAGCTCAGCTTGCCAATCAATTTTGCCAGGGGGGAGGAGGAAATAAAATCTGTTCTAAATTTACAAAACTGCCAGAAAGGAGGGTGAGACAGCTGCCTTTCTAAATCAAATATCCAATGTAAGGCCTAGCCAGGATGGCTTGAAGAGCTTTTGGTGGTCATTCATTTGATGAATATTTGGCCGTTTTGTGGTTCAAACAAAGGACGCACATTGTCTTCGAAAAGATGATCTGCCTAGAAAAATCTTAGAATTGTATGATGATGCATACACACTAACAAGCAGGAGATGCAAACTGACTTAGAATAGGGGAATTTAATTTCTATTTCCCATCTGTTTGGGGAAAGACACTGCCACTTGGGAATACACTTTGAATAAATTGTATTGTTTGGAACTACACAATGCATATTGCTTGAAAGAGTTCTTTTGTATACGTTACAAGTTCAGTGACCCTGAAAACAATTTTTCTGAGCCCAGAGTTTAGGAAATTTACCTGAAAACTAAACACATGTTCCAGTGTTTGTTCCAACATACGTTCATTGTTGAGATCAAGTAGAACATGAATAATCACCTTTCCTCTCAAAACAATGCAAGTTTCTTTCCTCTATTTCCAAAAAAGTTACCTCTTGACTTTGCCAAAGTTCTTCTAATGGTAAGAACTGCCCCCTCCCAATTTCCAGAACAAACGTGCTTATAGCTAATGCAAATCCATTTATTTTTGTGACTACACTATCCTTTTACTTGTTAACTTTTCTCCCTTACATTACTTAATGATGTATTTGTAGAAAACTATCATTAATTATCAGATTTTGTTTAACAAATAGGCTCTTTTCTGTGGGGAAAGACTGTGTATAAGATTTAAGATTTAAATTATTAATTTTATTATTATTAAGATTATAATATTATTCATTGACAGCCCTATTCTTAGGGACATATTATGAATGAAAACATTAAACAAGCTTTGTTCCAAACACTGTATAAGTTTCTTCAAACAAAACAATTACTTCTTTCAGTGCAACAAGGCAATTTCCTCTGATTCTTGCACTAAACTCTTCTGTCCTAGAATAACTAATAATTTCCCAGAACTTTCCAACTCATTGAGTACCACTGATTTCTGGTTACATAAATATAACAAACTTCTTTTGTCAGAAAGTCAATGATCCTATTAAAGAATTACTTACTATGCTTTCTGACTTGGGGGTGGGGTGGGTGGATAAACATGGGATAAAAGCAACCTGAAGTGGTAAACTCAAGGAGGAGGTTAAGGCTTCCTCCTGTGAAACACAGGACTGTGTCTAGATGTTTTTTGATTATCTCTATGAGGATGACCTCCCTGATCGGCTTACACAAATATCAGCTCAATTATCAGTATCAACTCAAATTCACTGGCAGTCAAAAAGATCACATCAAAAGCCAGGATTTATTAAGAAAGGAAGAGTTAAAGGAGAGGACATTATGTCATTATGTTAATCCAAATGTCATTATGTTAATCCAAAAGTCACCCTTTTCAATACAACACAAGAAGAGACCATCAAATGAAGCCCATTCACAAGGCAGGAGCTTAGCCAAAAAGAAAGTGTTTTCTTCACATAATGGATGACAGAACCCTTAAACTCACTGTCAAAAATGTGGCAAATGCTAAAAGTGCACACTTGCTCAAGTGGAGACTACACTAATATCTGTCAGAAAGATAAAACCTGTTTAGACTCAGGAAATCTCCTGAAGAAACTAGAGACTGTGACAGCATTAAGTTGTAAGTATTACATCTTATTGTTTTATTCTCACTTGCCCCCAGGTGACTATTTGTGGGCACTGTTTGAAACAAGGCATTGGGTTAGATGGATCTGAATCATTACAGTCTTACCCATCATGTTACTCCGCAACTGTAGAGACTGCTTAGTGCTTCTAGCTCCAAGTGTATAAGGCTCATTCCCAGGATTAATTTCTTAACTATTTCTTAAAGATACAGAACTTTGAAGTCCAGTTTCTAATGCCTAAAACTAGAGACTTCTCAAGTTGCCACTCCTAGCCACCTACATATACTCACCCACATCTAAGCATGGCAGTACACTCTCAGGACTTCTAGCTGAACTCCTGCAGAGGAAAGCCTTGCAAAATTTGGCAAACACATTATTCATAATCCTTTAAGAGGCATTAGAGTTCAAAACTTCGGGAAATAAGAACATAGTTCTTTCTAGGCTGCTCTTATGCCTTCTATGCATCTTAGTTCAGGTTTAGCAGAGTCTGTTTAGGGTCTTTTTCTAATCAGATATATTGTGACAGTGATTTGTTGTTTCCTCCCCTCTAATCCTTTCTACTTTCTTTTCCCCTATACTGAAACAGAGAAGTTGCTGTGTTTGTTGCACTTGAGGAAAAAGATCTGCTTGCAACTCAGCCAAAAGATGAGAGTAGATGAGAAACAATCGAATGTGATGACTCCAGCATGGTCTCAATAATAGCAGTAGTCTGATATTATTTCTGACTGCTAATAAATCATAAACGTACTGTACTGCAAGCACTCTGTACCCAAAATTTAAAAGACAAGCAAGAAAAAAATGAAGCTAACAGCCAGTAGGAAGTCTGTGGTAACAACTAGTAAGTTATCATTGTTGTCTTGGTGTAAGTAACATTCAAAGGAACAAGGTCTCAAAGGACACAGTCTGTGATTCTTCAACTTAATGCTGCAGTTGCTGCTTTTTTTTTTTTTTTTTTTCAACAGATACTTAACCTTTTCACACAAACATTCTCATATATCCACACTAAGATCACTGTGAAAAGTCCATGATTCATTGTTTTAACGTGAAAACTCAATTAGGGCATTTGTTCAAATCAATTCTATTTCCTGATTTCTATTCTAGGACCAGTAATGAAGTGTATACCTTCAGAACATATGGTCCTACATGAAAAAATTGTATTATAATAGCAGATACCCTCCCTGAGTTAGAGGCGCCTGAAGAGCCACAGTTAAGTAAGACTGACAGTCATAGTTTCTAGTCCTAAAATGCATGAAGGTCTCCTTTCATTTCTACGTGCAGAAAAACAATAGAGCAGATATATGACTCACTGTCTTAAATAAAAAGTCTTTCTTTGCCATTCCTGGTGTGTAAGGGATACTATACCTTTTACCCCACACCTCTCGCTTGGGGAAGGGGGTGAAGGGCAGGCCAGCGGATTAACCTGTAACAAAAGCTGGGAGCAAACTGAATATATGACATGGTGACATTGATAACCAGCTAAAATAGTTGCTAATATTTTTTCAGTTTTTAAGTTTTAACAAGAAGTTGCACTGCCTTAACAATCTTTCAAGGCTGTGTGATGACTTCCCCACATATATGCCTTATCTAAATTATAACTTGACAGTTACAGAAGTCCCATCATCATAATTAACACTATATTTTTTGCCTCAGTGTGTTTATTATCTGAGTTCTAGCTTGTCTTTAGAAATAAATTTTACTAATTCATCATTAACACTAGCTTAAATTGCTAGTATTCCTCTCCTAAGATAAAAGTCCATTTGTGAGTAGGTATGAATGCATTCTTAGAGGAAGGGAAGATTTCTTTGTGAAAAATAGTTCCTTTCTATGAATATTCACACTCTAAGTATGTATGACCAGATGCCCAAGGCCAGAAAATTTTGGCCTTAGCAATAGGTACACATCATGCACACCAGCCCCCCTTCTCATGCATATAAGACTGGGGTACACATGGACTACATACCTCACAGTCTCCAGCTACAGTCAAGTATAAAATGTAATGTAATGTAATGTTATGTAATGTAGCATAGATATAATTTTTCCTTGTCCTTTAAATTACTTCATCCATATATATATTTGTGCTATGCCTGGCGAGATTATCTGAAATTTCTAGAAAAACAGACACTGTAGAATCACTTGTCCAACACGCATTTCTTGTGACCTAAAGTGGCAGTATATGAAATATGCAAACTGCTCTCTTCTAAGGACCAAGCACTGAGGCTTTAAGAGTGAAAGCTTCTTGATTCATGACAACAGAATCCACATGAAGCCTGAAGAAATTATACTTTCCAGATACCAATAGGTCCTACTACCATTAAAGAGAAAGCAGATGCTAACAGATGAGTCACTGGAGAATAAAACCCTTTCTCATGCAGCACGTGATATTATTATAAGAATTAATGTATATACAACCTTGTATCAAGACTAAAATACCAAAATACGCTTTCAAGACAGGATAAACCCTCTCCAGTGCTTTACAGAACAAGCAGATCATGTAAGAGATATCCTGAGATACAAAACAGCATTGCTGCTTAGTCTCACACAACTCTGATGAAATTATTAAATCTGAAATGAAATTAACTGTTCTGGGTCTGTACAAGGACCTTTTGCTAAACTGAGCAAACTGGAAATAGGAAAGAAGCACTTACTACCATTGTTAGTTACAAGACCAACCTCAAGTCACTTGCACAATTCTGTAGGTGATTTTTGGATGGTGTTATAGAAACTCAGAGCTGGCAAAACCCAATCTTCATTTGCAAAGGCAATGAGATACCTCAGCAAAAAATTTATGTACTAAAGAAAGAGCTGGTGAAATCTTGCTTTTTGCCTTAGATATTCCTCACCATCCATAGTCACTATCAAGGATTGAAAGCTCATAAACATATGACAGCAAAGACAAAACCTCCGAGATTCACACTACACATCAACCTCACTGAGGGTAACACATGGCAGTGAAAGTCAGGTGAGTTGCTCAAAGAGGCTCAATAAAACTCATGCAGACAGTAGGGGAACTGTATTCACAGAACCAGTCTCGCCTGTTTAGACCATGAACGCTTCTCCCATGTTAGGGAATAGCTTCTGAGAGCGTACAAGTACAGGAATACTGCTCAGAATGAAAAGTCTGTGATTTCAAGTGTTTCAGGGTGTTTATGTGCACCCTGTTATGCAAGTTTGTGTGTATATGTGCCCTAAGAAGAGGTAGTAGTAGGAAGGAATATCAACACTTTGTTTTGCAACCAGTTGTTCCTTGCCAGTAACAGAACCAGCTACAATAAATAATTTATTAGAGGAAGGAGAGCCAAAAGAACAATATACCTTCAAAATGCAACATGAAATACTGCAGAGATGAAAGAATAATGACAAATTGCTACTCAACTGAAGCAGACAGAACTGCGTATAACTTCAGGATGTAGGACTTTCCTGTCTTCCATATACAAACTCTGGTTTGCTCTCAAGTAGCATAGAGTTTGAACTAATCTCTGTAACAAACATTACAGGAAGGTGTCTGCAACATTTTTCATTTCAGTGCTTCCTTTAATTAAAAGTAGTTTATCTTTGAGACAGCACTAATACATGCAATAGTCTTTTTTCAGCTTTACACTGCTAAAATGACTGCATGCAATTATCTATTACTTAATGCTTGTGCATAATTTCTTAAATTGGTTAACCAACTAAATAATATTCTTCAAAGCATTATGAAGAAATAACCAGCTGCTATGTATGACATCCCACTGTGATTATGAACATGCTTGTTTTTTCTGAAAATCCAGCATTTCAGAGAACAAAAACTGGTTCACATACAGTATAGCAGTTATTATAATCTCTGGCAGCATTTACCAGTTAAAACTGTTTGAATGCAGTAAAAAAAAAAGTTTTCTCTCTATAAAAGTATATAACTAAACACATTACACCCTGTAAGTGTTCAACTATTTGCTGGATAATACTTCTGAATCTGGTTGCAGGAATATGAAGAAAACTTGCTGAAATAAATTCTTAGTCTCCTTTTCAGCTTGTTTTACGCCATTAGGCATGGTAAAGTAATAAGAAGACAGATATGAAATATTGCAAACTTACGGCATTTGTGTATAAATAACAACAAATGTCATTTTAATTTACTCTTCTACAGAAAAAAAATTCCATCTTTATGTATTACAAAAAATATGAATTAAAGCGCTAAGTTAATCCATCATTCCTCTATGTGTAAAATAACCTTGATTCAACTACATTTATGTTTCTTACAAGAACTAACTTTAATTCAAGAGTAAAAACTTTCATCAATTAACGTCTGTCAGGCTTTGCACAGCTATCTCTCATACAATATGGATATATATGTTATCAGCTGATACATACATCATATGAATCAAGTCCAACCAACCTCCAACAGTGCCTTGCACCATGTAGTGTCAGGCCATTTTAGGAAGAAAGCTCATCAACTATCTGCTCAGCATCAACCCAGACAGAGCTTAGACTGTTTGGCCTAGAGAAGAGAAGTTGCAGGGGCAATCTCATCAATATATACAAATACCTGAAGGGAGGATGCAAAGAAAACAGATGCAGGTTCTTTTCAGAGCCCAGTGACAGAAAAAGATGCGGTGGGCACACACTGAAATACAGGAGGGTCCATCTGAACAGAAGGAAACACTTCCACTGTGAGGGGGACTGAACACTGGCACACATTGATCGAGGAGGTTGTAGAGTCTCCATCCTTGGAGATATTCAAAAGCTGTCTGGACACTGTCCTGGGCAACCAGCTTTAGGTGGTCCTACTTGAGCAGGGGGGTTGGGACCACACAACCTCCCCTTCCAGCCCCAGCCATTCTGTGGCTATATGAATCACTGCCACAGCACATAACAGATCTGAAAACAGGTATAAAGACTATCTGTTGGCTTACTATTAAACACCATTAAACTAATTAACTTTAAATAAATTATTGTATTGTTTCAACAGTTACTCTCGGTTCTCTGTTGTGCTTATTCAGCCGTACCAAGTGTAAAGACTGTTTTCAGTAATGTGATATACCTTCCCCATATATATTATTCCTAGGTCTGTGGATTAAATTGTCTCTCATCTCATCAGTTTCAAAACATATACACAGATATTTCAAGTGTTTTGAGTTAAATATTTATATTTTTAAGAAATGTTCATAGCTTAATATTACTCAGCAAACACATAGGGATATCCCAATCCTCCTCCCTCTATAACATTCTGCTGCAGAAACGAACATTTAAAAAGTTTCTGCTCAATGGTGTCTGTTCTTCTCATGTATATTTAAGCAACGTGAAAACTCACTGTAAAGGGCAATGAAATTTATGAACTATATAGAAAAGTTTTCAGGAAAACTGATGATATCTAGACTATTTTTCTCTGCCTTCTGATTTTAGAGACACACGTTAAAGATCTATAGAAGTAAAGAGTAGAATAAAAAATAACAATACTAAATTCGGAAAATTCTCTTAACTAAAGCATTTATGAATACAGAATTTTTACTTGTGATAAAGATGTTCCTTCTGTTTAGTTAGTCAAATAGATTGGATATTTCTTTAAATTCAGAAAGGATATGGTTAAAAAGGATATGGTGTGGATGTATAGAAATACACTCTTGCTGACTGCATACACCTTTAACACTTGCATCACAGAAGTATTTATGTGGAAAGAAAACTTACTAGGAGATTTCTCTTCTTCCTCCTTAGGTTCTGCTTTTTCTGCTTTTGGTGGACCTTTGATTTTGTACATTAGTGAACGAAGTTTGCCAGTCAAGGAGGAATCTTCCTCTTCTTCTTCCTCCTCTTCTAGTGGAATACCTTAGCAGATAATAAAACTGGTTAGAAACCAAACATAACCTTTGAAGATTAACTCCTTCATTTTTAAACTATTTAAACAATACCAAAATATCTACAGGCATTTCATCTGGCAAATTTCATACAGTATAAAAAAAATGTAGTAAGACCAGAAGCTTTAACATATTAGCTACAGTAGCACCCCTTAAATTATGTTTATTTCAGTATACATACTTCCTATATCCAAATTTATAGTATTATGTTTTCAGTATTTGACCAAAGAGGTGGTATTTTTGAAAGATTCTACTACAGCAATTAATTTTGACTCAGAAGCATATTTGATTAAATATATGATCCTTTGTTTCATATTGCAGAATGTAAAAAAAAAAAAAGTATGGCCATATCTCACAATACAGTACAAATTTTCAGTCAAGATATTTAGCAGTCATAAACAAACATATTAACTGAATTTAAAATTGTCAGAATGTAGATGTTCAGAGATTATACCAGTGATACAAGTTTTCCATGAAAATGTATATAATGAGCCGGGATGTCATTTTACAAGGTAGTTTAATACAGTTCAGTTCATTACATTGCTTCACAAACATTCAAAGCATTTTCAAATCTTTCACACCTCTTAGTGATGATCAGATATCACAGGCATTATGTGCAGAAGCACAGAACATCTAAGCAGGTCCCCTTCAGACCAGAGCTAGTTGTGCTGAGCTGAAATGCAAGCTTTTGCTGTTTGGCTGCTGGTCAAAGTGAAATTGAGAAAAGGAAAAGATTTTCAGACAGAATACTAAAGAGATACAAGGTGGAGCAGAGGGAAAAGAATCAACTGCAGAGGCTAAAACTGTTTTTTTAAAAAAAGAAACTAAGAAATAAAAGATGAAATGAAATGTGATATCAAGGTTGGAGAAACTGCCACTGGAAGCTACCAAGGGGAAGGAGTGATAGTTATGACTAGGAGTGACTACGTGACTAGGTATAAAAAAATTCAGAGGCAGTGGGATAGAATGAGAGAGCCAAAAATTGGAAATTGAAACTACATATGGAATTTAAGGAATGGGAAAAGTGAGACTGCCCGGGCAAAATGAAAATCTAAGAATGAAGGACTGCTACAGTCAGTCTGGAAAATCTAAGAACAGGAAACGTAGCCAATAAGAAGAGGAAAGAGAAAGCAGACAAGGATGTTAAAGAAAGCAAGAAACTATCTGGCATTGAAAAAAAAGGCCAGGCCATGGAAGAAAAAGATATACACTGGAAAGAGAACTCTTGAGAAGCAGAAATGGGCAGACAAGCAGAAATGCACTGGTATGATGAGTTAAGACAGTGTTGAACTGGAGGAGATATTGTCTCATTCACTGCTCCATATCATTCATTTTTCATTCTGCATCCTCTTAGAGTTGCAATACAGTCAGAAGTTGACCATCTTATATTGCTCCTGGCTAATCACTTAATTGAAGTGGCAGAGGTCTATGCACTGGAACAGATAGCTTCAACCCAGATAAGTGTCAATTTGATACTACGCAATAAAATCCGTCGGAAATTTGTTTGGTTTGTTTATAAACAAAAAATTACACACAGAAATTGCGATAGAGGACTATCATTTGGCTGGCAAAATTAACCACTCACAGTGTAGGACATGTTAGGATTAAGACTGCCTGAGTAACTTTAATTCAGACTATTTGCGTATATTCATTATGAAGCAGCCTTTAATTACTTGATTGCATACATATTTTTCCACTTAGACCGCGAAGTATACTTAGTATTAAAAAGCTGATTAAATATTCCAAGCACAACTCCTATTCATTTTATCTGCAGCTGTGATTGCTTAGTACTGATTTTCAGGACTAAGTCAGGACAAAGATAACGAGAAACATTTGTCCTCAGTGACCACCTATGATAAATCTATACAAAGTAATGAGTATGATTTTGTTTAGAATCCAGAGAATCATTGAACTATTTTAATCATGAGACTGTGCTTTCTCTATCTTCAATTCTATTACATTATAAATGTGTGTGTGTTGAATCAGAAACAATCATAAAATTATACCCCTAAATTTCTTTTAAAAAACCCACAATCAGTAGGGTTTTACCTCATGAAAAGATGAAGAGTGATTGGGAGATAAACTAACTTAATATTAGCACAAGTATTTCAAGGTAAAATAAATATACTGCAGAGTTAAGACATTTCCAAGTAAGTTAGGGGCCTTCCATAATCTTCATCCTGGAGTCTCAGAGAACTCTCTGACACCAAATAGGCATTATCTTTGAAAACCAGAGGTCAGATCAAGCACTAAGTGACTGAACAATGGAGATGATGCTATCTATCTAAATAAAGGAGGGAGAAAGAAGAGTATATATGGGGCTATAAACTATTCACTTTAATGCTTGAAAGAAAAATTCTGGAATGAAAGCAACAATTTTTGATAAGCACTTAGACCAAGGATGAATAACAATCAACACAGGATTGGCAAAACCAAATTACATTAAACCAACTAAATTTCCACCTATAATGTAGCTAACCTTACAGATAGAAATCTTGGCTTTAAGGACTTCTAATACTGTCTTATATAATATCCTCAGAAATAAACTGATGAAACACAAGATAGATACCCATTGACCTACTCATCTTTGGCTGAGGCTAAGGCTGAGGTAGTTGAAAGATGGTAACTGGCTTATCACAAAATCACTGCTTGAGGGTTGCTGGAGATTCTCACAGGATACTCAAAAATAGCAGCACAAGATGGTAGCAGAAGCCTTAACAATACAAGCACAGAGTGGTATGGGAAGCATCATGGCTACAAAGAGAAATCACAGACTGTTATTTAAAGGTCACTAAAAGAATGCAATTCCATGAACTGTGTAAAACTGGTTTTAGGGATAACCAGTAAAGAGAGAACTAGCAGACTGTATTAGTAAACATTTAAAAGTGACCTCCAGCAAACAGAAGGAGGAGAGGAGGAAATTATTAAGATTACCGTACTCTTCCTGGGGAAGAACTTGAGATGCTGTCAATTCACTGTAATGACCCTGTCCCATTCTTCTTGAACAAGATGGGGGCCATCAACCATAGGACCAAGAAATGAACTGGAAGAGTGACTACGAATATATCAACCAAGTAGATAGATCTGAAAAAGCTTGTGTATATCAGTTTTAACTGCATAATTATTGGGAATGAGCAGTAATAAGTGGATGACTCAGACGGTAAATGTTAGTATTATTGTAAATGGTGTAATGATTGTCTTGATTAGACTAAGATCTCAACAGACTAACAAAAGATTTCTGGCATCACATATAAAATGGGATTCCTTAATCCACATAAATTGCACAGGGTATCTGATATAGCTCACCCTTGAGGATACCCTAAGGAAATTCAAATTCAATGACTGCGACAACTCAAGCTGTAATGTGCAGTGAAATAGTGGTTTATAAGGACTGACCATCACAGTTAGATATATACCAGGAAACTAAGCTAAAGCAACAGAAACACCCTGCATCTAGTGATTTTTAATAAATTTTCTATTACCAGCTTCACAGTAATAATGTTCTTTCAATACCTTACATCTGCTTGTACACATACACATGCCTATATAAATCTTTTAAGGTAACCCAACGGTCTTGACTGGATCTTTTTTTTTTTTTTTTTTTTTTTTTCAATTAAGTCAAAATTGATATATAAACAGAATATTATCAGATAATTTTAAACAGATATATTACAATGAAACTTAAAGCCATACACAGCTTTCCCATATTTTTGTAAGATGTACCAAAGTCTGTCAGGGAAGTCACAATGCAGACGGTAATAAATATAACAAAAAACCCTTATACTGATTTTTTTCTTTTAATGGATCTGGGTTTTTTTCCACATAAAGTGTCAAAAAAACCCCAAAACATAACAAAACCTTGCCACTCACCACAGTGAATTAGAAGATCATCATGAAATTCGTACAACTCATCCCGTATCTCCTCTGGACAGGGACAATCCTCTCCCAGTTGAAAATTCAGCAACATATTAATCTTTAATGGAATTAAAACATAGTTAAAACAGTGAGAAAGCCTAAGACATTTTCTAACATATAGCCATACTTTACCTGTTCATAATCAAATTTATAATAAAATTAAAATAAATCATGGATTTCTAATACATCTTAAAAGACATACTAAAGCAATGGTACTTTGTAAGCTTTAATTATAATTAACATCAAAATACAGTTACACTTAATAATAAAGTTATTTCCTGAGGTAGAAAAGACTATTTCCAACATACAGATGTCAGCACAACACTAACTTCATGCTAACTTTTATCAACTAAAGTTATCAAATTATCATCAGCTTGCAGAACCAGATGAATCTCAGCTCCTCAGTGTTGGGCAGTAATGTTCAATTTTTCTATACTGTTGAGAAATCCTAAGTCAACCTTAGTTTAGAGCTTGAATTCTGGAGTACAGGTATAAGCATTCTGATATTCAGTATTTTGTGGTACCTTAATAAATTTTATTTCAAATTTCATTTTGGTTCTCTAGAAGTTCCAACGGTAGTTTAGAAGTCAGAACTCTATCATCACAAAGATTTTTTTTTTAAATCTTTATATTCAACTATTTGTTAAATATTACCTGTTCTTGAGGAGGAGACCTAAATTCTTTAGTCTTCTTGGCAGTCAAAGCAGCAGACATGTTCAAAGCTTGCATGAGTTCATTGTACCTGTATTTCTGATTATATTGCAATTTTGATACATAACGGTCTGCAAATGATACAATTGCTTCCACTCTGTGTTGTAGCTCACAGTCACAGAAATAATTGAGTAAATGACACATCTAGGATAGAAAAAAGAGACTTAAGTTCAACAATTTAACAAAATATAATTGGGGAAGAACTGCAGCAGATAGTATGCACTGTAAGAGACTGTAAAAATAAGAGACTTTTTTCCCCCATACTTTTAACACTGTAAAGGTGACAAATTATACAGTTTTATTACCTGATCGATAATACTGTATTGCATTCGCAGTCTTTCATTCCATGAACTAAAAAAATCATGTAGAAATCATAGAATAGTTTGGGTTTGAATGGTCCTTTAAAGATCACCCGGTCTAACCCTCCGTCTTTTAAAATATACTTATGAAATAAATATGTATTTGCATATCTATTTTGAGTGTAGTTATATGTAGAAATAATTGCATCATCATCAAATTTGTGAGGTTATAAGGCAAAGTGGAATAAAGATCTTCAGGATTTCAAATCTTACGAACTAGAGGACAAGCAAAAAGCATTACCTTTGTTCCATCAACAGTAGAACATATGCAATATATTTATATTAAATGGTCACCTGAAGCTTAACAGATTCTGGCAATCTTGTCTGTAATAAGCCTTTTGCAGGAGCTTTTGTTTCTTTTATTGCTTTCTCCCCAGCTTCTACAGCTTTTTCTTCAACTTGTGTAACTTCTTCCTTCTCTGTCCTCTCTTCTCTTTCTTCCTTGTGATCTCCAAACACATTGGGATCAATGAGGAGTAACACTTGCTTCACATCATCATCATCAAACACCCCCATTATGAGCAACGTTGCTATCAGTTTAAGAACAGGAACAAACTGGAATGCAACCTGTCCCCCAACAGGGTCTCGTATGTGAGTACCACTACACTGTACTGCCTCTGTTAGCATACTTATGGCCTTGGATTTAAGTGTATCAAGGGGTATCTCTGGGCTGGATGTCTGACGTTCTTCGCTGGTCACAATAAAGCATGGAGTAGAAAAATTAAAGCCTGGTTTCAGACAAGTGCTAAGCCCTACTCCAGGTAAACCATGCTTCTTTGTTTCATCAGGATATAATTTAATAGTTCGAGTTTCATCTGTAACTGGAATGATAAATTCATTGTTCATCATGAGCTTGGCTTGCTTGGCGTGCTCCAAATGAATACTAATGAGCAAGTCATAGAATCCAGAACGTAGGAGTCCAGGTAAGTATTGATTATCTATTGTATAAAATAGCTGAGATATATCCACATGGCTACAAAGTGCATAAGCAACTCTAGTATTACCTAGAGCACTAACTGAGCTATAGAGTTTTAAAGTGTGGTAGTGAAACTTCATCAAATCTTCTTGCTCACATAATTCCAAAATATCAACACATCTGTTATGAAATAAAGAAACAGAACACCAGTCAATTTCATTAGAAATAATTTTGTAAAATAGAAGTTTTATAATCTCTGTGCATTTTGGTCAGCTCTACTTTAAAACATTAATATTAAGGGTGATACTTACTAATCTTAGCATGTGCATCATTAAAACATAGTAAATTATAATAATTTGATAACATTTTTTATAATTAGTACTCCATAGGAAAAAAGGGAAAAAAGTAAGATAGCGAAGTTTCTTTGGAATCTATGGTAAATTAGAGCTTGTTTTTGAACTAAATGTATTTGGAATGCTGAAACTCTGCCATAATATACTAAACAGTGCCTTTATAGCTTATTGAGGATTATTGTTTCATTTTTTCCACAAAACACGGTGTTTTTTACTCTTTTATTGAATTCAGTTTTATTAACAATAAATAAAATTGGTTACTGAATTATTAAAAGAATCTGCAAAATAACTGATAAAAGTACAGCAGTTAAATTAGCTTTGGCTATGCTTTTGCTTATAGTTTGGTTTGTCACTGGTTATGGTATCTGATATTTGGATGCATCTTTATTATGCTCACTCTGAAGGCAAAACCTAATGAAAATCTAAGAAAATCAGGGTTTTGTCAATAAGAACATAAAAACTTAATTCATGGAAATTCAGAGTGGATGAAACAGGAATTACATGTTTTTATTACAGAAAAATATCAGGAAAATAGTAATAGCATTTTCTTTATATTTGTTTTTTTTCAAGCTAAGAAAATCTGTTTAAAGACCTAGAGATCTGAGATATTATTTAATAAATGAAATAAAACCAAATAGTCATGTTTTCTCCTATGTATGCAAATGCCGTCACACAGAATTAAAATTATTCAGCCTCTTGTACTTCAATTCCACTAATACAGTATTATAGCAGATAACATCAGAAATTCTAAACAACTCTAGTGTAAATAGTCTCCAAATCAGGTTTAATCAATACCTAGCTATCAGGTTTCAATACATTTTGTCCACATCAAGTCACTGTAGTTCCTTCCAAATCTACCTGTTTTCTTCTGGGATATGAAGTGCCATCATCTGCAGAGGTTCCAAACACTGCACAACCCAGCCGTGACGTTCACTGACACGCTCAGTTTCTACTTTTAGAAAGCTGTTTGGCATCCTGCTCCATAAAACAGGTGTAATTGTTTGCACATCAAGGCGAGGGGGACACTGAGGAACAGGATTTCTTTCTTCACTTTTGAAAATTGCTGCTGATAAAGGCATAGTATTCTGAAACAAATAAGTGTATTAAAATTATTTTTGTAGCATCTAATTATGAATGAACCTATGATACCAAATGTAAGTATGATTTATTAGTAGCAAAGAACTCATAGAAATATGTTATTACAATAAAGAAAATCCATTAAAAAACCTTAATATCAACCATTTCTCCCCAAATAACTTTAGTTTATTTTGACAAATGTAGTTTATGTTTGTTGAATGATTAATTTCATATAATAATGATATTTGCAAAAGTAAATGTAAAAATCAAATAAGAAGTCATGCCATTGATTCGATCTTCCTAAACCAATTCAGCAAGAATTTCCATGGAAATGAACAGATTTAAAAGAGCACTTCTCTAGAAAATATTTTGTACCTTTAATCTCCCAAGTTCAAACTGAACTAAGTTAGTGCTCGTAGGCTGTACAAAAGTTGCTGGAAAAAGCTTTGTGTTTGGTTCAACCTAGAAGAGAAAATAGATTAGGTTTTAAAAATTAAAACAAGCAACAAGAATCTCCTTCCAGACTGTGATATGATATAAATACTATATAGTTTACCCTTCATTATCAAATAACTGCAGACACTGTAGTAAAGTGTTGATTAGTAGTTTACCTCTAATATAATAATGCATTTGCTGAGTTATTTTATAGCCCCACTTCGGTAACACTACCTGTTGGTTCTTCTCAAACATATCCAAATTCAACACCTCATTCTGAAGCACCTCCTTAAAAATCCAGCCAATTTACAGCTGCATACTTTGCCTTTTACTCTAGGAAAAGCACAGACTGAGGGCAGAATACAGGTTTTGAGGCCACTACACGTCTTTTAGGGTTCTTTCACATTTTACGCTGGACAAAATAGCTCACTACCAAAGAAGCTCAAAAATCAAATTTCTGAGAGAGGGAACCAGAGGAGGGTAAGAAAAAGGTCAGAGCACATAATTTGATCAGGGTACTGCAAATCTTTATTTGCTATCAAGATCCATACTCCAAAAGTAGAAGAGTGTCATTTTTAAAAATATCTCAAAGATCTCTTTATTTCCAGGCTTAGCATTTATCTCCAGTCTTTTAAATCACAATGAATCACAGTGCTGTGGTTTTAAAGTATCTGGCTGGGTTTGGATTTTTTTTGACAGCTACATTATCCTCATTTCCCCATTACAGCTGGACTCAAAGTACATGTCAGAGTAGTAATCGCAGTTTATTCTGAAGAATTCTCTACAAGATCACCCACCCTACTGCCATGAAAAAAAGAATTAGAGAGCTACTTATAGAACAGCATATTATTAAAAATATTTCAGTGCTTCAGGGTGGCTGATAAAAAGTACACTCTATACAATTGATTTAAGGTTTCAGGAGTTAAATTAAATATTTTAATCACAATAATTTTAAATAATTGTTTCCCCTATACTCTATAATACATTTAGTTGATAAAAGAATTTTAAAGAACAATTAAAATTCTAAATCAGGATTCTGAACAACAAGAATTGAGAGGTATAAAAATATTTTTCTGAAAATATCTGCCAATAGTCTTTCCTCAACATCTGAAACAACTGTAAGAAGTTGGAAAAGTATAGTCTTACAAAAGAGAGAGAGAAAAAAAGAGGGATAAGCAAGAATAATTTCAGAAAACATGTTACTGTCACATGAATAATGTTCAGTTTTAACTTCTGAACAGGAAAAAAAAACCCTTTATAATAACACCAAAACAACCACCTTCCTAGATAGCTTCCTGAAAATCTGATTAATACCTGATAACACGTGCCAAGCTCTTTTCCATTGGCTGTGAATGACAACATTCCAGTAGCCAGGTCAACAAAGCATCCAATTTCTAAATCAACATTACTGCGACCTGATCTCTGAGAGTTAGCAATTATATCTCCTCCCCAAACCATATAGCAATTGCTGCGCTTCACACTGAAAGAACAGGAAGAACAAAGAAAACAAATCATAGGTCACACTGAACTTGACTGAGTATTCAGTGAAGATTAACTATTACTCCATTTAAAAGTACAAGGTGCCTGTGTTGTTATTAGTTTTGTCTTTAACAAACCCCATATTTTTAAAGTAACTTAAGCATCACAGGTAAGGGATCAGACTAAGTACACCTTTATATTTTTTCCTTTTTTATAATTATGAAACAATTCCACATGCTTCTGTGTGCTCATGTAAGATACGCTAAAACAAATAATGGGTTCATCCACAGTGACCTAACATGGATATTAAAAGAAAGAAGCATCAAAAAGCATTCTTTCAAACTGAACATTAATGGTAAATATACTCACTTCAACAAGTCTGTGTAAAATGCATTCACATATAAATGAGCGCAGAACACTCCTACTCCATAATCAATTTTGTCATTAGTTTAAATTTTCATTTCAAATATCGTCAAGCTTGTGAATAATTCACTTTTGAACAGTATCAAAACACAATCTTTAAAAAGTGATAAATAAATCCATACCTTTCATGAACCCTGCCTCTCTCATCACCTAAAGTAACTGTCACTGTACAATTTTTATTTAGGTCAAAATTCTCACTGTAAAAGTGATAGTCTGGTGTTACCCAGCCAACCCAGACAGAGGATGGGTCTTGGCCAGCAAATATCCGAAGTGAATAAAAACACTGAAAAGAGGAAAAGAAAAAATTAATAATATAAATCTGTATTATTTTATCAAGGAATACTCAAATAGTTATTAAATAAAACTCCTGTATCAAACCTTAATAACAGTAATTCACATTCTGTTAATAACAGATTACTATTAAATATTTATTTATAATATTTTAAACTCATAAACAGACTAGTGGTTTAAGACAATGAGGTTTATGCCTCAAGTCTTACAGCTCTGGGCATTATTATTGATACAGTGTTACATCACACCAAACGATTAAAAAGGCTTCCTTCGGTAGATCAATTTCGAATGAACACGCTGCCATGACTAAATGTACTTCAAAAAGTAAAAAGAATCAAACATCTTAACATATTTACTTACCGTAGTAGAAGGAGGAGCAATTTCTTGGCTGTGCTTTCTAAAGATAAAAGAACATCAGTAAATTAGTTTTAAAAGAAAAGCAGTTTTTAAAAGTACCCATTATTAAACTAAGTGTATTTACAAGCTAACTCATGTTTGCTGGGTACTGAGTATGCATGAGTAAATAAAGTATGTAAAGACTGTGTAGGATACAAACATACTCCACAATTGATTGCAGTTAAGGCAGAGAGGAAGGGAAGAGAGATTTACTGCAGTTAACTGAGGAAAAAGCAATACTGGAAGGTGCTGAACTCAGCAGTACCTGGTATCTAAAAATCTGTCCCACAATGTTTTTTTCTTTGAATGGATTAGGCATCTTTCTAATAACAATAAGCAATTGAACAATAATATAGACGAGCATAAATCCAATGGGCAAAAGATTCTGAGCTGGTTTTCCAGCATGGCTGAAGAGCTCTGAAAATCCCATGATTCTGAAAGGATGACCGCTGCTTAGCAATGAACAACTATAAACCTTGTGGTGCATGTCTTTAGAAAGGATTCTCTCTTACCTTCTGCAGCAAAGTTGTGTTATAAATTTATTAAAACCATCAAGAACAAAAAAAAATTCTCAGTAACATACATCCAATGCTAGTTTGTGCTTCATGCAAAAACAGGTATGAAATCTTGAGTGTACAATAATAAATAATAATCGAACATATCACATTTACATTGAGAGCATGAAATAGGTTAACTAAACCCAAGCCTAACCGTTTTTGGAAAACATCAGAAGAGGCATTTTCCACACTCATGCCGAAGTTGAATGATGAGCGGAACTCAATGGGCATACTCAAACGACAATAGATCATGTCTGAATTGCTGTTCTGTGTGCCAAATGTTTTGTGAGTAACTTTTAACCGAGGTGGACTCTCAATGGTTCCGTCAATTCTCCATATCTAGAAATAGAAATAAATTTAAATATTACTGTTCCAAGAAAAATGCTGAAAAACTTCATTAGGTAACTAGAGTATGAGATATCTGAAAGAATCAACTTAAATTTTTCAAATTGAATTAACTTCAAAACTATGTGACTTTCTTCTCTGACAGTGAATCTAGCCTAAAAAGCAAGGGAAGCAACAGATTCAGTATAACCTGACTACAGTAAAAATTTTCAAGTTGTTCCATACAGTGGGTTGTTTAGGTTTTTTTTTAAATATAGATCTTATTAATTCACTTTGAGTGCACAAGTAATCAAAAAATTGCTTCACAAGAATCAGTATTTTTCTACCACAACAAGAATAAACATCAATTAGAATCCTTCAGATGAAGAATTCTTCTTATGAAGTCCGAGTCTGACACAACTATTATCTCTTGTGCTGAAAAAGTAAGTATGCTTTTAAACTCAGTGATAGGAACATATAAACTTTTAAAGACAGGAATACAGTTAAAATGATCCTGATAAACTGGAAAAAAAAAAAATGTTGAGATCATTTACTTGGAATTCACTGAAGTGTATTTAGTTTAAGAAGGAAATGTTCAAAGACAAGTATTAGGGAATAATTGGCTAAACACCTAAAATAAAGTAAATGGCCTAGAGATTAGAGTAAAAAAGGCTGATGAGGAATTCAAACATATTACTGTGGAATATATTGATATGGAATATTTTATAGAAAACACAGGATATATTATTCTTCTCTAGAGTCGATTAGTTAGGGGGTTGTGGAATTCTATCACTGATGCATCATAAGAATGAATGAAAGAGATATTACTTAGCGACACCACAGACACTTAAATGTCCCTCAGATAAGTGAACTGTCTCTATTCACACTTCTATTAACCTTAAGTGATGCTGAATTCAGATGAACAATTTTTAGATATTTAAGAAAAATGCATAATAGAGAAGGTTTTAAAAAATGAAAGTGAATGTAAGATAGAATATAACAAAATGGTTCCAAGAAATCACACTGACATGTTTGTGATAGCTAACCACAACAATATAAATTAGTAAGACATATAATAGAGGTATATCCATAGGAATGATAATACTACCATAAATGAAGTTGGAGATAGACAAGATCATCTGGAATTATTTAAGAGAGACTTAATAGATTTATATGACAAACTATCTGATGACAGTAAGTATTAGTAAGGGTTTAATGTCTCAGCTTGCTAAACTAACAGTTGATAAACAGGTGTTTCCCTAACATGTAATGTTACCTCAACGTGAGGATGATTTTTTGGCACGTTGACAAATGTTGGTAAGCGTTTACTAAACCACATAGCGACATCCCGGTTCATGTTGACAGCAAAAGGTTCAAAACCTTCTTGAAGGCCACACATTGTATAATACTTGAATGTACTGGCATCCATTCCGAGGTTCATACGACCAATCTGAGATAGACCCAGTGCACAAATTGGAACAAAACCTAAGAAAACAATACAACAGAAAACACAACAGTAATTAATTTGGAGAACACAAACATTCTATTTTAGATCCACCTCATGTAGGGGGTAAAGTTTAGCTCCTACAAGTAATGCACATAAAGCGAAGACAGTAGCAAGGATTTAAAGCCATCTTAAATACTAATGTCTAAGTTCAATATAATTGCTACCCAAAGCCCTGAGAACTTAGGCAATGAATGGACATTACACACACTATCCTATTTATTTAAACATTAAACCAGTTATTAGTAAGCAGTAGTAGATTTGTATGAAAAACAAACAAAAATATGTCAAGAAGTAGTTTTGTGGATTATCAGATTTGAAAACCCAAGATTTGCTCAAGTCAGTTATTCATCAATCAGTGATCTTCATAATTTTTAGACCACTAAACATGCCTTTATAGAATGAGTTTGACATTGGAGGACAATCTCGGCTAGATCAAAGTTATAAACAAATGTTAAGTATGCTCTCTGAGGACACAGAAGTTTCAAAAGGACTTTGAGATGAGATTCAGGTATTTTAGTAGATCTGCTTAAAATTTAGTTTGACATCAGTAGCTATAAATTTGTTGCCAACCATCATCACTCCGTCATTCATGATGGAAAAAACACACTTTTTAATGCTGGCATTTTTATGACCAAACTTTTTTGGTCTCCCTATACCTATGGCAGACAATAGGCAGGGATGGAAGGTTGTTGAATTATTTCTCCATCTCTCAAGAAACAGAACTTGGAGCAACTTCAGGGAAAAGCTAACAGTCCAGCCTCTAAAGTAGAAATTATCTCTCCTAGACTTCAACTTTAAGCCTTCAGAAAAGCTCTCTTACAGCAGTCCCTTATTCTCTACCATTAGAAAAACTGTATCAATAGTTAGACCGAAAAGGAACAGTGAGGAATTGCAAAGTCTTCCGGTGATTCCTAATGGGCAGGAAGCTACTACTGGTTGGAGGAGATATGCTTCTAAAGAAAATGTCAACTAAAAAATAAACCAAGCCAGTTTGAAAATAGTCCCTGCCTCCCTCTATACAGTCATGCAGGTACTACTGTTCAAAAAAGCAAAGGCCAAAAACAGAGGAGGAAAAATAGTCCAGGAAAAGGAGAAATGCAGATAAGCTATGACTAGGACAGAGAAAAAAACCCCAAACAAACCATAAATCAGATTCAATTTATGTTGAAAAGATTTGTTCTTTTGGTGCAGCCTGTTACAACCTAGTACTCATTTTGTCCTTCACAGACAAGAACATAATACATGTATGCTCCAGTGAGATAATCAGAGATTATATTTTCAGCTTTTGGGAATTTTTCAAAGTACTTATTAATACCACTTCTTCTTACTGCTGAAGTTCAGTCCTGCGAGTAAGAAGAGTCTTCCTAGTAAGCCTAGAAGAAAATTTACCCATTCTGATTGCTGAATCTACTTGGGTTTAAAGGAAAAAAAAGAAAATCAATTTGTGCCATATAAGTGCTCTTAAAATAAATGTTTATGAAGTTAATGTGTAGCACAGACCAAAGGCTCACATCAGTGAAATACGATTTCACAGCTCACTAAGCCATTATGACAGACTAGATTTTCTGTGTTTTGTTTTATCTTCTCTTAACAATATAACTATAAAAAGAAAATTACCACTTTCTATTCCAAAATCAGCAAATGCAAGTTCTGAACCTTTACTGGTTATAAGCAACTCTCCATTCAGAGTAAAGATAATTGATTTGTCATCCAAGTTTATCATACAACCAACAACGTCTCCTGGTTGCCAGCTTCGTCCAAAGAATCCACTGCCTTGATGCCAACGTTGGCCCTAAACAAAAAAAGCAGTTAAATAAACACCATGCTTAAATTTTAAAAGTTAAATTAAAAAATAAAAAAACACAAAATGTGAATGCTCTATTTTATGCTTACAACAGACTTCTTTACTCAGTTGAGTATAGTCTAGGATGATATTTATAAACCAACACACCTTTGTTAGTATAATTTCAATAACAAGAAGCAAAATGTAAATACTATCCAGCATGAAACAGAGCTCAGAGATATCTTTATATGAATCAAAAATGTTCCAGTAGTTGATCTGGAGTATAGAGAGGAAAACTATACTGTAGTTCTCTGCCTAGTCTTTTCATAGGTCAAAAAAGATAACGATGTACTGACTTTGCTTCCTTCAAATACAAATGCTTGGTCATCAGCTCCCAACTCTACGTCAGGTCGACAGGCTGGCCTGGCCCAGCCAACACGCATATCTCCACCTGTCACAGCTTCAAATTCGAAGTACCACTTTCCAGACTTCACTGCATAAGACCGCTCTACTCTGAAAAATCGTATCTTGTCAATGCTGACTTTTTCCACTGTTTGGTCAGCTGTAAAAATAAACAGAAAAAAACAACCCCACATTTTATAATTAGATGAAAATTTAAATGCCACTGCTTAGCTTTTCATCTGTCCCCAGTATTTTCTATCTCTGAAAACAGCCATTATCTACCACTGCATGTTTAAGAATCTTCATAGTAAATGTTAAAAGAGGAGGAACAGTAATCAGCACAGAGGGGCTAACATTCATTCCGTATTCTACACCAGATCAGTGATTATCCGCTATTTAGAAACAGAGTATTTCAAAGTATCACTCAATGTAGAGTCCCAACACAAAACTAACTAGAGGAAACCTCAAAAGGGTAAGATACTACATGCAATACAGTTTGACGCAATAAAGCAGTATTGCAACAAAATATGTTCCTATACAAGTCAACACTTTTAGAACATTTCAAAAAAATTATCAAATAAGATTTTTTTTTGTTTGAATTTTTATTTAAAAATTACAGTGGCATAACAGATATGAAGAAAAATGTCTAAATGAATATCTGCTCCTTATTTCAATTAAAAAAAAAAACAACCAAACAAACAAACACTGATATTGATGCACTTCTTTGACTACTTCTTAAGAACTAAATTTGACTTGAAGTAGTCAAACCTAATCTGCTTACCATGTAGAAAAAGTTCTTTTAAATTAATCCCATATTATTTCTTTCATTATTTCCAAATTAAAACCAGTATATCCACTCATACTCCAGATTTTCTCCAATCTAAGTCATTGAAATTAGAATTATCATACCATTATCTACAACCAATCTTTAAAAAAAAATAGATCTAAGTAAGATACAAGTCATTTGCAAAGTATATTTGCATGTTTCATTAAAATCCACTGCAAAAATACACTACTATTAAGTCACATCTTATGTTTTCCCTATCTATTTCAGTATTTTATGTTCTTTCCCAGAGCTGCAGGAAAAAAAGGTCATGATTCTTATCGAAAGTACATACCTATCTCTTGATCAGGTGGCTCAACACTATAACCATAGCCCGCAAATGTTCTAACAGCTTCACGGAGGCTATCTCTGTTTGATTTTTTAGTACGTTCATCTAATAAAGCATATGGCACTAGCCGAGGGTTACGTTTGTTCTTAAGATCCTAAAAGCGGTTATAAAAAAAACAAGATGAAAACTGTGTTTAAGTATCACAAAAATTTTAGATAATGAGACAGTGTATTCTGAAATAATGTTACGATTACAGGAGAGAAACGATACTGATAAAGAACAGTTCCATGAACGCAACTCCAATTGTTAATAATATTAAAAACCTAAAGCCAGGAATGAAAGAGAAGTATGCAATGCAGGTCTGACAATCTACTCAGACTTGCACAGGCAAGGCTTCTTTTCCTACTTCCCACCCCCTCTAACTACATGTCTACGTGACATTCAGTATTTATCCTCTTACTTAACACTCCAAACTGATGTCCTAGAAAACAAAATCTCATGTTCTTTACTTATTCCAAATGTATCTAAAGAAGTCCTTACCTGCTGAATGCCATAGGTCCATCCTTGCTTTATTCTGTCTTTGGCCCAGACATTATGTGCATTTTCTGCGAGTTTGTCAACAAGAAATTCTTGAGAAGGTAACAATTTCACTTCAGAAAGATCAAGTGGGGCAGGTTTATATCCATTTGACATCATATAACTATAAATCAACAAAGGAAAACAGAGTCAAGATATCCCACTGGTCGTATTTAAAGTTTTCTATGTAGCATTTATAGGGTGGGGTTCACTTTCTATTTCCACTTTTTAATCTCCTACTCTCCCATTTCTTTGCAAAAACCCTGAATCGCATTCGTTCTTTGACTAGGATATAAACTGTATTCTAGCCAAGAGTCTCATTTTCCACCTACGTGCACCCTATCTAATTAAATAAGACCCAGATATGTATGTGAATATCTAAATAGTTATTATGAAAAAACCAAATTGTTATTAAATGAGTACTCTTTATTTTCTTTATGCTTGTCATTTAAGCCTTTCAAGTATTTTCTATTTTAAAGATCTCTATGATGACTTCTTATGAAATTATTTTTAATGCATTATTAAGTATGGTATTTTTATATACCAGTCTGTAAAGATTGCGTTACCATTTTTCCAACAGAAGAAAACATGTTAACTATTGTTCTTCCCACTTTTTCATTCAGTAGTAAGTTTAGCAGCTTTTTAGTAGCAGGTATTACCCTCTCCAACTCTTCCATGTAGTATAAAGACTACTCTGCTCTTTTAGATGTACGCAGGCTCTCTCTTGCTCAAATCAGATCATTCCCATTTGTTAGGATGATCAATGTAGAGAGTAGATATTTTAACAGTAGTCAGAAACTAAGACTTATTTGTTCTGTTATTGAAGACAATAGTATCAAAATTGTATTATGATAGACTGCCTGCAGTATGAACCTTGGGAAAGTTTCTTTTTTCTTTTTTTAATTAATGCCATCAACTGGATCAACATTATAATCTCCCATATCATAAAACTATTTATTTTACTGCTCTCTAAAAACCTAACTTTGTTTCTCATGGATAAAGCTGTTTCAGGAAAAAGGACATCTTGTTTGATAAACTGGTGTGAAATGGCAAGTATCCAGATCACTCTTTCTGTCGTCGAGTTCTGTTGCAGGACAGGGCTTTAATCTGTCCCAGGAGTACAGAATCCCCACAGACAAGGCTAAAATACAGATGTAATCATTGATTAATCTTCACCACTTTTAGGGTAATTACTACAGATGACTTAAAAATGTCTAAATAAAAATATCATTCAACTACTTTAGCTCAAACTGACAAAATTTAGCCACCAAATAAAACTTAAAGCAAAAACCCAACTGTATTTTATACAATAATCTACATACATACATGTCCTAGAAATGTGCAACATTATAAGAACAGTAACTTTTTTTTTTTCTCTCCTTTAAAGAAATGCATTAATAATGTCTTTGGAAATGTGTGTATGTTAAACATACCTTTTCTTGGAGGAGAGGGAAGGAAAGGTGCAAATCAAAACAGGAGTTATGCGAAAACAGTATACCTGCTTTCAAGTAGATCTAAGTACCATCTCGTACATATACTGTTCTTTGCTGTGTGGTAGAAAAGCACTGCAATGCTGCTTTTAACTTCAGAGTATCTACTCTAAGATCATGTAACACAGAGAAAACTGCATGTGGTTTAAGTACATGGCTATTTATGTCTCTGAATCACTCCACAAGGTAGTATTCAAAGTCCTCACAGTCCACAATCATCACAGCCAAGGACCAACCATGTGCAAAATCCATATCGGGTATGGGGCTCATGTCAAGTATTTTTAAAATGGCCTCACAATAATTTTGTTTACCTTGTAGTTACAAGTAATATATCTAATAGTTATCATAAGGTACATACTTTTTGGGAAGTTTGACTTTTTTAAGATCTTCCTCAGCTGCTGGATGAGCATGAACAATGTGACATCCAAGGGCCAAAAGGGTTCTGCCAAAATAAAAAAAAATGGCAGTAGTGAAACACATTATAGTATTCACCCATTTTATAAATTTCTTTTGGTTTTAGTATAAATACACAGAACTCATATTTAAAAAGTGAAGTCATTCAAAATAATGGAATTTTAAAACCCAACTTATCAAAATAAATAAATTAATAAAACCTCCAAAGTCTAAAAAGGTATAAATCTGTAGCTTGAAAGTTATGCCACTTTATTGAAACCAACAGAACTTGGTGTTGTCTTTTTCTTTGTATCTCTGTTGAAACAAGATTTTTTTTAAATCTCTCTGAACATGTTCCTGGAACTTCAAAGTTAGCAGAACACACTTTGAATGAGATATTCTAATGGTTTTATAGCTACAACAGTACCAAGTGCTTGAATTAAAAAACCCAACAATTTTCTTTTAAATTTTAAACTCACTTGAGGGTTTCAGTTGACATTTGCAGATTATAATTCTTCTCTGTCTCAGGTAATTTTGAGAATTCCACAAGACAAGGATGATGCCGTTTATTATCATCCCGTATCTGTAACAAAGCAACAGAAAAGAGTATATTCCTGACACTAGATTCAAGCCGGAATCAGAGTAAAAGATCAGTTAATTCTTTGCAATAATGAAGACATTGTAAGCAATACCATTTATCTTTGCTCAATGACAGTTACTCATCATTATATAAATGAACTTTCCCATGATTCATTTATCATGTACACTGTAAGTACTCCTCCATAACTAACAAAATCAGAAAATATATAGCTATTTCACGTGTTCTGCATAAATGCATGAAACACAAGAAAGCAAGCCTGTAAACTCAATGAACATTTTTGCTGAATGCCTGAGCCATATACACTCAGTAGAGCACAGTCTGATCTATTATATACATTCTAATCCAACAGACTTAAAACGTCTTTGGTAAAGTTTCCAAATTCTACAGGAATAACAAAGCAGAGCATTCTTTTTCTGTTTAAATACTTAACCAACTCTTAATTAAACAAGCTCTTTCACTCAATGCCAAGTGCTTCTATCCTGATGGCAACTGAGAGTCACAACATTTCACATACAAAAACATTTTTCAGTTGCCAAAGCTCAGAAACACTAAAAGGTTAGTAAAGCTCAGAATTTCAACAGCAATGACATTTCAGCAGAGTATCATAGAGTCATTGAAGAAAAAGGTAAATCAAGTCCATAAGTAAAAGCAAGAGAAGTTAAGAGAAGAAAAAAGGATTCTTCTGAGGTAGGATACAGTTGTGATGGGCATATGGAGGACTACCCCAGTAAATCTGCATTTGGAAAGAAACAAGATAATATAACCTAAATTCAAGGCTGAATATAGCCTTTTGAATTTTATATTATTAGGGGAAGGTACCAATTTTAATACAATTCTTGATTATAATATTCTTGGCCTACCCTTTTAACTGTTTTTCATTTGGTGACATCCATTGAAAAAGGAATAACTTGTATGCATTCAAATAAAGTTGACCAGATTTTCTTACTCTAGTCAAGTTGTTAGGTTATGCCACATTAGAAAGGATGATTATAATGATAAGTTTGAACTCTAACTAATTCAACAAAAAACTTGAGCTTTGAGGAATTTGAATGTTTACAAAAGTCACTAAAACTCTATCAACAGAAGCAAATTTCTGAAATGGATATTTTGCTTGTTATCTCTTTGATCAACACTAGAGTAACCAGATTTAGTTGAGGTGTTACTCATTGTTAGTATGATTTTCAGTAGAATTCCATCTTGGTATAGCTAGTGTGTTTCTCAATTAAGATATTTTTTCAAATGGTTAACTACTTCTAGTGTTAAAATATGCACCTTATTTATATTCCAAATTTGCCTTCTAATCACTAGGTAGTGTGACTGTCTCCTGACAGCTTACAACTTCATCTATTATTAATGTTGTATAGACCACCATTAAATACTCTGTTCAACTTCCAAGTCCAAGTTTTCTGGTAGGAGACTTAACCTATTATCGCCGACTGTACCCAGATAAGTCATTCAAAACATACCTTGCCATACGTCCAGCCCAGTTCTATTTTATTCATTCCCCACAGTTCATGGATATTTTCAGCTAGTTTGTCCCTGATCTTTTCAAGATGAAAAGGAAGAGCAATCTAAGGAAAGAGATAACAATTCCAAAAATCAGAAAAGTTTACCACATCTTGTAGATCCAAGATCATCTAGTTCAGTCAAACGCACCGCAGCACACAAATGATGAATTACTAAGAAATGGGCAAGCTAGCTTAGTTTTTATATTGTGAATTTAAATTTTGTTGCATATTTTACAATCTCATTATTGAATACTTAACATACCTGACTGGTGTCGATTGGACAAGGAATAAAGGAAGCTTGGGAGAGAAATTGTGTTGTCCCCAGTAAATCCCTCACTCCATCAGAATCTCTCTTATATTCTTTCACTGGTTCCAGTTTCATCTTCTCTTTTGGAAGCAACGCTTCATAACAGGGAGCATAGCCAGCAGGAGGCAAAAATTTAAACTCTCCATGACGTCCACCCAGTAAGAAACGAACTCTGTGAAATTTTCAGTGAAAAAATTATACTCTTAGATAGTCAGCATACACTAACATTCTAAATATGTAATTTAGAAACATAAACATTTATTTGAATAACATTTACAAAAATGCAGGTGTATTTAATGCTTTGATAAACTCCAAAGTGTTACCAAGCATTCAAACTAGCAGATCAACTACCCACTATTTCTTGAAAATTTGTTTTTGACAAAGCAAAACTAATTATTCAAAGCAGTAGCATATTTAAAAATAATAATAATTCTTACTTAAAATCAAATGGTTGTAAATTGTGACATTTTTAATGCATTTAAATTATTTGGAAACACAAATCTAATTTACAGTAGACTGTTACTCTAAACAGTCCCATAGGAACTATTTATATACCACTTAAAAGTTTTAAAGTAACTTAGTGCACTCACGCAGGCAGTTGGCACACGAGAAAAGAAAGAGGATATGGTGAAATAAACCCACTGTAATCATAATACATAAATCAAGCAAATAAAATTATACCCAATACTACAACTGGGAATGAGTTTAAGAAGCATAATTAAGATGCCTATTAAACCCTTAAAGTTTTCTGTTTCTCCTCAGATATATATTTGTCACATAAATTCAAGAGTATACCAGGAAAACCAACAAAGACAAAAACTGTCTATCATCATACACTGGTCCTTGTGTAGGCAAACTCTAGAGGTAACCAACCGCAGAAAATTGAAAATTTGTATGACTTGGACCCATACATTTGTCGTGATGGGGTGACCAGAAGAAGCCTGTACCACTTCTTACTTACACTTCTAGAAATACTAGAAATAACAGATCAATGTCTTTCACTGACAATAAGAGAGAATAATATAGAAAGAGAAGAAAATTAAGACGCACAAGTTTTCTCAAATATATACATAAGCATAAAACACAAATATCTGAAACAGTTTTATGTCTACAAGAAATATATTGTTAGTGATTACTTCTACTAAGCTTGAGCTTTCTAATTTCATTTTAAAAATACATTGTTTAAAATATTTGAATGTTCCCAAGGCAGCTAAACATTTGAAATTACAACTTTGAGATTAGACCTCTATGTCAAGCCCCAACACAGATCAAAATACTTTAAAAATAAAAAGAAGCTCAATTATATTTTAAAGACCTAGAAGTCTAACTTCCTAAATAGGCAAAACTCAAAGAAATAATTGAAATTTAAAAACTCTCATGCAATTCTTCCCTTGATGACCACACCCTAGTAAACAGCTCCTTGCTTCATGCCAACATGGTCAATTTTTATGAGCTGTACTAAAACTTTCAATCTGATCTTTATGCTGTTCTCATTCCTTCTGAGGCCTGTTTTCTCCCTCCTCTTTACTGCAGTATCTAAACCTGCACACAGGTTGTATCCTCCTAATGCTGTTCATTCTCTTTAAAAATGTGGACACTCCAAGAAGCTGTGGCTGTTTCACAGAATCATGTAGGTTGGAAAAGACCTTGAAGATCACGTAGTCCAACCATTAACCTAACATTGACAGTTCTAAACTACACCGTATCCCTCAGTCAACCCAACAACATCAAATAAGAATAAAGAAAATTATACCAGTTTAGGCAGATTTCTTACAGAAAATAAGTAATGAACATTTTCACAAGCTCTTGTTCTAATGCAGCAACATAGTAAGGTCACTCCCAGAGAATAAATGAAAACTGATTTATTAAGCCCTTCCCCAAGTCTCTTTTATTCTGTTTAGTCTCTGTTAGTATTCTCACCTGGGAAGTTCTCTTAAGCATGAGATATTCTAAGTATTTATGTACTGATCACAGAAGGAAAAGTGCACAGAGAAGTAATCTCATTTACTTTACCTCAGAGAAACAAAGATTTCCTTTTTCTTAATTGCTAAATGTATGAACCTTTTATAACCTGAACTTGCTTTCACTTATCAAAGCTATATACTGTCTATTCTGGCCATACCAAACCTTCATTTCTCAAAAATTACCATGTATAAGAGAAAAACTTTCCTTTAAATAAAAAAACAGCCCTTTGCATCTATTTCATCAAAATCTCTTTCTCTGCTCCTGATTAGTTCTTCTAAGTTTGACAGTTCTGGCAGCTGACGTCTAGACAATTAGCACTTTTTCATAGTGGAAAATTTTCATAACTTATCCATATTTTATGTAGAAATCCTGTTCAGCCTACAAAATACAGAAAAATCCCAATTTTTCTTACTGAAGAACTCTCCTTAAGTATCTTTATGTTTTGCTTCCTGAAATTGTTGCCTGTCAATACCAGCAATAAAGATGCTCTAAGATGAACTGAACAGAAATTGGTGCAATAGCTAGTCTTTTGTTGCCTTGGCTTTGTAATGTTAACGCAAGTATTTTGGTCACTTAAGTTGACCGACACTTGAAGATTTTCTGAATGAATTAAAGGTAAATTAACAACAGAAACCTGAAAATGGTAAATTCAAATCTCAGTGTTTTAGCTATAAAACAGGTAAGAAATGGGCAATCTTAGTAATGAGATTCCAAAACAACTTCTCATTAGTTCTTTGTGTTTCCTACTATGAATATAGTATCAGTTTTCATGATGATTTAGGTTTTTTACTTCCTGCTGAGAAAGCCAGTGAGAATTTTAATTAGTGCCAAATGTGGTGCTGTGTTTCTAATGTGCTTTTTTTCACTGATAATTGGAATGAGACAAAATTAATTTCCCCTAGATCACAAAATACCCATAAAATAATGATTTTCAGACACTGTGACTTGGTCAAATTGCTAAGAGGCTCACATTTCACCCTTAAGTGAAGTCATCACTAAACAAATCAGTACTTTTCTGCCTACCTCCAAGCTGCTGGTTGGGCAGAATTGAAACAACAAAACAGAAAAAATCATACATTAATTTGAACAGTATTTTGTATGACAAGACTGCAAAGAAAACAGCAATGAAAATTAAGTTGTACTTACTTTACACCTGCTGATAAGCTTACAACAGGGAAGAAAAACCCTTCTGTACTGAAGTTTTCAAACATTCCTTGTACAGGCTGTCCATTAATGCGGAATGAAATGCTGGGTACACCTAAATCCAAGCAGCAGCTAACCACATCATCAGATGCTAATAAATGCTGATTGACAGATGCTACAGCTCTCGGTACTCGACCTAGGATAAAAGTATTCAGTAATCAGAAGATTTAAGCAGACTCTCACAGGTTTAATTAAATTATTTCTTAAAAAACACCATCAAGGTTTTTGTTTGTAGTCATGATGACATGATCTTGAGTATCTCAGTATATTTTTAGCCAAGTAATAACTCTTCAGAATTCCTCTCAGAGTGATTCCCTTGAAAACATTGTATTTTAACTATAAAGCAGGTCTAATTAAGCTATTAAGCACGATTCCAAATTATCGTGTTTGGAAGTCGTTAAGAACAACACAAGTCAACTGTTCAGGACAGTTTAAGTACTCCGAATTTTCCCTTCCTGCGGGAGATTAGATTTAAGAGACTTTCCAGTACTGTGTTCCTGAGGTTCAATTAGTGTTTAATTTTGTATTTATGATTTATTCAGCCATTTCTAATGGCGTATGTTACAGATGTCTCCCAACCTACTCCCAAAAATCATTATTTCTGTCATTTGAGAATTGTTCAGTAGTGATAAAATATATATATATATATATGTGTGCACATACGCAGATATTTTATATACAAAAACCTATGCTAGAACAATGCTAATATAATTGAAAAATCAAATCCACCCAAATTAGGCAATGTTAAAATTAAGGCCATAAAATCAACTTCAGCATATTTATGTACACTGTATTGACAACACACCTTTTAATTGCATAGCCCCACACTATTCTTTTCTAAGCAGTTAAAGAGTACTCAGCTGTATGCAGCATTTCAATGCACTAAGAAATATGGGCAAATGAATGATTTTTACATACATGTCTTGAATAGTGTACAGTAAATAAAGCACAAGCCATAAATATAACAAGCTAAAAAATAACCATCATTTACTGTGTACACAAGAGAGATCTGGAAGGAAAAATGCTACTTGCTAATTAAAGACTGTACACACAAGGACTGAAATAATGTCTCTTTTTTTCCCAAAAATTTCTGAATGCTCATGGATGGCCACACAGTAAAGAAACAAAACCATTAAATTAAGACATATCTATTGAGTGTGCTGATACTGAAGTTTTTTCTAAGCCTTTTGAACAAATTTTTAAATATTTTTACAGGAAACAGAAAGATTAATTTCTGGTGGAACAAATTGTTACAAAATAGCCTGTATAACAAATTGTTACATTCCTAACTCAATGTTTGAACATTTCAGAGAAAAGGTGGCCAGAACTGTCTAACTTTGGAAAAAATGTCCACATTTCATTCCAGAAAATGAACTGTTTTCACCTGAATTCTGGTTTGAGGCAGAGATCCAGCCAATAAAATTTGTTCTCAAACAATTTATGAATCACAAAGGTATAAGCCAGAGAAAATACAGGTTTAGACCATATTAATACAATGCAAAGGTGCTCTTCTAGTTTCATCTATATTAATAAATATAAATAAATATAAATAAAACCTTCTATATGGATGAAGACCTTTACCAATTAAGATAGATTGTTAAACATTTCAGGTACAAAACCTAATTGCCAGAACTCTGTTTTAAATATCTATGTAAGTAGAATACATCTGTCAAATCTTAAAATTTTAGCAAGTGTTTACTTCCAACTGCTTTTCTTTCTCCTTTCATGACTTATTGATAGTTCTATTAATGATGTTACAAAAATTACAGATGATGTAAGGGTATACAATTAATTACCTGAGTATTTTCTTATTTTATAGCCTTATGCATTATTTCTTCTGAAATGTTCCTTATTTAGAGCGCATTCAGGAACTTTAAGAAAGCAAAACCAATCATCAGCATTACCTGTGTGGCCATTTGACTCATATTAGTCAGTAGCATTCTGCTGCTTGTTTCTATAGGAACATACATGGACACAGTCAAAACCTGTCTGTTTATAAAAATGTTCTAGTTCCCTTTCCCTGGATACAGCACTGGGGGAGGGATAACCACACAAAAAGCAACAGCTTTGCTCATAGTTCCAAAGCCACTTTCCAGCTAACTATAGACCCCAGAGGGTTCTCACTAATCCCTCTCCAAAGCATCCTAATCAGATTCTTGTCTTCTTTTTCCTCAGTGGTTATTCTCTATAACATACTCATTATTACAAAAACTATTTAAACTCGGACACTTCAGATGAGCCCTCCTGTAAACTCCTTTTACTCTTCTAGAGCTCTAACTCAAATCTACCTGACTGCATGGGCAGTCACTTCCACTTTTTTGTTAATGCAGCCCACTAACATCTTCAATTCACTTGAAAAAGAATGGCTATTAAGACCACAAATTTACCATCACTGATCCTTAAGTGACCACAAAATATGCATTAGCTGGCATCCATTAACTCCCTTCTTTATAAACTACAAGTGTAACCACTTCACTGCACTACTAATTTCCTAGATAACTACACATATTAAGAAGCACTCCTAGAAAAGCTCTATTTTTTTTTTCTGCTAAGTCAATTTAGGTAATAATATGAAAAATAGTTTTTCGAACAGCAGAGCAACTACCAGATTTTCAGTTTGACATTACACCACAGAAATTTCCATTCTAAAAACAACTGAGGTTGGTAATAGTGTAGAAATTCTTATTTCTAATTGCCAAACTTATATTTTATTAAACTACTTATCAAAATTTATATTCAATTTATTTCAATTTAATTTATTATCAATAGCTATGAGAATAACGATGTCGTTTTACTTCAGCTGTAGATACAAAGTGAAAGACTAATGCAAACGTAGATCCATATGTAATTAATTTGTCTGAGATCAATATATGCATTGATTTTGAACAGATAGACAAGTCAATATTGATCTAGACCTGGAAAATGCCATTTTTTGATCAAAATCATGAAAACAGAAGCTATCTGCTAAAAAGCCTAATTGGTACAATTGAATATGGACTAAAATCTCACACAAGAAGCGTGATGTGAAATTCTAAATAATTTCATGGTATCCTGGTGTTCTGAAACTCACTCTAAAACAGCATGCTATATACACACAGGTACCGAAGGCAAAGCTAGGTAACTATAAATATAAGTGGAAGTGAGCAAAGAACTTACCAGACCACAGATGAAGGCCATCAAAACCGTAAGAGTACAGGTCATCACCAACACCATTGCCTCCCCATCCTTCTCCACCTCCTGGATAGGGGGCATAACCTGAAGTGGAGGCCCATCCAACTCGTAAATGGGTGGGTTCTGCCGTCAAGAATGGATCAACGTGATCAATTATTAACTCAAAGTACCACTTCTTGTATTGCGCAGAGCCCTCAGCAACACCCAAAAATATGTTTGGCCTTATGCTAAAAAAGAAAATGTAAGCCAGTTAGTGTAAACATAGAATGTAACATATGAATTAGATTGCTGTATAAAAGTCAAATTCACTTTGCAAATACAGTAAGAGTGTAGATGTCAGCATTTTGTTTATAATATTTAAAATAGTGACCAATTTTATGACTTTATAAAGCTGCTGTAGAATCACCTTCTAACCTACAGGTTCCATGCTTTGAAAAACTTATAGTCAAAAGAGGAATAACAAGATCATTTCCTAAAATCAAAACAACAGGAGTGAGCTTGCTAGGAATTCAAATCCCTCTTAAAACACATAAGTACTTCACAGTATATTTGCATACTCCATAATAATTATTAGGTAAAGCCATGCTCTGTTTTGAGTAAGAAACAAGCAACTTTCATCTTTACATTTCAGAACAGACCATCCTATTAATCAGCAGTTTCTATTTGAGCACAGTTTCCATTACAATTGCCATATTTTAAGTAAAACGGGTTTTTCAGAAGTTAACACATAAGCACTTCCTAAAGTGTGTGTCTCAATATTGAAAACTGTGGAATGTCTTAGGTTACAGTATTTTCTTCAATTAACGATTGAAGACATGGAAGTTCCATTTTTTCTAATATAACAATGAAACGTCACTATACCTTGTCACATCATTAATCAAACGTGTTTGCAAGAGTAAGTCTCTTCTAGGCAGCAGATTGTCACAGATCAAATTTTGATTGGCACGAACTGCAACTCCATTACAGACACAGAGAGAGCAAAGCACATCAAGAACCTTAAAAAAAAAAAAAAAGATCAGAAGAAAGTTGGTGAAGGTAGCTGAATATCCTACTATTCAGCTGTTGGCTTAATTTATATTCAGAAGAGACCTAAAGGAAGGAATATAATACACGTTATCGCTATTATTTTCCAAATACCTTTCACACATATGGAACAAGTGTAGTCCGTGTACTACTGATTGAGGATATCAAACATTCATGGAACGCAAATTCAGAACATAGCGTTTGCAAAATGTCTCAAAAAAATCTTCATTTGAAATTCCTTATTCTCATTTCAGTTAGAAAAAAAAGCAAAGCTAGAACAGCTGTATTTCAACTCTTTATAAATTTTGTAATTAAATCTCATTAAACATTCAAAATATAGAATTAAATTCTTTGAGAAATTTACTGCAGCCCATAAAACATTCTGAGCAAACTTAATGGACAATTCTCAGCTGCAGTTCTCAGACTGTATATGAATCTGTTCTGAAAGCATGTTTTCAATATAACAAGTAAATCGTTCATTTTTAAAATTAGAACAGAGAACACAGTAACAGAGTGTTGTTTAATGTACACTTTTGCTAAAAACCAGAGAATCTTAAAGATGTGTTTGAGCTCTGACAAGCAATCACTGAGCAATAAGCCCAAATGGTCTAAGCCCTTACAGACCATCTCCAAGACAAAGAACCATCTTCACACTGTTGATTACCATTTTGCAAACCGTTGTACAACACAAGAAGCAGCAGAATAAAACGTGCACTTTAGCTACTCCTGCTTCCTGCCCAGTGAAGTAGCACAAAAGCATCCAGAGCAGGAGATTAAAGCTGCTATATTGTGAACTTTGCTATGTTCCAGCCCATGCATTTTCCTAACATGTCTGTTATTGGGCAGAAATCTCTAGCAGAAAGACAGAGATAATAACTTAAATAACCACAGAAACTCTGACCAGTACTCAGGTGTGTCTTAAAAAACATTAGTGATTATTAATAACTCAGAATCTATATATCAACCATTTAAATAATCTCCATGCACTCACTGATCATATTTCTGACACAAGGCATTTAATTTAAAAAAGTCCTTCAAATCAATGATTTCCAAGTCAATTTTGGTTAATAATATTACTGTTTCTTATTTCCTAAATCACAACAGGATTTCTAACCTAGCAGAAGAACAAGATATAATGTTTCCAGAGTAACAAATAAATTCATTACTTCACATTACTTCATTACTTACCAATGCTTAGTCAAAGTCATTACGAAAGGAAATGCACAAATACGTTACCCAGTCTAATTCTTCTCCTGTATACATTTTCTGCTTTAAATTCTCACTATGAGGTCTACATTAAGATGCTTCATCTGAGAGGTTCTCTTTGCAGGTGACTGGCATAGCACAATAATCTTGCTAACACCTAAAAACAGTAAGCTAAACTTACCACGGTAATTTCAAATTTTTCCTTATGCCTACTCCTATGGGTTCATACTCCTTAACCATGCTTAAAAATACTTCTCTCCTTTTTCGTATCCATAGTTGGTTAGGTTCTCCACATCCTCCTGTAAATCAGTAATTTCATCTCACTAGAACTTTATTTATTCTTCCTCCAAGTTAACAGTCTTTCGAATAAAATGTTGAGGAAGGAAACTCACATCAGAAAATCACACATAAAACTATATCCTCCTCTGAGTTGTGATGTCATCCTGATTGCAGCCAGAAACTGTGTTCACTTTCTTCTGTCATAATAAATTGCACATTGATGTCTAAATTAATTTCCACCATTATTTCTTCTGGTATAAGTCGGGGGTTTTTTCTGTCTTCTGAACACCTGTGTTTTCAGATATTTGGATTATTTTTCCGATTTCTCATTTTATTTTGCTCTTTTCTGCTACTAATATTATTACTCAAGTTAGGAATGACTTTGCAGGATTTAGTTCTGTCTTTCTGCAGGTAGAACAATGGTAGTTCACTGCTTCTGCAGAGCCCTGCATCACAAAAGCAAGCTACTCTACCCACGTGCTTACAGCCGCCAGAATGCTTCACTTTCTCAGGAAATCCAAAGTTCTGACTGATTATCAATACTTCTTAACTATTTGCTTATCCTACATATTTTCTGTATTTGAAACTGAAAAGCAATTATTTATTACACATTTTTTTAACTCAACAAAACAATTTGCAGATGTACTTCAAGGTTATTTTATTTCTTTACAGGTACTAGAATCATGTATTTCCATGTAGACATCTGTTATTTTTCCACAAATTATTGTAAGATTATCAATACATCCTTAGTTTTTCCAAACATACCTTGTAATTGCGCCCATGTTTATCCAGCAATGAAATAATGGATTTGATGTGCTCCTCAGCTATTATATTTAAAGCTTCTGGGCTTTCAATCAAGATGCAATGCAACACTTCCAAAATACCTGTACAAAGGCCACAGAAATAATGTTGTCATTAAGTCAGTCATCTGCCCAACTGAACACAATCTAAAAGCCCAGTAAATATCACAGTATCTAAGAGATGCTATCTTTTCTCTAGCCTAAGAAGAGAATGAAAAGACTTTTAACGGGTATTGATATGACTATGATGTGAATCGCATTAGACATAAGTTATGAAACTGTTAATTTCTGATTTCTTTTGAAAATAGCTACGATTTTAAAACCACTTGAGAAAAATGCAGATTTAGCTCCTCCTTTTCAATGAGAGAGATAAGAGGTTTTAGTAGGGAGCACTGTACAGTATTTTGGTATTTTGTTGAACATTCCATAGAGGAAAAAAAACACCTTCTCTCTCTGATATTTGTACTTGTGCACACAAAGAACTCTGATGTTATTTGATAGCAACGGGACAGTAGTCTTGATACTGTCTGACCCAATGCATTAATTCACCAAAGTTACATTCAACACTGACTGGATGTGGTACTGCACATACCAAATGTATGAACCAAAAAATGCCACAGAAATGTCTTTAAATGTAATACTTTCTCAATTAAAGACACTGTACTTGCTTGCTAACGCATGCTGTTTGGAAGGAAAACTGCTCTGACATTTATAATGCAAGACAGCTGTGTATGGTGCATTGATAGTTGATTTACATTAATAAAAATAAGTCTCACCTGAAGACGATTCTAATCTGTCCAATTTACTTATTAGCCAATCAAGGTTACTCGAAAACTGAGTACAATTGTTTCTGTTGCCACGAATGAGAGCAGCTGGAAAAAAACCCACAAGGTATAATTTTAAACATATTTCCTTTTTAAATCACCAATGTTATGTTTTAACACAATTTTTGTAACAACTTTGCAAAATGATAAACAGATAGACAAATCCTAAATATGTTAGAATAATAAAGATTTAAGATTTTCATTAATTTGAATATCATCAACTGACATAACTTTTAAATAGCATGTAGTTTTTGAAATTGACAGGGGTCTACTGGAAAAGCAAGAATTTCAGCAAAAAATGTTTTATTTGTGTTTTATTTTATTGTTAAATTTAAATAGTAATTATCCACCACCCTTGTTTGATGCGTATGTCAAGCACTGTCATGATCGAGAAGTTGAAACACTTCTTTTTCTATTTCTTCCTACCAGTGAATGGGAAGATCATACGCAGAAGTTCAAACTCAAGTGCAGGTTGGGTGTACTGCTCTTTAACTTTACTTTCTGATTAAAACATGTTATAGAACAGATAGCTTTTAGTCCTAATCAGTGCAGAGCACAATGTTATTTGGCTGCACTTTGAAAGTTCATCAGCATTCAAGTAATACTGATTTTGTTTCTTCCAGAAGTTATTAGTGCTCTTAGGTTTAAAAAAAAAAAAAAAAAAAAAAAAAAATATACAGTTGTCACGCATTTTTATTTTGAAGCATTAACTTAATATTTATTACATCAGAACAAGTATGTTCAAGATGTACCTGCAAGACAAAAATCTGAAAAGGTCTACATAGCACTAAAGCGTTTACTTTCACCCTCACAGGACTCTAGTAAGATGCAGGCAATGGTATCTCATTACTTTCTAAAGTAATTACAAGACTTCACCAGAAGCATCTGCATGTCTGTGCTATGTGAACCTCATGCCTCAAAGCACTCCCCCTGGTTTGTTTAGGTTTTGTCCCGACTTTCAACTTCCGTATTTTATTGTGGTTTGGAGCTAACTTTTTTGTTATGAAATTACAAAGTATTTAAACTCCATCAAAAGACATGAGTCTTCTATATGAGGAATTACGCAACTCAGGTATCAAATTAGTGATTTAAAGAAATAAACATATACATACTTCTACTCTATAATTTTGGCCCTATTACAACACAGAAGCAGTACACTCTAGAAAGCATGGCATGATAAATATCAGTATTTATCAGCATACCAGTATCACTGATAAATGTCCGTTAAGTATAGGTAAGAAATTCTGTAATTTACATGATAGAATAAATAACACACTAAGTATTCTTTGGTGGTGAAGCAGCAAGCAGAATATAAAAATACATATCCTGTTTTTTCACATTAGTAGATTATTGAAGAACTTACCTAACAATTTGTAAAGGAGATTCAAAATTTCTTTCCATGCTGTACCATGTTCTTCTCTTGCAATTCCTGCAAAATGAGCTGCGCTGTTGTAGTCATTTAAGCGATCGATGCAATTCAAAACTAGTGCCAGCATTCCCTAAATGCATATGACAGAGAGGAAAAAAAACTCTAGATGAAAAAGCATTTGTTGTTGTCATTTGAAAAGATTTTTTCCTATACACATTTAAAAGTTGCATCATCCTAGATTAAAAAAAAAATAAAAATTGTGCTTACAAGATTTGAAAATGTATTTTTCCGCTTTAGAGAATGATTCTATACTCTTCCTTAATCAGCTAAGTATTATAAAAAGTAAGGAATAAACAATCTGACAATAATGGTTTTTATAATTTTTGTGAACAGACTAGTTTTTACATAAAATCTTCCTTACACAGGAAAAACCCCACACTTTAAATTTATGTACAAAGGAATTTTTATTGATTAAAAAAGGTGGAAATTTTACTACCTAACAAAATATTGATAAAACAAACAAGTTCATATCCTAGAATAGATTTTTAACTTCAGTTCAATTGGAGACTAAAATGGTATTGAAAACCAGCAAGCAAACCAAACATGTCTAAAACCACTGTAAAATATACTTCCTATTTATACAGAAATGTAATTATTCCAGTTTCAGAGAGGAGCAATTCTACAATTATGTAACACATATCCTTGTCTAAAACTAGTATTCTTCCAGTTTCTAGAGATACAAAGTTCTTGTTTCACACCCTGGTGGACAGAAAAGACATCAGAAATACCACTTATCATTGATGCAAGCTTTATTATTAGTTTGGGGTATGTAGAATGTGGAACTTCATAGGGAGAAAAAGAAATCTCTTGTCACAACCCTGTCTTTTAAAAATGACATCTGTGTAAAGATATTCAGAAGTATTGAGACTGAATTTTATGAGAGTGTGTTTGTAGCCTGTGACAAGTGTGGAAGTGAAAAATATGTAAGAGCAAGTTATCATATGGCATTACAATATGTATATATGTCAGCTATGGAACTTTATATTATAAATCATATGCATGCATCTAGATGATAATGCTTAGGCTCTTCTCAATGTTTGTGACACAATAAACTTAAAATTAAAATAATGTAACAATTTCTTGGTACCTCTTCTTTGAATAGATTTTGTCTGTTTTTGAGTGATCGAAGCTTGCTTTGCTTATCCTCATGTTCCAGGTCTTCTTCGGGAAGCTGGAAGTAAGTTATCAGGTCTTGCAGAGTCTGAGCCATCTCCTCAAGAGGCAGGGCAGTGGGGGATAGTGTTCTGTTGTTTCCACTACAGAAAACAATGAGAAAGACAGGCAGCATTATTCTTTTTTTTTCCCACTGTAATTTCCAGTATTACGTAGCAGCCTATTTTCTCTTGGTATCTAAATCAAGTTTTGTTATACATATGATATATGTGTATGAGCAACAGCTGATCTGAATTGCAAATCATTCAAACATCTATTGTTTGGGTGGGTGTCCAGCACTCAGAGCTTCCTGAAATGGAATCATGTTTCCCTTTCTGCACTGATGTAAAGGGAATGATTAAAAATACTAAAAAAAAGTGAGCAGAAGAAACAAAGTAAGTCAGCAAAATGATGAAACAGATGAAAGATGCACTGAAGTCCTTTCTTACAGTAACAGATTTTGTTTATATACTTCAAATCCTATTTATGATATAGGTGTAATGTGCAGATGGACTAAAATAGTAGCAGTTGTTGAAGATGTACATCCCCAGTCTTCTAGAAAAATAACAGGTAATTCTAACCATTAATTAGGTCTTCTGTATCAACTCTATATCAGAAATAATGAAGGGTGGGATTTAAAATCATAAAGCATTCCAAGGAATCCCAGTTGTCAGTAAAATAATGTCTCTTTCCTGTTCAAGCATTTGATCAGTCTTGGGTGACAATCCAATTTTTCAGTGTCTGATTCACTATTATAAATAGTGTAATCCAGGGAGAGCTGATTGTTGGCAGAGCTGGCTGTTTTGATATTCTCAGCGCAAGAAATACAAAGGAGTAGTGTAGTCCCTTGTGATACTGGAGAAGTAATGTTTTAAATGCAGTCTCACATGGTGGGTTCTGTGAGAGAAAATTCTTAACTATAAACTAATTTTTCTTTATTTTTTTCATCTATTAGGCAGTGACATAAGGATGACCACTTGATCATCATAATTAAAACCCTGCCAAGCACTATGAAAAAATAGTTTCTTCAGTACTACATACATTCTTATTGTGTATCCTTATCCATTGTGTATCTCAGCAATTTTAAATGAATATGCGTTGACACAGAATTGTATTTTACCCTAAAATTCTTCAGACAAAAACATATTGTATGGAACAGCTATAGTGAAGGAAACATTGAGCTTTCACTGAAGATCTCTGTCTTGCTGCTTGTTAAAGAGTTATTATCATGTAAGTTTAGTAATGCAAGATAAATGTCATGAACCATTTACTCTAAAGAAGTAAAAGAAGGGGAACAAAAGTAACAAAAGAAATAGCATAATAAAGTTATGCTTCAAAATGCCCCATATTTTCAAACTAACATAGCTAAGTATTATTCAAAAAGTCAAATACAACCACATATGTAAGAGTTTTCATGATACTTCCCTTCACTATTTGAATACTAAAGCCCGCATCAGAACAATCAGTTTACAACTGTTTCCATGTCTCAAGCTTATGGTAATGAAGGTCTGTCAAAATTAAACTAAACTGATGAATGACAGAAATCATTCTGAATAGTTCTGTACGAAGCCAGATCAGACAAAGCAGTAGAACAAACCCTTTTAAGCACAATATATACTTCAAGAGGACTGGAAAAATTTAAGCTGAAGTGAGTGCATTAATATGGTGAAAGCCAGCCAAATTTTGAATCAGAAAATCTATTTCATAAATAATACTGTTTAAATACAGTCTTGAATCCAGAAAACCAAACTGGGGATGAAATGTGATAAAGAGTATCTTTTCATGCTCTTTTTTTTCAATGGTTTAAGATTCAACATCTCCTGAAGATGCAAAGGACCTTCAGTCAGTAACATACAAATTTAGATAAGCTGTTTTAAATAATATTCATGTCAACACACTGGGTTTGCTACTGTCCAAGATTGTATTTTTCCATGAAAATTATGTTGCCACATGTGTGGCAAGGATATTAAGCAACTACTTAATAAGTACAGCTCTTTATATAATCTTCTCAGTAAACCAAGATTTGACAGAGCAAGTCTGGTGTCATATCAAATTGTTTAAATTACTTGACTTCCTAATATTCTTTGTAGTACTGACTCCATGCTTAGGGTACTCATATATTGCACGTTTCACAACGCCCAAGTATCCAAGGGCTTTGGTGTTTCGATCTGTGAAAACAGCCATCACTGTCTCCATATCAGGTTTTGAATTCTATTATACAGTTAGGTGAACAGCTCGATCTCAGACAATTCTTACTGAGGTGTAATTACTAACTGCATTACCCTCTAGAGCTCAGCAAAGATTTGAAAGATAAATAATATTCAGAAGGTAATTCTACTGACCGTTCTAAAGTCTTTCAATCACAACTTGAATTAATCCTTAAAATCAGATATAGTCACTGCCTCTGCTGAGATGCTTACTGACTTTGAATACCCATAAATCCATTCCACTGAAAATAAATGTGTTGGTTTAAACAGAAGATTTAGGAAGGTTCACATAATAAGTTTGCTGAGAGAGAGTGGTTAAGAAGATATTCTTTTTACCCCCTCAGCAGCCCCTTAGCCTTCTGTCCTAATTGTTGTCACTGCGCATAACCTGTAACACTGCATAGAGTTCACCAGAGAGAACTGCCTCTCCTCCGATCTTTAGGTCTTCCAGATATTATCAGCAGGGTGACAGAAAAGTAGGAGGATCAACAGGATAGGTGATTAAAAAGGTATAGGTAAAATGTTTCAGTACAGATTTTGCAGACAATAAATTGGTATTCTCCTTCCAGACATGTACTATTTTGTATTTCCTTCTATTGCTTATTTGCATGGACTTGGGGCTGCTAATGGTTTCCCATCATATTTTAGATCCAAACAGTATTAGGCATCAATATTCATTTCAGTTAGTTTGACAAATTTGAATAGAGGTAGCTATATTACTTGGTCTACCTAGAAAAATAAGAACCCTTTTATGAATATTGTGAAATGCTAGCTACTGTATACTCACTAATGGAGTTACACTTAAGATCATTTAGCATGTTTTCTTCAACTTGGATTATGATCCAGTTTGCTTCTGACTTCAAGGTATTGGATTTCATGTAAATAGTTTTAAATGAGATGGTTTATCTATTTAATGGCATTATTCAACAAAATCACAAACTTAAATTGGTAAAAATATATTGCTAATAGCTTCTAAATACAAATACTTGAAAGCAGGAAATAAGGATTCTGTTAGAGAAATTCTTATATTTCAGATTACATTAAAAAACAAACAAACAAAGAATGATTGTATAAAAGACGGTAACAACTACCTTATAAACTGGCTGAACAAGCTGGTAGTATTGCGAATGATTCGAGCAGCCTGGGATTCCTCGTGCTGACATCTTTGTAAGGTTAGACCATCATCCATATGGCCTTCTTGGTGTAATATAACCTATTGAAAGTCAGTAATTATCACAACAATTACTTAAAAAACCTCTATGCTTTTAAATATTTTGTAACTTATTTCAACATTGCACTGAAAACAGTAATTGCATATATACTGAGCTACTACTTAATCACTTTATCTGAACAGTTAATAATTATTTATTAATTTACCAGTCTCAAAAGTTATTCAGAGAATACATTTTCATGTACTCTTGTAATTCATTAAACATATATGATTATCAAATATTCTCCAACTGAAACAAAAATTGTCATTCTTTCTATATTCTGGCTGTGAGGGAAAGTATCTTCACTATCTTAGGCATCATTTACTAAAGGCTTTAAACATGAAAAGACTACTGACAAGAAAATCAAGCTGGAGTGACAAACCATGAAAATTACAATGCAACTAAAGGAGCAACAACGTTTATGACTAACTTCTGACTCATTTAACTATTCTCTATACATTATGCTGGATTTTTATCAGAACCAGATGTGAACATCATATGAACTTCAAGCAATAACAGAGATAGCTTGGTGGGTTTTTAATTTTTCCCTGGATTTTTATCAGAACCAGATGTGATCATCATATGAACTTCAAGGAACAACAGAGATAGCTTGGTGGGTTTTTGATTTTTCCCTTTAAGTAAATACCCAATTCTACAAAAGGCAGCATAATTTTTAGGTATCACAAACCCAAATATTTATCATTTTGAATCATTAAAATCCTACAGTACTTTTGTAAGAATTAAATGTGAGTTATCCTGCTCCTTTGTCCGAGATGTAACCTATTGAATTTTCCACTGAAAAATGTATATTTTAGCTCTGAGATAGTAGTTGTCCACCTTCCTAGTTAGCTGAGTAATTCCAAAGGCACTGAATAGTTAACTAAGAAACTAATGTTATACAAGTGGTTACTGCCACAAATGGGAAGGATATTTACCAACAGCTTTTGTACATACTGTCATATAGGTATCCAAAGCATTGGAATGTGGTGTTTTTCTATACTTGGCAGGATCCAAAGTACATGTGCTCTGTTCCTTCCAACATGCTGAGAAAGTGCTTTTAAGAGTCAAACATCATCCTATGAATTATCTGGACCCCAGAACCCGTGGAAATGTGATGGAGAAGACTAGGAAGACATTTTTGAATGAGTATGTTGACAAAATTATTTTAAAGGAGACTAGTTTACATCATGGTTATCTTTCCTCTTTGTTCAAGTATTCCTTATATAGAGTCACACTTGTGGGTGAAGGGTCCTAGGGTCTTGTAACTGAACAATAACTAAAGAACTGTTCTTTCCATCATAAAACTAATAAAAAAACATTTGACAATCAGATAATGTTTCCTCAGGCTACTGCACGTAGCTCCAGATTTTGTACCTACAGGAACGGTACAGGAATTAAAACATTTGACAGATAGGATATTAAAGCTGCTACACCTTGCAAAATACTACATGTATTTGCTACACATTCACCATTGTGTAGCAGATATGCACTCCTCTCCCTAAGTATGCTGTAGATCAAGGAAGAGAGAAGTCTTTTAGAAGGACCTAATCTTCCTTGTTTCTCTAGAAAAAAAACCTTCAAACCCCAAACCTCAACTAAATCATACAGAAACACTACAATGACAGGAAAGTGCTATTTAGAACTCTAGTAAGTAGATCAGGGCCAGAAGCATCCAGCACTGCCTTGCTTGTTGAGGTACAAGAGGACATTGGTATTGACCATTGCAGCAATGGTCTCCAGGACTTGAATTCAAAACATATAGCACATTTTTTGTTGTTGTTCTCTGAGCTCTAGCATTGTGGAGCTCTGCAAGAGCTCACAGGCTGCACAGAAGCTCTCAAACTGAAAAGATAAGCATCCATTAGTCATGCTGGATGGTGGAAGAACATTAAATAGAATAGTGGTGTAAACATCATCACTACCTGGCAGAGTCCTGAACCTTTGGTTTCCAAGAGCTCAGAGAGAAAGTGATACAATAGATCAAAATTCTGGCAGAAATCGTGCAACAGAAGCCTCATAAATGATGCCAGAATTTCTTACATATTTGTGTCTTGCAAAGACAGCGTGATAACTAGATACATGGAACTACAGCAAAGCCAAACAACAGAAATTTTTACTTGGCATTTTGAGTATTTTATAGCAGAACTAATCGCACAGTTTTTTTCTTCCCTGTATAGATTTGCAGCAGCTGTAAGTTAAAATAGCTAGGTCATATGAAAAAAAAAAAAAGAAAAAAAAAAACAAACAAACAAAAAAACCCAAACAAACAAACAAAAAAAAAACCACAAAAAAAACAACCTTTGCCTCTTGCAAAAATAAGGTATTTCTCAATCCTCCTAGTGATACTGAGGCATGTTACAAAAAGTGCAGGTCAGCTTGAGAAGGATTGCAGCGGCTGGAAGTGAAAACCTGACAAAATTATGATGGAGGATGCATACAAAGCTATGACTTCACTTTTACTATAGAAAAATAAATCTGATACAAAATTTAAAGGGTTGTATATATTTAAACTTGCTTACAAAATTATAGTCTAGTACCATATTTTGCAGAGGATGAAAAACTGTTTCATGCCTCCACAGGAATATCAATTACAGGAAGTGAGAAGGTTTGGGTTTTCTTCTGTCTGAAGGCACTTAACAGGAGACTATTCTCCATGTGAGAGGGCAACAAAAGATTTGGAATCTTTGAACATGAATGAATCAGTTTGAAAGGAGAATAAATGTCATGGGCAATTATGGAGGTTCCTTTAGTCCCATGCTGCTGAGCAGAAAACCAGGGAAAAAAATACTAAACCTCACAGGAAGCTATTGCAAAATTCTTCATTGAATACAGAGGAAGATTCTACATGTTGTCTTTTCAAGAAGTAAAATAGGACCCTACGAGGAAACAGAATCCCATAGCCAATATTGGCATGGGAAAGGAAGAGGCCATCATTGTGTGATTAAGTATCTTATCAAGAAAATACTGAATGACTGACATACAAAGAAGAATTTCTCCGATCAGCCAGGCTGCTGAGAAGAAGTGAAGGGGCTGGACGCTCACTGCCCATTTATGACCATGTGTGCTGCTTAAATAAATGAGATTGTGCCAAGGGTGTGCTGAGGACCTCATTTTTTCTATTATAGAATTTGTATATGGGTAACTTCTTGTGAATGTACATACACACAAGTAATTAAAGAAGAATTCCAACTTCTGTTCAGTAATTAACTTTTTTCATGTTCTAAAAATAGGTTCAAGTTGTAAAAATATATGAATACAGAATCTTTTGGTAATGGTGCAATTATGCAAAGCTAGTATTAAACCCTGTAATTCTGAATGAAATGTAAACATAATTTGAAAAGATTACAGGTCATATGCCCCTAATTGAAAATATACTCATACTCTATAATCAAAAGGTTGAGAGAAAGACCTTCTCAATGTCACATCACAATTGCATCTAACATTCTGGCAGGAAATTGTTCATTAAAATCACTTAAGAAACTTGAGGGGTTACTAGGGCCATTTCTTAAGCAACAGATTTAATTGCCATTTCATACAATATACTCAATTAGAAAATGTAACACACCAGTGAATGTAAGATGACTTATAAGTTTATGCCCTTAAACAGTTAAATGTAGATTTTGAAAAAAGTGATTTGACCATCCAAATCAGGGACTTCCATCCTTTACTGAAGTGTCAAAAATAAAACCTGAGCACAAATTAATAGTTTCTTCTGGCAAGAAAAATAGCTAAACACATTTCTTAGTGGCAAAGTTTTTCTTCAGTTACAGAATGAAACATTCACACCATTTTCAATAAAACAGCACAAAACAATTAAAACACACAATTACCACACTGGTAGAATGGAAAAAAAAAAAAAAAAAAAAAAAAAACAAAAAAAAAAAAAAAAAAACAACAAACCACAAAACAAAAAAACAGAACAGACCAAAACTGTTATGCAACTAACATTAATTTTATAAGTAATTAAAAAAAACCTCAAACATTACCTTTCTTTTCAAGGGACCTAAACGTGCTGATTTAGCATCTTGTGCTTTGTAGGTCAACCATAAGGCACTGGCCACATGTTGGACAAAACAGATTGAATCACCATACTTTATTTCTGGGACTCCCATTCCATCCATGTCACGTTTAAGACTAGAATCCTGCTTTTCTTTTAGCTCCTAAAAAGATAAAATACAAGTTGGCTTTTAATCATTGCACTGGAACAGCAAAAACCATTGAATTCTACCCTGAAACACATTCCAACATTGAACAATGTTTATGCTACTGATGTTATGACGATGCAGTTAAATTTCATTTCACATAATTTGTTTGTCCAATTCGTCAGATTCTGATTAAAAATAATTTCAAATCTGAAGCATTATTTTCAGTGAAACAAGAAAAATCAAGTAAAAGCCATGACCATACAAACATATATATTTAAAAAATCTTTAAATATTTAACCTAACCTAATCAATAACTGAGTTCCTGATGTAATTAAAGTTTCAGTTTAGTAGAGTCTGCAGAACTGCATATTAGTAAATTTTTCAAATTTTAGCTTAAATATGAAAAAGAAAAATAAGCAGAAACATATTTTGAAATATGTTAAATATTTTTATGCTAAATAATTTTTTGCTTGTAAATCGTATATGCAGACAAAAAAAGTTTGTTGGAATAATGCCTCTGTTTTGCAACAGCTAGAAAAATAGAAAATATTAATATTTTTAAGTAGTACAATTTGGCTTTTACATTTATTTTACTTTCGCATTGTTTATTTTTTACATTTATTTTAGTTTTCTATTTATCCTCTTTGTAAGAGGAATTGGATGCTTTCAAATATCTTTTAAAGACAGTGCTCAATATTCAGCAGGAACACCCAGTACAATTTTTATGCCCAACCCATTATTATTCATTCATAACCAGAGCATTTTAAGTCTCCAGCACAAAAGCAAGTATCTTTTTGTTTTTCTTCAAAATAAAATAGTTTTCCTTTCAAAATTGAATTCAGGAATAAGAACAGAGTTACACAGCAAAACCTGTAATCGCAAATTATGGATGCATGTACATGTGTGTGATTGAACAAAAAAACTCTAAGTAAATAGAGCAATTAAATTATATCCTTTTTCTATTATTTCAGATGTTGATGTACTTAACCTGAAGTGTAGATGGTTTTTCATTTGTTGCTAAATAAACAAAATATGTTAGACATTGATACACAGGTTAACTTATATATGTAACAGGTTCTCTTATTTCATTTCAGTTTTACAAACAACATCTGTGTAGTAAAGAGAAGTTCTATTTTAACTATATCAATCTACTTTCTTTTATATGGAATTCAACTGTCACATTTCAACAATAATTTTAGCAGAAACAGACAGCATTATAATGCCAAGAAGAAGTAGAATGAAATTACAAGACATTCCTTGGGGATACCATTACAATATCAAGACTATGAGGAAATCATGTCACATCATATTTATGTGGACCGCGCTATCACATACAAAGATGAACTCTTTCAGTACACATTTACGGTGAGGCCATTAAATGAAAAATATAATGAAATAGCAGAAATTCATTAACTGTCAGCAATTAACCATTTGGCTTTACACAGCATCCTGAATATTAAAACATTAAAACATTTTTCTCAAATATTACATCTGCCTCAAGAATCAAACATCAAAGAAATTTCAATGAACGAAAGCATAATGTTGTAACAAGTGATCCTAATTAAGTAACTGTTTTTAAAAAAATGAATGATACTGATCCTTTAGACAACATTAAACATAAAGAAAAACCAAGATTTTTTTGAATTTCAGAAATAAAGCTTTAGAATGATTTTGGGGGCCTGAAAGCTGTTCTCACTTTAAGCAGTACAGCATAAATTCTTCTTCATGATGTTTTGCTTTTTGTGTTCTGTACAGTTTGTCTAGTCATTTGACATCAGTATGCAAAGAAAGGGCATATTTTGTAACAGCTAAAAGGTATAGTCAGATAACATTATCTGGGAGAAGAGGAAAAAATATCTTTTATCTTTATATTTGTATCTATCTTAGCAGCAAAGTATCCAAACACTTTCCCCTTCAAAACGTTCTCTTCCCAACCTATTCTCAGTTTAACTCCCTCAGGCCATGAATGAATCAAATGAAAGAAAACAAATCACATCATGAACCTGGAGGATGTCAGAGGAAAAATAACAGTAACAACAACAAAAAAAAAAAAAAAAAAAAAAAAAAAAAAAAGAAGAAATGAACAAAGGAACTTGAGGGCAAAGCTGTCAAAGATGTAATTTTCACGAGCTATTTAATATACTAGAGGAAGGGCAATATTTAGAAAAAGAGAGACTTCATAAAATTATAGATTCCTACGTGATAGAAGGCAAGTGAGGAATGACAGTGTGAACAGGACAAATAAACCCAACTGTCTTTACAATGTTTTTTCAACAGTCTTCTTGTAAAAACACAGTAGAGAAAACTCTTGATATCTGAATGGCTTGTTTATGTACCCTTAAGAACGGTAAGACAACCTGACTGCTGAACTCTTGCTAATCTAACCTACATAAGCTAATTAAAATTGTATCTTTCGGTGTTGCACACTACTACTGCATTAAAAGTACTGCCACAGGCTACCCCAATTTCCCTAAAGAAAAATATCTAAAGGTCTAGAAATATAAGAGCAGAGGACTGATATACTAAGCATACATATCTTGCTAGTGGGCTTACTGTACTTGGTATGCTTTGCTGTATGCACTTCTACACCTCAGTAGGCAAAGGGGGAAAAAAAGAAAAAAGTGTTTTTAATTTATCTTCTGTCTCCTCCCATATAAAAGGAGTAAAACAAATAGCTTAATACTGTATTTGAAATGCAGTGCTTACTGGGAAATAGTAATTATAAAATATGAACTTAACAAATAAATACTTGAACTTTTAGAGACAATTGTAGGTAAATGACTGTGTTATACTTATCTACTTATACCAAAAACAAACTTTGTGATTACTACTAAACTATTACAACGTTCTAGTGCCATGTTGAGCCCCTAAGATAGCTACATGCTGGCAGTAATATTAAAATGATATCAAATCCTTCTGCATGAGTCATCTGTGACTTTTGAATGTGTCAGAATGTTACTTACTCAGAATATACCAATAACTTCTTCATTGTCAATTGTAGATACCATCAGGAAAATAAAATATTAAATCTCAAATATTAATCCTGGGTTTCAACAATTTTTAAATAAACAAACATTATTAAATATGCTCTTGTTCTTCACTGTGTTTATTCTCAAATAATTTTATAGGCAGAAGCAAAGTTCTGCTCAGCAGAGTGTTCTGAGCCAAGTTCTGTTTGGAATGAGAACATCCCATTTCAAAACAGGATTCCATCTGCTGTAGGGAAACTGCTGCCTCTTGGTCACAAGACATTACAGAACTGTTGCCTTAAAATATAAAGGCTGACATTTTAAAACTTTGTTAAAAGTAAATGCCATATTAAACTCAAGTAAAAGCATAATTCTGGGGGGTCTCCATCAATTTCTAATGCTTGTAAGCTTAGTTTGCAGTAAATTACAGCAAATAGACATATACTGCATATGCTGTTTTCACTGAAATCATCACCATAATGTTATTTAGCATATTCTTTTGCTTTTTTAAAAGCTCCCTTCCATTATTGTTTATGTAAGGACATATTAAGGAAAACACTAATTTTAACTTTTTAAATTTTAACTTTTTAAATTTTAGAATTTAACAACCTATTTTGATTCCCAGTGTTACCCAGCAAAAGAAAAAAAAAAAAAAAAAAAAAAAAAACATTATGAATGCAACCACCAGTTTTGAAAAGCAAGGAAAACACAAGACTGCTGAAGTGGTATGTAAAAATACTGAGGATGAGGGTGTGCTTTTTCAACAAGAGGGTCTCTATAACAACTGTTGGAAAAATAAGTTATATGTTACAGGCTCCTGTGTAGCCTTGGGGATTTGATATATGGCACACAGCTCTGCCTACTGACAAAGATAATCTCTTTTTTCCACAAAAACATTTTTGCTGTCTTCCAAACTGGAGAGAATACCTCAATGGAGAAATGTTTTATTTCCTTTTGGATACTTCTGAGCAATCTAGTCCAAATTCAGTGTTGACCACACCTGGAGCAGAAAGCCAGACTAGATGACTCCCCAAGGTCCTTTCCAATCAGAATTATTCTATGACTCTAAAGGACAAGTGTGCTGTAAATAGCCAGGTATTCCAGCACTCTAAGGATCTGTACACAGATGCATAGAAGGTATTAGACATTTATCTTGAAATTTCCCTTAATGCATGTCATATTAAGGACCAGGCAAGTGAAAATATTTCTTCACTGAAAAAGTGAACAAGAGAAAACAAAGGTTTACAAATACATACGTGCAGAAATTAAGAAAATCACACTTGCACATATCTAGTCTAACTATTCTACAGTTCTTTTTACCCTCAATCTGTATGCAGTCAGCACTTGTCTTTAAGAGTCCTTTCCATCTTACAGTCCAGATCAATTTTTGAGGTTTATTTGCTTCCAAAACCTCACCCTTCTTTCTGCAGGAAAAGTTAATACTGCTTGTTCCCCTCACCTTTGAAAACACTAAAGTGTCTACCCATAGGCCAGTGTAGCTCTCCCCTGCCTAGACAATAATCAACTATTCTTATTCTTGGCAAATTTATAACAAATTTATAACAAGCAAATTTATAACCTGTTGTGACATAAAAATATTCTTTACTATATAGGGCAGCACAAATCCTAGGATGATGAGACACTGAACTTTTATTTCAGATAAAAATGTACATTAACTGTATTATGTATAAACACATTACAAGAGATGAGTGCATTACACAGTCATTATTGACTTCTGCATAATTAATTACTACTGTACTTCACCTTAGTCGTTTTGTGGATTGTAACCAATTTCACTAATGTGCCTAGTATAGAGCACGTCTATTCAGTGTAACAAATTATTTATTTTATGAGTATGCATACATAAACATAAAGTTCATACACTTAAAATTTATACATTTATATGCATAGAATAAAATATTAAGAAATAGCAGGACATCTGGTGTCCAAGTAGGCAGTGAGTACATTATAAGAATTTGAGCAGAATTTTAAACTAGTAGCTGCAGCATTCCTGGCATACTCACCATCCTTACCAGGGTGCCATGATTTGCCAAAAATGGGGAAAAATTATAGCTGTAATAAATGCCCCTGCACAACATCATATGCACAATCTACACTGCATAGCCTTTACACTGAAGAAAACAACAAACATTATTTGGTGAGCATCCAGAAATCTAAGGAAATTTCCTGGTAGTTTTTCAACTGCTTTAACTGCTTAAAATAAAAATTCTTGGCATGTCATATGCAGACACACTAATAAAATAAACAATGTTATTTTAAACATGCTGAAAAGAAGTATTTGCTTTATTATTCTAACATAAATCTAGCATCTGTCAAGACCCTTAATGCTAGATTTTATATAGTATATATCTAACTTTAAAGATTCTTTTTCACTGCCCTTTACAGGACCATACAGCATTCAGAATTCCATGGAATATTTAACTTCTCATACTTAATAAAAAACTCTATTGCAGCAGGTATTGCAAATATTTATAAGTAATATAATGCAAGTACGTATAATGAAAGCATGTTCCTTTTACAAAAACTTTTCATCATCTTCCATGTAAAAACCTTTCACTTTCTGGAAAAAAATTTATTCCTTTCACCTATCTCCATAATCATTCTTCATTCTCTCTCACTGTTTGTCTCAGATGGAAATGATGAAAAAGCTGGTAGCATGCAATTAGGAGCTCACTAGAGCCCAGTTTGAAAACATATGGTTTAGAAATCACTGGCTACGTTTTTCTTGTGATTCACCTATCAACACACGGCACAAAGAATAGCAAGGGCAGAATTTAGACCAACTGAACTGAATTCAACTGAATTCCATTATGACAGATAGAGCTGGAAAGAATAACATTCTAATGAGATTGTGTCCAACTATAATGATTCTATAATGATTCAAGCATTCACATTAAACCACTGTATCATGCATTGTATTAGTTTCAGTCTTGGTTTTTTTAACCTATTTACAGTTTAGTTTACTCTAAAGTTTATTTGTGATCCTTATCTTCCCTGAAGTAAACCTCTGTTACTCTCAACTCAGGTTGTTTACATCTGTATTTAAATGCATAATCCCTGTCAATTGCTTCAATTTAGAAGATTAAAAATAAAGTCATTGAACCAACTCAAATCTAGTATTTGAGACCTCCACATTTAAGACAAATTGGCGTTGATGTTATTTACCTTTGATGCTCTAAAGCAAAAGGCAGTAGATGTTGTGTCTGACTTTTCTCTGTCTAACATTGCAAGTCCTTCATCTTCATTCAGAGCCAAGTACTTTCCTGTTGTAATATGACGAAGACGGAAAGGCTGTCCCCATCTCATGTTACTTCCACTCCAGCTAAATTAATAAATTATAAAAAATAATTTATGAAGCAAGCAAAACTAATATTTCTATTTTGGGCTTTAAAGGATGTTCAGAAAATAGAACGTGCTATATATATTTCTTTGTTCTTTTGATTTCAGTATTAAAACACTGCATTAAAACAGATACAAAACAATATATTTGCAAAGGGAACCTTGGAAATGAGTATAGCTTTAATTTTCTTGTTACTATACCGTGTCTCTGTCTTATTAGGGTGCTACATATGATGTCCATAGAAAGATCCTACATGTTTTTGAAAAATACTAAAGTGTAAATTAACTACTGTATTTCAGTTAACTGCCTAAACAAATAAATCAAACCTAAGGACTCAACATTCCAAAGAACTATCCTGCATTTCTGTTGCTATATGAGGGTACTTCATTTGCAATCACAAACACACCAAGAGTAAAACAAACATACAGTTCAGAAGGCCATCAAAATTAAAACATGTATACCCTTATGGCATATATTGAAATTTCATTTGCAACAAGTTAACAGATAACTAATCACCTAGGAGGGAGATACAGTCTAGGAAAAAAAAAAAAAAAAAACACAACAAAAAAGAGAAGACACCCATGAGGGTTATTACTGTTCCAATTTCCACCCATGCTTCTAAAATTCCAAGTGAAAAACTAGGAAAGCATTTTACTTTTGGACAGAAGCAATGTCTCTAACAGATACATCTCATAGGCAACACTTCTTTTGATATGGGACACGAACAAACAAAAAGCCTTAAAATACTGACATTCCCCATATGATTATATGGAAGATTGCTTTTTATTATTGACAGTGAACATACTAACATATAGCATATAGCAGGACAAAAATATTACTCATGTTCTGCCTTAAGGGTCTGTAACAATGAATTTGCTGTTAACAAGAGTTGCTAGCAAAAAAGGTCAAAAAATATCAGCACCTTATTCGAAGAGGTTCTATACTCCACAAAGACCTTGCTCGAACACCAGCTCCTCCGGTTTCATAAAGTACTTTCCTACAGAAAAGATTTAGAAGATCATCTTCTTGTGTTTATTTGTGCTACATAGTATTTATAACTTACTCTTCTGTAAACCATATAGGACTCACTTCTCCTTAGCTGAACAGATGGAGTTGAATGGACAAAAGATTCCTACTCATCAGTGAGAGCACAATACACAATCTGAATATCTCAGGGAAGTTAGGCTAAATTTCCATTAAGCTATTCTCTCTCAGGACTTGATAAAATACATTGCCTTCAAAGTGGCTAAAAAACTTTTGCTGGTACTTAATCAGTCACAAAAATACATAATTCATACAGTTCCCAAGAGAATAATCTAAATTGTTAATGCTCTTAAATACATATAAACACAACATCAAAATAAGTATACACATTGCATACTTTAATGATTATCTGAATGAATACAACATCAGAGACTTAATTCCTAGAATTACTCATAACATTCTTATTAAAAGACAAAACGGTGGTGATAGAACAAAAATGTTGTATTATAATCCTTACGAAATAGATAATACAGATAAAATTATATATTAGTTTTAGGAAACAGAGAAATAAAAAACAGGAAGTGAAGGGATTCAGCCTTTGATATAATCTAGTTTTCTTGAATTACTAGCTGGGTTTAGTGACATGTTTTGGTGGTGAAACTAACATTCTACTCAATAATCCAATACAAATACACATTATAGTGGATTAGTCCTGTTCGCAGGGATACATACAAGAAAGTTTTTCATCTTTCAGTAATCATTCGTGTTTTGTTATCTAAGTGTTTGAATTTGTATAACCTTTCTCATATATAATGGATATAGGAAATACAATACATTCTTTTTGATCTCCTTTACCTCTTCTTGGCCCAACTCAACCATTCCTTCACTGAAGGAATACCATAGATATGTGTTTGTTCACCTTTTAAATTTCTTCTTTAAATTCACTTCTTAAATTCCTATACTACTTGAACTCTCAAAACCTTTCCTAGCTTTTCTCTGTGAAACATTGTACTAGCATTAGTGACCTGTTCTTACAGTAACAAAACTACAGGTAAAAGAGAATTGCTGCTTTTACACAACATCATCAATATAACACTTTCTTCATCTGTTTGATTCCACCCATCTTATTCTGAGATTTTGCCAAGCCTGTCTTTTTGATGTTCAATATATCCATCCCATGTATTTTTGCTTGGCCTGTAATATAAAATCTTAAGATTCTTGGCAGCAAATAGTCACTGAGTGAATTGTTAAGAAGCATTCTCTACAGAAACCTTCAGAAAATTTTCTGTTCTATGAAAAATTATCAACTCTTGTCTAATTTAGCCAATTTAATAGTCCTAACAGAATGCATAGAACTGATTAAACAAAGAGATGGAAATAAACACAATAAACTTTTTCTACAGCTCATTTTCTATTGCTATTTGGTGGTTTTTATGTATTCATTTCATTTAGTATAAGGTAAAAATGACTTCTACAACTATGACACAGTACAAACTTGGCCTTATGTCTATTATGTAGCTCACAAAACCAAAAGATAGGACAACTCCAAACCATCAACCATAGCACATCATATCACTATCACACATTTGAAAATGTTCAATAGAGCATCCACACTATTCTGTTTTAGGAATATAAATATATAGATTTCGGGGGAAAAAAAAAAAAAAAAAAAAAGCTTTAATTTTACCCTGTTATTTACATAGTTGTATAAAATGGAAATAGAACTTCCAAATATATATTAAGAACAACAATTATTTTTGGTTTTAACTATATCTGACTTCAAGATAAGTAATAGCCATAGCAAAGTACAGCATTTCTGAACATACTGAAAAGGCTTGACACCTATTCTAGCCTTATAAAGACTAGTTATTTATAAAATTAGTCTGAATATGTTATCTGTTCCACACAAGGTATCTAGATCCTAATATTTTCATTAGTACTTTTATACTAGGTGTGCACATTTTCACACTTAGCGCAAACTTCCTATTTATTTTCTATACATACATGAAGAGAACAGCAATAAAAAAAAAAAAAATTCATCAAGTGAAATTTTCTGACATTAAGCTTCGTTTTTCTTTTGGCTTTGAAGACATTTTTACTCCACAGAAATGTAAAAATAGAAAATTTAGAATGGAAAACTTTACTTGACATAAATGAATGTTACTTGTGCTGTCATATTACCTAAAGCACAACTTATCTGCCACAAGGGATATATAAATCTTATTAATTAGGTTTTTTAATGGTGGGGGTTTTGTGTATCAAAATTATTAGCTTGCTGTGCTTTTGGTTATCAGCAACATGCAAAGTTAAATTCAAATAATAAATCAACATGATAGATAATGTAGATTTAAGTTTAATACAGAAGTGATAATCTAGCTAATATGATTTCATTATCTTAACCTATTAATCACATTTGAGTACTTGCAAAATGGTGTGAAATACATATAATATGAAAGGCATTGTAGAGGCTGAACTTTCAGATTTTTTTAGGGATTTTTTTTTTTAATTACCATCTTCCCTGCTAATGTTTGCTTACCTCTGCTTATAGTAGTACCTTTTAAAGACAAACAACATAAAGGCTGAAATCTCTATGGAAATCAATTATTTGAATTTCAGCAGTAACAGAACTCATGACTGATCTTCTGTTTAGTAGGTCTAAACCTCTTGTAACAATATGACTGCCTAATTAAAGATTGATGTAAAGAGTGTTTAACCTCAAATTCAACTGACAATCAACAATCTATTTCTTTTTTGAGAGAAGGAAATGGATAAAAATGCACCATCACTTACCTGTGCTGTGAATCATTTTGTTCTGTAGATGGAATTGTCAAACACTCATCATGGCCATGGAAAAAACGTACTACGTGCCCACCAAGAAGATATCCTGTAGAAAAGCACATTTATTTACTAACTTCAACATTAGCAATATGAAAATAACACCCTAAAAAAAAAAATTTAAGACGGAGGTGAAATCTGTTTTCAAAATTTTCACATACCTGAAATTAACCAGGAAGAAAAAAATTTAGTATGACAACTTATTATTTTTTATTACCTTTTCCAGTTCAAAATATTTCTTCTGAAAACGAAGACAAAAAGAAATCATTTTCTTAATATTTAAAAATCAAATTAGGATTCTGGGACAGAAAAGGAAAATAAAAAGTCCTGCAACAATTACTGCTTTGAAAATTGAATGCCTTAGGTAACAGCCAAACCAAATATATAATCCTACATTTTCCTTCCCCTTAATACAATTTAAATGTACCCAATACAAAATAATTTAGTGAGTTCATCAGTTTGTTCTGACATTTATAATTTGTGTCAAAATCAAAACTGCACATCAGCAGCAGGAGACAGAGGACAGAAAAACACTTAGCAGTTCTGAATATTAAGTTTAATGGAAGCTAACTTTCCAACCCATTTAACACAAAGACTACAGGTCAAAACCAGGCACTTTGCCTCACAGAAAAAAAAAGAAAAGAAAAAAATGGTGTAGGAGGAGAGTGATTCATCAGAACCTCAGTCCAAATTGTTCTGACCTTGTAAGTGAAATTAATGCCTTTTAAAAGAACAAACACACATAAAGAAGGAAGGGTAGAAAGAAACTTTCATACTGTGTGGCCAATTCAATATAAATTTGTAAATTAGGAAAACAGTAACTGGCAATTATCCTGTTGCCAGTTAATACAAAGGTCAAAGCAAAGAAAGAATGAAAAAAAAAAAAAAACCAACAAACCCACCCAAACTTTCCTTATATTTATGTTCTGTCAAAAGCACTTCAAACATCACAAAAGTATGTTGTCTGACTTCAGTCCCATTTTAGACTCAGAAGATCCCACATTCTCAGTCTGTCCATTCAACTTGAGCTAGACTGCTAGGTCTTTTCATATAGGATGATCCCTCATGTAAACTGTTTTGAGAAGTATATATACAGCTAAACCTACGCCTAAGAAGTTGGGAAAAAACTGACACACTGAAAACCTAATTCTCTGCTTACCCCACCCAATTCTTTTTTTTTTTTTTTTTTTTTTTTTTTTTTAATTACACAGTTTTGGACCATGTGTCCAATTCTGAACTACACAGTACAAGGCTTTCAAGTACAGCAAAGGGCCCCTGAGAAGATTAAGAGACTGGTGCATCTCACACTTGAGAAAAAGTTGAGAGAAATGGGACTGTTTGACCTGGAAAAGACGAGGCTCTGCAGGGATCTGATCAATGTAAAGAGGACAGAGTCAGAGTCTCTTCAGTGGTACCCAGTGACAGGATCAGAGGCAACAAGCACAAACTGAAACACAGGAGGGTCCATCTGAACATCAGGAAACACTTTTTCACTGTGAGTGTCCATGAGCACTGGCACAGGGCTCCCAGAGACGTAGTGGAGTCTCCATCCTTGGAGATATTCTGAAGCCGTCTGGACTCGGTCTTGGGCAACCAGCTCCAGGTGAACCTGCTTGAGCAGTGGACTGAACCAGATGCCTTCCAACCTCTAATTAGGTAAGCTCTTAGCAAATTTATCTGCCAAATCCCTGCTGTTACAGAAATCTAAAATATACCACTGATCTTCCATGGTCCCTCTGTGTAGCTCATTATGTTTGTATATGTTACAAGTTTTTAATTTTACTACAGGATGGCTGTTCTGTTTGCTTGGTTGTTGTTTTACCTGTAAAACCTGAGAATGCAGAGACTTTTTCCAGAGTTAACCTCTATTCTATTTATGACCTATGACTGCAGGGGACCAGACAGCCATTTATAAATATATGGCTCCGCCATAATACACTTCTTGCAACAGAAAGCAATCAGAAAGTATTACAAGGAAAATCCACATCCCATATGCCCTTACAATGAAAACCTATAAACACTCTGAGACAGGTTTCTTACGGGCCAGAGCACAGAAACACTGTGGGATGCTGATTTAAACCACTTGGGGTTAGAAGACCCCAACCATAGTTCAAATAAGCCTAGTCACTGTTAGTCTTTAGCACCAGGGTAGTCTTATCAAAACTTAATATAGCTGATCCCATGGAAATGCAACATCTTTCTCAGGCCCTTACAGCTCCATTTCCCCCTATGATTCTGTATATTACTACATCATAAGGGATTAGTTTTAGGGCCAAGTGACACAAAATTACTTAAAGACATTTATGATTCATGAACGTGGAGGGCTGATACTTTGAACAGAGAACAGCAGAGGTAAAGCACAATGCTTGTTATGACAGTGTTAATGACAGAGTATGGCATTGAAATAAGGAGCAATATTGAGCAGATGAGCCTTTCATTACAGAACACCACATTTCTCAAACAGAATAAGGGGATGCCTCTCAAACATGGTTGTGAAGTGCAGTCAAGTACCTAGAAGGTAATCCTGACCCTTTAAGGCTGGATTTAAGGATTTAAGGCTGATTAAGAGGATGTGTTTAGAGAGTTCATATTCATTGACTATTACAGAGAGACCATAAGGAAGCACAGATGTGAGATCCAGAAAGGATATTAAGCAAATAATAAAAAAAAAAAACAACTAAGAGATGGAAATAGAAATGATGAGAAGCCTGTTTTCAATTTCACATGTACCTTTATCTCTCTTTTCTAATCACTGTGACAGGGTGATTGAAGATCACAAAATCTAAGTTTACCGGCTTTAGCTATTCCACAGCTCCTACTCCCCAAAATTAAATTGAAGACAATAAACTCATCTATTGCTCTCTCTCAGTCTTCATTTGCGACTTTTTATGCTTTGCTGTTCTAAAGTTACAGCACTTGCTTAGCTTTTCTTCAGTTAATCTGGTTGATGTATCTGTATTTCCCCATTTTCCCTTCTGTTATGCTTCTCGCCTATGCTCAATTTCTTTATTTTCATTAAATTCTTTGGTCTGATGTTGAGAGTGGGATTTTTTTTTTTCATTTTCACTCTTTATGAAAAACAATACAAATACTAAAACATTTCTAAATAAATAAAATTACAAACCTTCTGTAATATTGCTTCCTGAGCATGTAGGATGTACATTCCATAACGTCTGCATAAAGGAAGCATCTACCTGAATACTTCCATTTGATATGGAGAGATGCTGAAATAAGATGAGAGTAACAGGAAAGAGTGAAATTTCTGCACTTAAAAATATTTAGGATATTAATTTCTCAACAAAATGGAAATACATAATTAAGTAAACACACAAATATTATTTAAAAATTAGTAGTTGCTTGTTTTTAAAATGAACTCTTTTCTATATCTAACCAGCAGGCTCCAGCTGCAGCTTAAAAATCTTCCACAGTTACAGAAATAAAAACTTCCCAAGATGGAGAATGCTTAAGTACACCTCAGGATAAAGGCATGGAAACAGTCTTGGTCGGGGGTGGGGGGGAAACTTTCACTAAGAAAAAAGAAGTGCATTACAACAAGGCATTAATTCCTAGAGTAGAACAAATTTATTCATAAGCCATTTTCCCCAACCCCTCACGGCACTTTGTATTTTTCCCACCATATGTCCACTTGTTAAACAAACCAACCTACCAGGTATCTTTCAGAGGACACACTGACCAGGATAAGATCATCACCTATTCGAACTTTTTCTCCTTCTGACCTTTGTTTAGAAGCAGGGTGTATTGTCCACCAGCATGCCTCACCTAAAGGACACAGATACTTATCAAGGGTGTACAAAACAGACAACTCCCAAGAAATTTAAGGATATCTTTATACAACATTGAAACAACATAATAAAGAATTGTGTCTTAGAAGACATTCACTTTATAAAACCATATCATTCCTCTTTTCAATATTTTTTTTTTTCTTGAAACTTTGTCAACCAGTCTTTGTCATCACTGAAGCTGGTACTTCTCTCCATGTTTCTTCAGAGCAACTAACCACTTACAAAACACTGCTCAGAACTGCCCTCTGTTCAAGACTCTCACTGCCAGTAAATTGCTGACATCTACCTCAGTCTTAATTATCACCTTTTGTGTCTTCTTTTGCTTAATGTTCATATTTAATTTACAATCTTCTGTCTCATTCCCACTCCAAGCTACATTTATGCTGTAGAATACAGAATTTTGAAACAAATACTCTGTAACTTTACAATATTGCTACACTACAGATATCAGTTCTGGGAGCAGTTCCATTAGCACTACAGACCATATGACCACAGCATAGTCAAGCGTAAGGGTGATTACCACAGAACATTTCACACACATTAAATGTAAGATTCTAATTACTTTGTGCGTGTACACACACAGTTCTGGGAAGATCACCTAATTCATTCCACAGTTTCATACCCTTCAGAGTTTAGCTAAAACCATGAAGAAAATGCATTGAATACAGTTTTCTCACTGGGCAGTGCAAAGTAGAAAACTACACCAAGACAAAATTGGTAGCATAAGACAAAGCACAAAAATCCTATTTGATCAACTAAGAAACTTCATGTAAAAGCTCCTTAAAACAAAATTTGAAGGTTATGAAATTGATTATAAAAAAGACAACAAATAAAAATTAATATCCCTAAAAGTGTAAAGTGTTGATCTTTAAGAGATAATAATTTTAAATATCCAGTGGCTTTTTACTCAGTACCTGCCACGTGACGAATACTTCCTGCAGCTGAATTTGATTCAATAGGACAGTCTCATGAGTGGGGGAGTAGGGCAAGGGAAGTGATAGTAAGGTGTTCAGTTTATGAGGTTTACAAGCATGCAGGAGTTATGAAAATCCTCTGTGCAGAAACACAACTAAGCATTCCTTTTATGTGTTGCTTTTTATATCTTACCTATGTGTACAATGATCGTCTTGTATATGTACAGTTAAGCAAATACCAATATGAGACAACTACAGATGTTTGTAACAAAACCTCATGGGCACAGACAGACACATGCACAATAACTCTGAAAAAAACCCTATAAAATTATAAAGACATATTTCACTGAAATTGTTTTCAGAGAGATAGAACACATACATTCCCTTTTATCAACATGCCTAAAGAAAATGGTCTCCATCTAAGGCAGCAACCAAAGATACAATCGAGTAACAGGCTTCTAATATCCGAGACCATCTTCTGTATGGCTATGAACAACTGAAAGACAAGCTCACTTATTCAAAACAGATAAACAGAGATATGTAGATAATCAGAGCCACTTGAAAAGGAAGTTTCAAAGATCATGGTGCACAAACATTTTAACACCTGCACTGGCAGTGCATTTTCATTATCAATCAGTCCATTTTGATTTTCATTTATTTTCAAAATAATGAAAAGAACAACAGAAAGCACAGGAATATGTTAACACAACTGGCATTTCTTTGTTTGAAGCTTCACAGTAATGAGGTGTGCTACTTAGATTTTCTCTTCAAGGAGTATGTCTGGGCCTGTGTACTACAGGGTCACCTGTTATTTTCTGATAAGTAGTCATCACTTTCACTAACCATTAACATTATGTATACAGCAGCACGTAAACCTATTTGTGGCTCTTTGTGGCTGAGCTGTTTTTAAATTCATTTAACATAGCTCCCAGTGGCATCTCATAATTTATATGTGAATCCACGGAAGAACAATTTTTTTAAACTATATTTCTGTCAGCAGCATTGCTACTGGCAGTACTCCCAGAAATCTATTAATTAGATTTTAAAACTTTCTAGCCATTTCTTGTTTGTGTCGTGTCTCTTTCACTCTGTCCCATTATTATTTTACTCCATTTTATGCTTTTATTTCTCTTCAGCTCTTTTAGCAATGTGCTCATTACATTTTTTCTGGTTTCCTGCATTACAGTTTGCATGGTTATTTTATTGCATGGTTACAATATGTATTGTGAATGCACCCATGCATTGCCATACTCTAATTCTATTGAAAGTGCCAAACTATACATATAGAAAAGAAATGTATCATATTTATTTTATTCAATAGAAATTTTTTACTTTGACCATTATCACCAATGTTACTGCAGTTGTGGTAACTCAGTTGAATTGCAAGGCACTCTCACATTCTTACACAAAGTCAGTTAATTTACTGAAGGTCATCAGTATTAACAGTTATCATTTACTTTCAGTCATCTTATTTCTAATGAACACATAAACATGACATTCATAAGCTTACTGTGACATTAATCTCAATGCCTCTTCTAAAAACAGAAATGTGTGACACGTTTTCCTTTAAAAATAACTTGTCATACCTGCTGCATTTTCTCGTAATCCAACATCAAATGCAAGTTTATCTGTCTGGGATCTTGATGATGTTAAACATGTCAAATACTGCAAAACAGTGAAGTTATTGAAAACAAATAACCAACAGTATCTGTTAACACACATGTCAAATTAATATATTCACATTACTCCACCTTACTATCAGCCTGTGTTTATTTTTTTTAAATTAGTTAAGCATGATGATGTTACTTGTATACAAGCTCTTCCTGAATTTAAAACATCAAAATCTTTTTCCACTGCAGCACATTATTTCTCTGCAATTTATCTCCTGCCTTCTAAAGTTTCACATAGTTCATCAGACAGGAACAGCTAAGCATCTTATTAAAGCTTTAGTGTAATATTTGTTTCATGAAAACATAGCAAACATACCAAAAGGCAGTAATCATACTTGCAACTCTGGTATATCAAGGAAACTACAATTTTTATGGTTCATAAACATAAGTAACAGAGTGTAAAGACTAATGTAGAGTCTTCTAGTGCAGGAAAAAGGAGGGAAGATGTTGTCTTGACTTCTTATTTCTTCAATCTCCTAATAGGTATACCTGCACGGGCCCTAATAAGTCAAAGATTCAGAACAGTTAAAATTTTCCAGTATGTTTCCACAATGTAGCAAAACAAAATTTATACCTTAGCCTGAATATAACGTGTTGTGGGAATAGCCTCTGGGAGCTATGGGATGCTAGAAGGAACACCTTATCTTATATTTGATGGAAAAAATAACATCACAACAAATTCATTTGCAATAGCAGCAACTTGATAATGGAATTATCATTAAAATGGACTCCTTAAGGACACAGAGATAATCTATGCCTAAAGGAGCTTTTCAGCTATATTTGAATGAAATGGATTGAAGAATCTGAATTTAACATATAAAGGCCACTTCCATTGTGTTGTGATATCATAAGCTATTCAAATTTTTCTATCTAGTGCAGAAGTTAGAAAGTTCTTCCAAATTTATATATAGTTTTTATTTTGATAAAAAGACATGTATTTGAATTTCACATGACTCATTCTGTGCAAGTGGTCTTTCACTTACCATTTCACTAAACGAATGTCGAAGTAGTATAGCATGGCCATACAGCAGGGTTCTGTGACCACCCCCTTGAGCTGCCTACAGAACATGACAGAAGGTCAGAACACCACTGGACTGCATGGACTACAGTCGGAATTATGTAACATGAAGAGCTACTAGATTTCAAGTAACAAGTGCAAATATTCAAGCAAACTATTAAATCATAAAATCATAAACTGGTTTGCATTCTAGGGACCTTAAAGATCACCTAGTTCCAACCCCCCTGCTATGTGCACTAGACCAGTTTGCCAGGCCCGCCCAACCTGGCCTTGAGCACTGCCAGGGAGGGGGCAGCCACAGCTGTTCTGGGCAACCTGTGCCAGGGCCTCACCACCCTCACAGGGAAGAATTTCTTCCTTATATCTAATCTAAATCTACCCTCTTTCAGTTTAAAGCCGTTACCCCTTGTCCTGTCCCTACACTCCCTGATCAAGAGTCCCCCCCCAGCTTTCCTGTACCCCCTTTAAGTACTGGAAGGCTGCTATAAGGTCTCCCCGGAGCCTTCTCTTCTCCAGGCTGAACACCCCAACTCTCTCAGCCTGTCCTCACAGGGGAGGTGCTCCAGCCCCCTGATCATCTTCATGACCTCCTCTGGACCCACTTGAGCAGGTCCATGTCCTTCTTATGTTGGGGCCTCCAGAGCTGGACACTGCAGGGGGGGTCTCATGAGAAGTGTCTGCTAGGCAAGAACCATAATAATGAAGAAGTTACAGCAATAACCAAATATGTGTCAAGAGATCTAATCTTGTTCTTGGTCAAAGACTCTTACTGTGACCTAATCTTGACTATAAGTAAAACTAAAAAATTTTTAAAAAATATGTTTTAAATTAGATACTACTTACCTTTCTTATAAACTTCTCAGAGGCATTAAAAAAATAATAACAAAATAAGTATATATACACATAGAAAAACTGAAATCTGTAAGAGGAAAAACGCACCTATTGTCCAGAATAGTTTAAGCACATACTAAGGATATCTACTTTCTAGGATCTATGTCGTCTTAAACATTTACCAGATTCATTAAAGAAATTGCATCCATAATTTCAACTATGCACAGTTACTCATTTCGAATATGGAAATCTATGACAAGATCAGGGAGAGGAAAACAAGATTTTTCCATACTCTTCCTATAGAGAATTTAACACACATCTTGTGAGCTCTTCTTGTGACCAGAAAAAAATAAATTCCAAGAGAAGAATCATAACAGGAAAGTTACCTATGGAACAACAGACAACAAGCTTTATAAGTTTGCAAGTCTGCCCCTCTCAGCCTTTTTCTTCATCTACCATCTTATTTCCTAGTTATTTATATATAACAAGCCTATTCAATCTTAAATAAATAATATGATCAAAAAATTAAATTCTTGATTTATTGTGGTGCTTTCCACTAAAACTGAGGGGATTTTTTTGTAGATCCTTGATTCCAGATTGTATGAAACACATTTTTAGTAAAGTGATCTCCAAATTTTGCAGAATTATGGCTATCATGATTAAAGTTAACACTAATTATACTATAGCAGGCAACATTATACTTCTTTTTTTTTTTTTTACCTCTCAGTCCAGATAATAATATTTGCACCCAGTCAGTTTTGAGTAATAAGAAACGTTCTAACATCAGGATCCTCGTAAGTTAGAAATTGCTCATTTAAGAATATCTAACTTCTCATGTAATTGCTTGAAACTGTTCTCACACACACACAGAGGTTTTGTTTCCATTTAAAAGAGCATTTACTTTATGGTCTTCTTGTTTCAGGTATAAGTAAGCAATCATTAAACATGAAATATCATTCCCCAAAATATAACTTTAAAATAGGGATCATCTCTAGTACATTACACGTTGCTAGAAAGGACTGCCATTAAGGTCAGTTCTCTTCTTTGGATTCATGTGGAAGGGACCAAGATAATTAAAGGTAGTTCCAGGAACTCAAATAATGGTTATACACATGCAGGCAAATGATTTTGCACTCTATGAACAACACAATAGTCAAATTAACAAATAGGTCAAAAGGTTAACAAGTTATGTACAAATTGTGGTCCACAGAACACCAACCTAAAAAACACCAAGCTGAGGAAACTACTACATTCTGTAGTTTGATATATAGAGTACTTAATAATAATTCAAAGGATTAAAAATGAAATGTTATTTGTCTAAACAGAAGGAATAAAAATCTAAAAGCAATTCAGCAGAGGTTTTGTTACAACTGCAATAAAATAAAAATCATACTCCTATTCTTCTAGCTACTAACAAAATCATTAACAAAGAGGGATTTGGGACCTGTTATGCTGGAACTTAATGCTGTTAACAGATAGTAGGCAGTCTTATTTTATGTAGTAAATTTTATTGAGAAATTTATCAGAATTGTATGGATACTATGTGTAATCTCTTTCACAATATGAACCATATAATTATATAAAATTTCTCAGTACTCCCAGTAGTAAATTAAAAAAAAACCCAAACTCCTGGATAGTGATTTTTGGACCTACATAGAAAAATGTGTTAGATTACTGGAAAAAATTGGAGACAATAAAAAAATAAACCAAGGAACAACAAAACCCCCAAATCGGATATGCTATGTTCTTCCTCTAGAAAAATCTGAAATTAACAACGGGACTCTATTACAAACTAAATTTAATACGGAAAGCAAACCATTCAATGGAATGATAGGCTGGTGGAACCAATAAAAGATTAATGTTGATTATATGAGGTCAATTTCTATTCTTAGTGACCTTTGTATTGAGAACAGAGTGTAAATGAACATTTTAAGATGTGCATTCCTACATTTCATGCTGTCATTTTCGTCTACATATATAACAACAATTAAAAGACAGCATTTTTTGTATTATTCATCTCAAAAAATAGATTTTTCTGAAATCTGCTTTAGAAATTATACATTACCAGATCAATTTTCTTTCATGGTGCTAAAGGTAGTGCCTCATAATACAAAATATTTAACTTGACTGATAGTTACAACATATGTCTCAGAATCAGTTAATTATAACTTGAAAAATAAGCCATCCATTTTACCAATAGCTTGTTGACAGAAGCTAATTAAAAATCCACCTTCTCTGAATGTAACAAATCCCTGTGATCCAGAAAGGAAGTTTCTTGTGTTATTGTTCAGGCTTTCATTTTTTATTTCATCCTTGCTATTTATATGAACTGCTGTGTTCTTATAACAATTTCCCCAAAGAATGGTAGCCAGCTTCAAAATAAATGAAGGGCAAGACAGTTTCAAAATAAATATGGCTATATTTTCCTTTTTTTATTGTCCACTGCCCTCAAAGCAACAGTATGACCTTTTTTACTGAAAAAAAATCTTCATCCTCTACTGCCAAACCCAAGTATAAATATACACGTATTATTAGTAATCTCAGATTAAATCAGGCTAAATTTTTGAGTGAACATTTTGGAAATACTAAAAACTGTGTTATTGCTTAGGAGCCCGGCAAGTTTTTAAATCACCCTTATTTTCAGCAAATGCTTTTTTTACTAAGGGTTCAACTTTCTAAAAAGCAATGTAATTGCAAAAATCAAAAATTATACTTTAAACTGAAGAAAACAGTGGAAAACAAGAGGTCAAAACCAGTGAGATCTGAAACCTGTATGCAAAGGCTGACACTGTAAGATTGGAGGTGATAAAGCAGAACTCCAGCTTCTCTGAGCTGTGCCATGACATGGGTCAGTTAAAGATCTGGAGTGCAGAATAAGCCAGTAGGTTGTGGCTATCCTGCTGCTAAATTACAGAGAAAAGTAAAAATGAAGGGAGAATTTAACACCTCTGAATCAAATAGCAGGATGTGATGAGAAAACATTAACCAAAACACTGAACTCTTTCTGTGTACATATAATAAATACACAGTCTTTCTATAGCACACCTCTTACCTCCATAAACAAGAAAGATGACAAGAAGGACAAATTAATTTTGAATTAAAACAGTAAGTGCTCATAAGACATCAATTTATTTCCCTTTCTCTTTTCAAGCTGACTTTTTTTGAAATAGAATCCATGTTTGTCATTCCACTATCATATTTCTCTCTTAATTTGTAATATATACAAAAGATAGAAAATATTTAATGGATTTTGATTTATAAACTGTAACAATAATAGTTTATTATGTTTATTATAGTAAAGGCCACATACATTAAGAACTGGCATCTCCTGTTTTTTTCAGATTTCAGTTGTTCACTGAATAGAACAATAAATGTGATGTCACATTTAAGGTTAAATTCCTAAAACATACACAGGAATATAACAGATCAGCGACCAACTGAGTGGAGGCCATAGGTCAATTTAATTTACTTTCAGAGAAACATAAGCTCTACCTAAGTATATAGAACTAGACAATTTACAAAATTACCTATGTACAACCAATTCACAGATGCAACAGCAAGCGTAACTTCTAAAACTTCCAAAAGTATTACTGCATAGATGAAAGGTAAGTCTGCCTCATCTCAACAACTAGCAGTGAGGTTCAGCTGATCATTGGCAAATTATCATTGTTCATGCAGGTCATTAAAAATGCAGGCAAATCTCTAGCTGGGGTGAGAATAAGGCTTAATTTTTACTTATAAAAAACATCACCTTTTGCCAAACAAATTGCATAGAAGTTCTATGAAAAATACAGTTCTTAAATAACTTTGTCAGTAATAAATAATGTATAATAAAGTGCACGGGGCTTTTTTGGTATACTGATCACTCTAGTGTGAAAGTCCACTTTCAGTCATTCTTAGTAAATCTTAGATTTTTAGTGATAATTCAATTGAAACTCCAGTAATATGAAATGCAAGCATCACTTTGCTGCAGAGTCACTTTACCCTATACTGTAAGCATTCTAGTAAGTATGCTTGTGCTAATATAGTAAAAGATTAAGAAACCTAGAGAAGATAATTTTGAAATAACTATTTCTATCCAACAGTTCTTGCTATTACCACAGATTAAATAACTTGAAATTATACTGAAATGGTCTAGATACACAATTGCTAAAAATCAAAACAAAACAAAAACACAACACCCATGTATTTTTATATCTGAACTAAAATAGATTTAAATTTGTCACTTTGCTTCATTGGTAAGACTTCATTTCTAGCTGTTAATTTCATGTGAGGATAAATGTAATTATAGCCAAATACTTTCTTAACTCAGTGAAACGTGATAGAATATTTACATGATGAGAAAATTATTTTGCTTTCCCCATTCATAAATAGCACTATAATACAATAATGCTTTTATGGCAATGATCCATGTTTCAGACAAAACCTATCTCATGTACTCTCCTCAGGTTCATAAAAGCCAGACTCAGTCCCAAGGTTCTCTTACTCCTTTTTCACTATCTAATTCTGGACTGATGGCAATACATGATCTCTGAAGAGGATGTTTCTGGGTTTTGTAAATATTTCAGAAGATTAACTGCACCTGCTCCTCAATGCTAAAGAAAAAGAAATATGATTATAGTAGTACAGCAATAACATCCCAGGAAAATGGGAAAACTGAAGAACCTGCTATGACATGAGGCCCCTCTCCTACAAAATCTTGGAGCAAGGAAAGAAATAAGAACAATCCATATTCAGAAATGTAATTCTTTTATATCAATTTACTTACCCCTTCACTAGCATTATCCCCTGTGTTGGCCAGCATTTCTTGAAGGGCTCTGACAGATAGGGACTGTTCAAGGACAAAATTACAGATACAAAGGTCCGGAGGAACATACTGTAAAAATAAATCATCAGTGTAAGAACAGATCAGCAAAGCAGCTGAAACAGGATGAAAAGGGTGTTTGAACACACATGTATATTAATTTTAAAATACATATTTAACATTTATTCATTTGCTTTTGAGAGACATGCTATTTCCCTGTATGAAACCAGTCTAAATCTATTCTTCATAACTTGTCAGTGCAGTAACTTTACGTTTCCTAAAGCTGTATTCTTCAAAGTAAAACAAAACATCTTCAGGTTCAAAATGGAAAAGTTTTTCTCTACATATTATTGCTTTTCTGACTTTTAGAATTACATCATGAACATTGTATTTGTTCTCTAACATCACTGATAAAACAAAAGAGAATATGTATGATCTTATTTGACATATGAGGTTGATGTTCTGAACATATTTATAGCTGTCACTAAACAGCAAAGATTCAGAATCTTATTACATAATTTTAGGAGATCTTCTCAACTGTTGGATCAATATGTCTGCTGGCTTTGAAACATGAAACTTACATTCCCTTCAAGAACAGCACTTTTTTTCAATTTATTGGCATTCATGTGTCCAACGAATGATGTGTCCAAGAAAACAATTCTCAAGGAGAATCATCAATATATATAAATACATGACAGGAAAATACCAAGACGACAGAGCCAGACACTATGCAGTGGTACCCAATGAAAGGAGAAGAAAAAGTTGACACAAAATGAAATATATTAAATTTTATTTCAATGTGAGGAAAAAACCTCTTTCTTACTGTGTGCATAGTAAACACTGGAACAGGTTGCCCAGAGAGGTTGTGGAGTCTCCAACTTTGGACATATTCAAACCCTGACTGGGGAGTGTCCTGAGAAATTTGCTCTAGCTGAACCTACTCTGCACATGTCCTTTCCAACCTCAACAAATCAGTACTCTGTGATTTATGATATAGACCATGTCTATGAATGAGCTTCAAAGTGGATATACACTTCATTTTCTTTTTTAAATCAGTGTGACAGGAGGGAATAAACTTCTTGATAAAGCTGTTTTAAGGTGGTGAAAAGGGAAACGATACAATTAAGATATTTCTAAACTTGCTAAACTGAAGTATTTATAGCAAGCTAATCAAGTACAGCCAGCCTTGGAATTCCCATTCTTTGATCTCTACTATAGACTCTATCCTTTTTTTTTTTTTTTTTTCCTTTGGTGCTTTCAAATACATTTTGTAAAAGATTTTTAGGCAAAAGACTTGACATGGAAATTGCAGATATTATATATACATACATATAATTGTTACATATATTATTGAGGCAAAGTGAAATTTTGCATCTTTCTTATATGATTAAATAACTGTAAATAATAAACAGTTCATAAATTCATTAACTGCAACAGGAACAACTTAAACTGTAATACTTGTCATCATTCATGTCCACTATGGTATTTTTTTAGTATTCATTAACTACATCTGCATACACACACACAAACACACACAAAATACTCTGTTACATAAACTCGTACAATATACATACATGTGTGTGTGCGCATGTGTGTACATAGCATCCATATACACACATACACACATGTGCACACAGATTGTAACTGGAAGTTCACTCTTCAATAGGTTGCAATTCAAGGCCTCTTGTATAACCAGACACAGAAGAATAATGTCATTTCTCAGTGAAATTAATTACAGATTAAACCGGGCTAGATTTTGTGTCTAGATTTGTTAGGGAAGTCTGCAAAGACTTATTTAGAATATTTTATTGCTATGAATGTAAAAATCTATACAACTGTAAGTTGTCTTTACTTCCCAGTGAACCAGACAGGTAAACAAAAACTCTGAGTAATACTTCACCCATTACTTTAAAGCCTTTAATTTCAGTAGCAAGCAGATAAACCACATCGTTATATTAAAAAACAAAGCAAAACAAACAAAAAAACCTAAACGAAACATCCAGATATTTTTCTGCTGGCATCCAGCTTTCAGATTATGTGTCTTCCATTTTGTTAAGACATTTTGAATCTGTATTATACCACACTGCCTTTTAAGTATATGTGAATTTTTAAAAAACAAAACCAAAACCCATCAACAATCTTTATAACATCTTTCTATTTCCAACATGGAACTTAAATTCAGAAACTAAACAGGTATTTTATTCAGGAAAAAATAACATAGCTGGTAATATGGTTTTAATCAGAATCAGACTACCTCTGGCACCTTAACTCCACTTCAAACTGAATATGGCGTAATCAGTATGATCCAACACCTACCAATTGAATAAAAGAGCTCCCATTTGTTCTACAGGCCACTGATCTTGTGCCACATAGGCTGCATTTTGATTTGAAAATTGTTGCAGACCTTACTTTAGTGCTGTATTAATGAAAGACACACTCTAGTCGTACTTTGTATAAAATGTACATTTTAGGTTAATGCAATTAGTTTTTCACTTATTCTGTTTCATAGCCTATGGAGCATTCAGCTTTATTTAAGAATATTGACACTGAGAATTATGAAATTAATGATTTTTTTTCACCCATGACTAGAACAACTAACCACTCTTGCAAATTTGCAGTGTTACACAGTAAACTAACATATTCTGTGGTTGGATGGTAACAATTCTTTCTTAAATTCCACCAACCTGAGAAATACCAGTGAAAGGTAATTTATGTGGATGGTACATGACCTAACTAGCAACTGACATCCCTGGTTAATCTAGATTGACAACTTCAAAAAAAAATTTTGAAAATAATTTAAAAATTAACTATTAAGTCTGTCAAGGCTCAATTGTTTCCTGGTCTTTTTGCAAATGATACTGCTTCATATGTTTAATATTCAAGAATCTCTGTGTGGCAGACCATTTTACACTCTTAATAATTACACAGCTAAAAAAGGTTTAATAAAATCTCCACTATCTACTAATCTATGCTTCTATGCTTTTTTTTCCCCAACTTTAAGTAATGTTATATTGCAATGGAATTAAAAAAAAAAAAAAAAAAAAAAAGAAAAAAAAAAAAAAAAAAAAGTGCCAATAGGGATGATCAGTGAAACAAAAAATACTGACAAATAAGAGGCACAGGTAGAAGATAGGGAAATATTCATGTCAGGAATCTTTATGCTGAAATGAAAACTAAAATCTGTTCAGGTACTAAGATAAAGTTTTAGAAATCTGCTGTAAAAGTAACAATTGGCATAGGTATTTATCCCCCTTCTAGCTATGAGAATTTGGAATGAACATACAGAAAATGATCATTTTCAAGATTCATCAATAAAGAAAAAAATTCAAGTGGTGAATAAAGTATTTTATTTTACAGACATTTAAAGATATGCCAAACAAGCACTAAGATAAGTGAACTTGTGTAGCAGAATAAGTAGACTGATAAGATATGCAACAAAAGAAAGTAGGAATTTGGAATAAATTATTCTTCAATGTCAATAAGAATATATGGGGTTTCTTCCAGCACAACTCTGTGCAGTCTTATCCATACATACAGGAAGATAAACAAAAAGGCTGTGGAGTCTCCATCTTTGAAGATATTCTAAAGTCATCTGGAGATGGTCCTGGGCAACCTGTTCTAGGTGCCCTGGCCCGAGCAGGGGGGTTAGGCAAGATGACCTCCAGAGGTCCCTTCCAACCTCAGCCATTTTGCGATGCTGCAAAAAGTCAACTGCCTAATGCCAGGCTTCTACAACCTCAGACGGATAATAGATTGCCTCAATGCACGCAGTTAATGCTGGCTGAAACATTCTTAGAAGAATGTTCTGAGGAAGAGAGCTTCATATCAAAAGATTTCAAGGAAAAGTTTTGTACATCAGAGACACAGCCAGGCAAGAACAAAGCAGCAGTGGAGAGAGCACTGAGATAAGTTTTATGCTGAAGTTTAAACTTGTTTCTCAGTAGTTTTGTGTCTATTTTGTCAGCCTACTATTATTTCAATATGCAATAATTATTACTTATTATAAAAATAGCTGTGCAAATAGCTGTAGGGCAGTTTGAACCATTTTATATATGAGTATGCTAAGTTTGTGCTGGGTTGCACAGGGGGAAATGGAGGCCCATAAAATAGCCAACAGGAAAACCCAGCTCCCACATTACACTTTGACAGCAATTCAGTCTTCCGCACTGAACATTAAATTCTTGCAGGTGATATGCTTACTAACCAAATCTTTGCCCACAGCTTCTGGTCTACAGTGTAAAGAACACTGACATAAGCTGGTATTGATTTATTAGGTTTACTTTTACCAGACCCATAAACTATTAAATTCTGTCATTAGGACAGAAATCTTATCTGAATCAGCTATGATTCCTTTCAGGCATTTAAGTTTACATGACAATTTTGCTACTAAGAGATGCTAGTATTTTGCCTTTACTTTTGAGATATATTTTTGTTAGGTATTGGTAGAAGTTAGCCTTGATGCACTAACTAGACTATCAGATTTGAAATCCATCATTTTTTAAAGTATCACTTTAAAAACAAGGAAAACAGCCATGAAAGTAGTATCATTAGACTACATAATTTAACCCTGCTATTTCTTGTTTAGTATAAAAATTATAAATTTTCACCTCAAGTTAATTAGATTTTTCCCCTTACTTTTTAAGTCTCAGACATTATTTAGCCAAATACCTTCTAATAATTCAAAAAGGAGCTATACAGACAATAGGAACATAATTTCATACTATTGAATTAATGCAAAAATGTTTTTTAAAAGTGCATTTAAAATCCAGTCACCATAATATAAATTATTAGTGAACCAACACTGCAACAGTTTTTGCTAACAGATTGCAAAGTAATAACATGCAATTTGTGCATAGATTTGTAATAAAATTTGAACAGAAGTATCTCATAACTGTCATTCCATTCAACATATCACAAAAGTTACCAAAACAGCTAATCGATAACCATAGAAACTCTATTTTTTTCTTCTTTAAGTTTCTAATAACTTTTTTCTTTATTAAGAAATATACCTTCTCTTCCCTTGCCTCTTTTTTCCTCTTAGCTACTTCTACTGACATTTACTACATCAAGTCAGATTAAAAAATGAATCATTAAGTTATACCTTTTCATTCTGGAATTAACTGATACACAGAGGTTTTTTTTTTCCTGTCTACCTTGTTATATTTTCCAGAATTACTTGAATTGAAAGCATTTCTTCTCTTGATTTAACAACATTTACCCGAAGTTTAACGAGTGAAGAAGCTGTCACATGTACTGCAAATAGATTTGTATTTGGTAAAGTGGTCAGTTGGAGAAGAGAAGGTAGCAGAAGGTATCACTGTGATTTCCTGCTCCAGGTTTCTGTTGATAAAACATGCCTTGAATCTTCTTTAATGCAATTTCTTCTTAATACACAGAAGAAACCTAGCTTTATAAAATAATTTCCAGGGATAAGGAAGGGATAAGGAATCCATCTCAGGTCAATAGTACCATTTTAACAGTCTTCTGCTGTCTAAAATAAAGGGACTTGTGTTATCAATGTTTTCATTTTGGAAGCTTATGAGCAGTGTACATACTTTCCTTTTTTAAACCAGACTGTGTCCTCCTCTGCTCATGATTCTCATATCACTTCCTGAGCCAATCTGCATTTTATAGACATCCTTATGAATTTGAATGCCATGACTACTCATGCCATGACTTCTGAATTTCAATGCCATGACAATTTAATGCCATGAATTTCAATGCTCATGTGGCAATGCATTGCCACAGAGATAATAAAAATTTGCAGAGATAGTATAGCTTCCCATCTCCTGCAAAGTTTCTTTCCATTATACCTCTAAAGACTATGCTAGATCGCTTGAGCACATCATCATCATTTGGGGAACTTATGACTCTAAAACATCCACCATGACCTTCACTTTCCTTACAGGGGACAGGAATAGTTTCCCATTTTGTAAGCATATTTACACACTTGGTTATTAGATCTTTACACTGGCAGCACTGAAATACACCTCTACTTTCTATTAATATTAAAGGCACTGCCGATCTTCCTGTGTGGCATGGCTTCATCAATTGCCAGTTCCTCAATGTTTTTATCATCTGAAAAAAACTGCGTATGTTAATTTAAATGATGTCCTAATTGACAAAAATACTCAACAGCATAGCAGTGAGAAGAGAACGCTGTAGGATTTGATCGGAAACACATCTATTCAACAACTATTTTTTAGTCCACTGGATGTGCCATTTTGGTTGGTTTTCTCTTTCTTATTTCATAAACAAAATTTTGTCCAAATGTAAATGAAATTTAGCGTCAACACTAAGGATTATTGGTAAATGCTGTACTCTCTAACCATCCAGATCAACCTTCTACACTTATTTTTCGAACAAATGTATTTACATGCCTTTTGCCAAAATTCTTCACTGTTCTCAGTCAATACCAGTTCAGAAAGTTCCTCAGTAAGCTATTTTAAAGCAGTTACATACAAGTTTTCTGAACCTCTTAATTTTAAACAAACTCCAGAAGCTTCTGTAGTATTATCTGCTACTAAGACACTTATGAAATGTAGATCTATGGCATTTTACAGTAACACATACCATTCCTCCCTTTCTTATAAAATGAGCAACATGCTACCTTACAGATTGAGAAGGTCATCATCAGTAATAGATAGACCACATTGCAGCTGAGTTGTTGATCAATGAAAAATTCTCAATCACTGTTGAAGATTTTAAGACAGTAGCTGAAAATACATATGTGAAAACTGCTTTAACTTTAGCATGTGAGAAGATTATTGGTGATTTCTAAAATACACTGGAGATAAATTATCTGACTGAACGCTTGGAATGCAAAGAAATATAAATTTAGAAGCAGCATAATTTTTCACCTTAGAGATGAACAAGGACATCTCATAATGCATAAATAAACACTGTGTATGTAACATGGTCATAATATCTAGACTAAAAATAGGACCACGTGGCAACATTTCAAGACAAAAAAAATACAAAGACCTGTCTAAAAAAACAGAAGGAGAAATAAATTATCAGGAAGAAGAGAAAATAAATAAAGACATAAAACAAAGAAAAAGAAAAATAATACTGAGAGAACAAAGAAGAGAGGGAGGAGGTCCTCCTCCATTTGCCTTTATTTTTAACACTCTGTTCTTATACAGGTCTAAAGTTTCATCTCTCCTTTCTCCTCTCAAGCTCCTCTTACTACTCTATATTCTATTATTTTTTCTTCACAGCTCTCAAGCTTCTCTTTTCCATTTGCCACCTGTTATAATTAAAACTTTCCAATTACTTAATAATTCTGTTCCCTGTACTCTCAACTTTGTTTAATCAACACAGTTAGAAGCAACGCTTAATGCCAGTAACTAACAGGTGACAATGCTTCTAAAATTATCAATCCAGTATATCAAGATATTTGAACCTACAGCAGTAATAGTTTTTTAGTGAACTTAAATCTTAACAATATTCTGGAGACTTTATAGTGAAAATACAAAGTATCTCAATTACAGGAATTACTTTAGATAGTTAAAGAATAGTGGCTTTTGACTGTTAGCAGCCGTGCCTCAAAGTATAGTTAGAATCTCTAAGAAATCTCATGTTGTAGTCACAGAAAGAAAGCATACAAAAGGTGCATCTAGCATCACATTAAAGAAACAGTGATTAAATGTATTTGTGGATAATAAGTCAGTTAATATTCACTTATCGGTTACACCAGTTGAGAGTATCAGCTTCTTACTTTAGCTTCTGATGTTGGTTCCAAAAAGCACAGGCGATTCCCAAGTCCCTCAGCTGCCAAGCAAAACTTCCTTTGTTCTTTGTGAATACTGGCAACACACTGAAGTACTACTTCGTCATCCTGTCACAAAACAAGGTACAAGAAAAGTAAATATTTGGAAGCTACATACACACTATAATGCTAAGAAATCCTGGAACACAGAATCTGTTGAAAACGAACAATTTATACTCCTGTAACTGGTATCATGTACCTATGCAGAGATTCTTACAGTGTGTATGTAAACAGATGTTTACGTACAGATTTTTATTCAAGCCTATATCAAAGTGGCAGAGATTACATACTGCCTCCAGGGCTTTCACAAGTGTGGTGTCCTCCTGTTGCTTTAGCAGTGTCCTGCTATGGTGCCATAAAAAAAACCTCTTAAGTACACCATTACTTGGTTTTACTCAGTAAAACATGTTTAATGTTTACAGCCTTAACTTTTAAGGTCTCATTTAATTTAGAAACCTCTGACTACAACCAAAGATCCAAGAGGCATTTTTCAAGTGACAAAGAACAATCTTTCTCCCCAGAAGACATTACAAGAATAAGAATACTCTGGAAAAGTCATATGACACAGCCCTATCGTTTAGTTGTTCTAATTACTCCAAAAACTCTTTTACTAATTGTTACGTAATGCAATGCCAAAGACACATTTATAAGGTGCCAAACCCGCGTTCACCCCTTAACATGTGATACTAAAGTTGATATAAGTGAGTCTAACCAGATTTTTAGTGTTCAACTCTGTCAAAGATATATACAGAATTAAAACTCGTTTTGGCTTCCCAAACTTGCCCACTAACCAAGAAAAACACTGCTTGCAGACTAGCATGTAGAACAATTTATTTTTGTACAGGTATGTAACTATTCACCAAAAACCACGGCCTTAGAAGTTTTTAAGGGGGTGGAAGCTGATAAAACAGGAGCGATATGATATGTCAGTGTCCCATCCAGCTATGAAGTTATACTGGTGTCAATTATTATTGTCAAAACAGATACACAACAGCCGCCTGTACTGAACTCAGAGATCACTTGAACAATTATGTTCTAAAAGCAGCACCGCTTTTTCCAGTCCCCTTATGCAACAGCAATACTATGACAGTAGCAAAGCTACTGGCACTTGAAATAAAAAGCTGGGAGTGACAAAGTGATTTTCACCAAAGGCATTAAGTGACGCACCCTTTAAAATGGGAATTCAAAAGCAGGTTTTTCAGTTGTGTGATTTTGCAAGTGTGTGCAAGTTGTTTGGCTTTCCTTTTAAGTGACACTTCACTGCCTACTTACTACTAGTAAAATTTACAGCTATTATATTTCAGGCTAATCAGCAGTTACAGGCACTGTTTTCCTTATCTAGCTTTGCATAACAATCGATAGTGGGTTTAACAGTACAGAGTTGGAATTCAGGACATTTTTGTAAACAATTCTAAGACGTATAGTCAAATTGGAGGCAGACAGAATTAGCTAATTAATGCTAAACAAATTCATTTTCTTTTTCCCTTGCTGCTTCTGCTTCCATTTCTATAAAATGCTCTCTGCAATTCTCAACTTTGAAACTCATTAGTAAAAACATTTCTGCTTTGTAAACTTCAGTGTAATAATTCACAATATTTAAACGATACAATTAAGCACTCCTTGCTACATCCCCCTGTTCATGAATATTTAAAAATTGGCATCAGAAGCATATCTGTTTGGGGGAAAAAAAACAGAACACTTATAAGTTAAAAATAAATATAATTAAAACATTTTTCATCATCTGGTTCTTGTATCAATCTTCAAACATACATATTTCAGAGATTTAAAAATAATAAAATACTAAAACATGAATATGTAAGTACCAATATTTAGAATAAAATTGAGAGTTGCCATTTAGCTTGTACTTATCAATGGATTACATTAAATTACTTATATATAGCTGAAATTGTATTTATTCTGCCTACTACATTAAAGTATTCATTGTTCCAGAGGCACATACATAGCATCCACTCTAATTCAGTTTTCTAAAAAATAAAATTACGCCTTCAGACAACATACATAAAAACTTAGTTAAAATGAAAATTACTTAATAAATGAACTCATTAAATGCCATAGCCCCCAAATACACACACTGATAATGTCTTAAGGACTGTATGCAGCATTCAACATTGGTGTTTTACAGTATTCCCCTAAATTTCCAATGTACCCTTTTATTTGTGCTACAACATTTTACAAACTATGTATTTGGTACATAGGATGAACAACTTTAATAGATTTTCTTAAAAGTGGCAATAATAAAATATTTCAGAATGTTTTGGGGCAGAGTTTTAAAGGCTATCATTCAGGTGTAAATAGATTGAGCATAAGGAATTAGTGGAAGCTATATAATCTGCAAATAGGACTATGACTTGCTGTTAAAGTTACTCAGTATTACAGGCTACTGAAGCTGAGGTCTGAAATTGCATTTCTGGCCTGAAGATGCTAACAGAAATTATTTTTATGGAGTTGTTATCCTATAATGAAATTGCAGACCATGTCTCGGCGGTATCTTGTTTTCCTGAGTCTTCTCTCACACAAATTCTGGTATTCTAAAACTTTCTCCCTGGTAAACTCATTTTCTTCTTCCCTTAGTTTACACTTATACAGAATTTAATCCATTTATTTCAATATACTTTTTTTGGCATGACAAGGGGAAGCCTGCATGCCCAATGAAATGTGAAGACTCATGCAATTAGCAGTGGTGAGCTGTTAGTCAGATTATAACAGCCAATTCTCAGCAATAACAAAAAGCAAAGCAAAAGAAAACCCACAGAAATTCCTTGAGATCTAGTTTGTCTATCAGGAATTTAACAGATTTAAATGTTTTAAATTTCATAAGTATTTTAATTGCAAACTTTCTCATCTCTTAACTCTATTTCCTTGTTTAGAAATTTAATTTGTTTTAGTCCTTTTAGTTTTAGTAGGGTCTATTGTTGTGGGGATTTAATTTTTTTTTTAATAAAATAGGTTTCAAGTGCATGGAACCACAGGCTGGAAAGGATCTCTGTAAGCAATGGCCCAACACCTCACTAGAGAAGGGCTAAATTAGATCAAGTTTCTCAGATGATCTAATGTGTTTAATTTAAGAAAAAAGTCCACTTCAAAATTTTGATCATCTTGAGGTATTGTTACAGATTCACACCCCTCTCTCCACCAGAAGTTAGAACTCTTCAGATCAAAATTGTAATATTTAACAGACGTATCAAAGTTCTTCAAATTTTTCAAGGTTTTGCTTCAGTGAGCAAATCGGGGGGAATAATTTCAGGTTGATCAAAACACTTCTAAGATTTAGGGAACACACAGTAAAATAATACATTTGCAGACCACAAGGCCTCACACAAGAAGCTGCCTTCACTACTGTTCCTCAAAAAGTACACATATTCTAAGTGTCAATTACTAATAAGTGGTTTTCACCAGTAGCATCATCAATAATTATATAAAGTTATATGTTGCGATCCATTGTGTACTACCATAATTAATATCTATTCACAAATACAGATTAATAGCAACTTTTAAGGTTGTTTTTCTGAATGAAGAGGAAGTGAAAATTTTCTCCTTTTGTCCAGAAGGATTAGGATTCATCCATCAGTCCTTTAGGAAAAAGACATAGACCAGGTAACTCCAACCCCAATTCTAAGAATGTTTATACACAGAAACACATTAATATTACTAAAATATATTTCAGGTGGTCTGAAATCCTGCAGAATCTACCAAGTATGATGTAGATAATGTGTCATAACTCTGACCAGTATTTATTCACCTTTGCACACAAATGCATGACTTACGCAAAAAGAAAAAAAGACAGCTTTGGAGATTTGTTTTATTTTTTTACAAGTAGGTAACTGTGTACCTGTGTGTACTGAAAACATGGACTTCTACTTGCTTTGGCCAGAGCTGAAGCTACAATCCGAGTTTGCACTATATAATAATGTCTGCATAGACTGAGAAACAAAGGTATTTCTAAACCAGAATCAATCAGTCAGTATCTTCTGCTTTTAAGACAGAACAAGTTATGAAAATAGAACTTGGTTCTTTGCAAAAGTATGTCTAATATTAAACAATTTCTTTAACTGAAAACTGTGATTCCTAGCCTTCAGCAATATATCATTAAGCAGCATACTATCTAATTTTTAAAAAGTTTTTAATGAACTATAGTCCAGTAGTTCATTACCAGACAGTGTTTAGTCTTGGTCTTCAGGCTGTCTTCCTCTTTATGTTTCATAATAGTGAGGGTGAAGTTAAATTGAGGTTCTTGTGGTGGAGAATAGGCCAAAATATAATCTATTTTAATTAGTCAATGACTTGACTTGCTGCAAAGTGAGTCATTGATCAAGGTGAATCGATGTACTGTAGGCATGACCTTGCTTCTGTTCAGTTCACTATTTTTCAACTCAGAATTCAAGAAAGAAATTCTAACAGCTAATGAAACTCCTCCTTCATTTATGTTGCATGTATATCCCAGAATTAAGAATTATAGTCAGTAATACAATACATTTAAATCTGTGTAGAGGTTGTATTCATATTAAAAAGCACAAAGCCATCGAAACACTAAATACATACATGCACATTTAAATATATATATAAATATGCAAATTTTGGTGGAAAAGGACACCTCAGATTAGTTTGTTATCTATCAATTCAACATCTACCAAATCTCTATATTCTCTATTACATTCATTACTGAAAATGAACTGATAAAATTGACATGACACTGAAAACTAATCAGATTTAGGAAATTAATCAGCTTTGTTATTAAACCTGTAGATTCTAATAAGGAGAATCCATTTCCTCAAAAAGCATACATATTTTGCTTATATTTTATTCACAACTTTAAATAAACATGCAAGCGGGTGTTTGCACATGAATGACTAACTTCAATGTAAACTGATACAGAATTGTTTTGAAAGTCTGTTCTTCTGTAACACCATGGAAAAGTTTTATTTAATAATATATCCTTTCCATGAAGAAATGTATAGTACTTAAAAAAAACCCAAACATATATCTCTCTGCTATGATTAAACAAGCAGACATATCAAGCTGATGTTCTTTACAGGCCTGATTACGGTAAG